GGGGGGGGTGAGCACGCATACTCACGAGAAACGCGTCAGTCACGCGTCAAGACGCTTACCATGGCTGGGTTGAAGTACTGTTGATGCGACTGATCTTGTCCAGCGGTGTTGTACTGATGATGGCCGTAGCCGGTACTTCCAGTGTTGGATGCGTGCTGCATTCTGCGTTGCTGGGCGTGAGCAGCGGCTTGGATTGGCGAGGGAACTGGCTCCATCGACTGGAGGAGAGACCGCCGCGCGAGAAGATGAATGAGTACCAAAAGGGTGTGCAGTAATGACCGGAGCCAAATGAGACAAAAGTTGGGCGTGGAGGCGGAGAGCGATTTGAGAGAAAGTGCGCGTGCGGGCGGGCGTGCGTGCGTGCGAGCGTGCGTGTGTGGTTGTGGGGGAAGGGGGAAGGAGGCGCGTCTCTGTCAGCAAGGCACGTCGGTCGCGACGCGATGCGCGCGCTGAGGAGCAGAAATGGTGGCAAGCTGCGTTGTGAGGCGCGGCGTCTGTGTAGCGCGTCCCTTTTCAAAATGCGGATGCGCCTGCGCCTCGCGCTTTCCTTCATGCACACTCCTTATGGCCCTGCGCGCGCGCTCGAGCGCGCTGCTGGGCCACAAGCGCTGTGGCCCGAACGCATCGGCCGATGCGCCGAAGGCGAGCCGGCGCCTCGTTGCGGCACATGTGCCGCTCGCTCAGCAGCGTGGTACTCACATCAGATCGAGGCTATCTCCGAGTTGATGTGCTCGCGACAGACTTTGAGGTCGTTGCGAGAGGTCAAGCAGATACTTGACTGAAATGCTTTGCAGGCCAAATGCGAGACCTGCGACGGCTTGTTATGGTCCGGCTCTGTTTCCAGATCGCCCAACCAGTGAGAAAGATGAGCGTCAGCAGAGGCATCATCTCGGTGGCGTCAAAGCCATCCAGTCCGTTGCAGATAGCCATCTTGTGGCATGAGAGCGGTGCGATGATGCGGCACCAAAACTGCGTAACCACAAGCCAGATGGATCTTGGAGGCTTGACCTCCGAGGGCAAAGCGTGAAGTGTCTCGCGAAAGCGTGAAGTGTCTCGCGAATGTCTGTCTTGAACCAGGGCAAGGCCAGACAGAGGAGACTCGTAGCGCTGGAGAAGCCATTACGCGCTGATGGAGCCGGAGGCGATGGACGAGAGCTCTACGAGCCGGGCACGACGTGGTGGTCGAGGGAGATTCGCAAAAGTGGTTCGACTTTCTCGATGAGGATGAAGAGGCTTTTGCAAGCAGTGACGAATCATCCGGGGCAAGCCCGCACTGCTCGGGTCCGATCATGGCAGAAGTGGATGGGAGCACGACTCTGACTCTGGCAGCCAACGTCAAGTCTGGATTGCGCAGATGACCTCGGACGCCTGCTGTGCTGATGAGTGCAGCGGGGACCATCCGCCGTGGCTGCCAGAGGACGCAAACACTTGACTGCTGCAGCAATGCAATGTGACCATCGTGGATGGCCCTTTCAGAGCAGCTCTCAGTGCCAATCCACAAGCCCATGCCCGGGAAGCATTCGCAGAGGCTCCGAGCAACGACCAGGCACCAAGTGCCGATTGTGTGAGAGCTCGGACCGCGTGGCTGATCGACTTCATGTAAACAAGCTGCGATCTCCCTTTGCAAGAGAGCCCAGCAAGGCAAAACAGCAGTCGCAACTGCTTCTTGCGCTTGGGGCGTCTCACTTGATTGCAAATATGCGCTGACGCGCAATCGCAGCCAAGGGCTTCGAGACCGCAACGAGTGGACGGATCGTGTCGACCAGGAGGCAAGGCGGGAACGAAGACGGGCACTTGCTTTGACATGCATCTCGAGACGTGCAAATAGTACTCACAGTCAGGTCCGTCACGGAAGGCCCTACAAGCGCTGAGCTGCAGCCCGGCAGAATGCGTGGTTTAAGTTCTGTCCACTGTCGTACCCTCGCGAGATCAGACCGCGCTATGACTGAGGAAGAGGAGATCGAGCAGCGCGCAACCATCGCGGAGCAAAGCAAAGCAGGCGCACATGGAAGCGTTGTCAAGCGAAGCGACCGATCCCGCCAGGAAAGGCAGGAGACGACGATGGTGCAGGAGCACGCATGTCCAAGGCAAATGTCACGAGAGCGAGCAGCAGGACGAGGAAGCGAGATGAAAGACGAGGTCCGCGTGCGTGACAGAGTTGTCAACAGGCACGCGCGCAGACGATCAAACAGCATGGTGGGATCAGGGAAAGTGAACAGGACGGCAGAATGTCAGCGATGGTGCCCAGGCAAAAGTAGAGGGTCCGCAAAGAGCGAGCGCGATCAGCTCGATCTAAAGGCGGTCTGATGCACCCAAACGTGGACAGCAATGGCGGCCGGCTGACACGGAGTCACGAGTGGGGAAAAAGCGGAGCTAGGCAAGCAAAATGACCCGGTACGCTCATCATTCGCGACTTGGTTGCAAGCATCTGACGAGCGACACGAAATGCCGAGCGGAGGCTGAAGAAGCACATGTGTCATACGCTCGCGCAATCAATGACCCATCTGAGTGGTGCGATGCGTGAAAGTGGACGATGTGTGTATGTGCTTCTTCCGCCTCCTGCCATGGGCAAGTCGAGGCAAAGCTCGAGACCACTCAACAAGATCACTCGTGCCTAGTCGCGGATGGTGTGCGATAACGGCAGCAAAGGAGCACAGGAGAGAAAAGGGAGAAGGAGAGGGGGGGAGGCGTACGCGGTCTTGCAATCAGACTCACCTAAACAGCAGGAGCTGCGCCTATAGCTGTTGCGTTAGATGAGCAAGCAAAGGGCGTTGCGAGGCGGGCTGCCAAAGGTGCGATGCGAAGGGCACGGGCGGTGCGGTGCGATGCGGTGCGGTGCGGTGCTGTGCTCACGACTGTACCGTGAGGCAGCGGCGGATGTATGAGTGTACGGGCAGGGGCAGCAAGCAGGTTTGGCGAGTAAGGGTGCTGCTGTAGGGCAGCTTGGTGGGTGTGCCGGTGGCGAGAGAGCGTACGTGTACGATATACCGGTACGGTACCGGGCTGGGCAAAGTGAATTGAGCAGAAGGGGAGGCGAAAGCGACAGGGGAATGTACGGGGGGAGGTGCTGGCTGCTGCTGATGCTGGTCAGCAGGCGCAGACTGCGTTTGGCGAGTTAGTTTAGGTAGGGGAGCGGTTTTTTCCTCGCGATGAGTCGAGAACTGGTCGAGAGACTGTCGTGGTAGGGAAGGAGGGCGGAGCATCGGTGTGCGTCCAGGATACATAGTGCCGCGCCCGACGTGCATCTGGGAGCAATTATCACAATGGACGCCATGCCAGCGCGCGCGCAGAGGTCAACTCGGGTCGCCGCGGCCGTGCAATTAGGGTGCACGCGGCGACTCACTACGGTGCTGCGAGAGCATTCAGCAGCAGCAGCAGCAGCAGCAGCCAAAACATCCGAGCGCGCGCGTGCGCGCGCGCGGATCGCAATTAAGCGCAAATTTTGGCGGTGAGGCGCCGCGGCTCTGGGTACGCGGGCGCGCGTGCGCCTTCGGTCCCCGGGGCCACGCGGGCGATCGAGCGACTATACGCGTCAGCGTCTATGCTGAGACATACACGATATGAGCGCCACACGCGCCGCTGCTTGCGCCAGAGCACCAAGGGCGTGGCCCATATCTCACTCTCACTCGACCAGCAGCAGCAGCAGCAAAGTCCAGATCGCGATCTCGAGTTCTCTGCATGGGCCTCGTGACTGCGATGCGCTTTCGGCGGGCCGCGCGTGAGGTTGCAGCTGATGTACTGCGGTGACCGTACAGCACACAGACAGCGGCCCTGGAGCCTCTGTCGATTGCTGATGCCATGCACCCGCCATCATGCCTGTACGTACCACGGTTTCATTCGACGCCGGATTCAACAAGGCAAGGCAAGCTGTGGCGGCGGCGCATGGCGCTTGAGACGAGTTAGAGTGATAGTTCGATAGGGATACGTGCTGCTGCTGCCCGCACATGCTGCTGCGATGCCACCTCATCACCCAAGCTCCGACTCGAGACTGTTGCTGGGCCCCACACTCCACGTCACGAGCGCACCAGCCCCCTCAATTCGGTAGAACCCCTAATCACGTGAATGCTGCCTCTGTGTGCTCATCTCTGACTGAGCCAAATGCCTCGTCTCTTTTGATGACGCTCCTGGACGCAAAGCTCAAGTTTGAATCAGTCAGCGAAGGCCATGCAGCAGCTAGCAGTCACCGTCGCGCATATATACTCGCTCACGAGCCTCATGAACGTCGGCGTTTCTCCTGAAACTTGCTGAGATCCCTGAGCGACGATTCGCATCGCCATGCAGTCTCCCTTTTGCATTAGTGATTGATGTCTCATGCATCTCAGCGCGTCCCGCACGCAGTTCAAAGGAGGCACCAGTCACAATTTGAATTAAACATCAGACTCACGAATCGCAGTGCTCATGCAGACGCGGTCGTCGTGACGGTGAGAAGTCGAGAGCAGTCACGAGTGAGGTGCGTCTTTAATGCGTGGTACTCGTAACGGCTGAAGCACAACAGCGCTATAGTCGCGGGACCGCAAGCTATTCGGGTCAGGGCAGCGTGCTCACCCAGCATACTGAGACGTTGAGCGGGATGGGGCTGATCTGATCTGATGGGCTCTGCCTCGGCGACTTGCGATTCACCACGCTGACTCGTCGGATCATGCCTCTGAAAGATTCACTTACTGCATCTGTTGTTGCAGTATACATGGACAAGCATCGGGGCTGAAGCTAGCGCAATGATGAGAAGACCGGCGTTTGCATGAGACTTCATTTACCGTACTCACTCACGACTGCGACGTGCTGATTGATGATTGATGACTTGCAAGGCGCTCAAACAGTCTTGGGCCAAGGAACCTGCTGCCTGCCACCTTTGTGACTGCATCCGCCGTCTACTAGCTACTATGACTGCTACGCTGCTTTGACAAGGCGCAGGAACGCCGCATGAATGAAAGCGACTCAGCCTCTCGTTCATGCGCTTCAGCAGCATGTGCTGAGTGTGAGTGCTGCTTGACCAAGGTTTCAGCAAGGCAGCCAGGACGTATTGCACGCACGAGCGCACACGTATCGGCGTTTGTCTACCGCGATTGACCCAAACCGTCGGTTACGTGAAGCCGGATCAGTGCGAGTGTCTACCATGTGCACAGTGTGCACTCAAGACTCGTCGTCTCATACGAATGTCCATAGATAGGTACGCGGGCCAGTCGCTGTGAAGGGCCGATCAAGGCGGTGCAGCATACGGACGGGACGGGACGGGAAGGCACGATCAAGAACGCCCGACTCTGACTCCTCGGACCGGTGCATGAAGACAGATGACGAAGGGGCATGAAGATTCAGATTGCGATTGATGATCGCTCTCCCAATCGTGAATCAAGACGCCATCGACGCAGTCTTGATTGACACTTTCTCGCCGCGCTTGCGCAAACATCGAAAGCTACGCAAGGTGAGCAATTTTAGCCCTCGACAGATTTGGTCAGCCAGCCAGCCAGCCAGCCAGCTACTCTATCGTCTTTCTTTTGAGAGCGCGCATTTTGCTCGGTCAGATGAGGTGGGGGACCTGCACTGCATGGGGTCCGGTGTCTGCGCCCGAGCTCAGGTCCGCAACCGCCTATACCGCAGTCTCGAGATGGCTCGTTTATAAGGGGCGCCTTTGCTGCTCCCACCGTGCAAATACGGCCCCGAACATCACCGTACTCGTCCTCCCGCTCCTCTCCCCGCGTGTGCATGTCTTTCTATCGCCCTGCTCACTAACCTCGACCGCTTTCGTGTGCCGTTCAGTCAAGAACCGAGGTCAGCTGTCAGCGGGTCAGTACCTGCTGCTCCTCCCACCATGCTGTCCACGCGGCTCCTTCTGCACGCATCGTGCCTTTTGGCAGTGCTTCTCTGCCTCTCCTCGGCGCCATCTCGAGCGGCTACGGTCAAGCAAGGGGTGGATCTGAGGGCCAGATTCACGATACCTCCAGAGGATGCGTCCAACGTGAAACGCGTCTTTTTGGAGGTTTCGCAAACTACGCTCTGGGCTGACGGTCAGCCGGTCCCTGGCGAACCCGTTGTCAATGGCACATCGCCTGGTCCCGTCCTTCGGTGAGCCATCGCTCGAGCACTTATCAATCGCTGTGTAGACCTCCCAGCTCATCTGCATCCGCTCCATGCTGCAGGTTCAAGAAAGGAGATTGTAAGCCATAGGCACCCTTCCGACGCGCGCAAGAGATGGGATGACCTGACCGCGCCTGTCTCTTCCTTGCACTCAACAGTCCTTGTGATCAGAGTCACCAACAAAATGTCCACTTGGAACACAACAATGGTGAGGATGCGTCCGCATTGGGACGTTCGCACACGAGCGCCGCTCACTTACGATATGCTTCTTGCTCGCCTGCAGCACTGGCACGGTCTCACGCAATCCATGACACCCATCTCGGACGGCGTGCCGATGGTCACGCAATGGCCCATCCCGCCCAACACGTGGTTCGAGTACGGCATAAAGCTTCGAGACAAGGGCACCTACTACTACCATCCGCACGTCGATTTGCAGCAAACCACAGCTCATGGTGCTTTCATCGTGGAAGATGGTAAAGAACCTCCATACAAATACGACTTGGACAAGCCCTTGATCCTGGCAGATTACTACTACCAGCCACAAGAAGAGCTCCTTCAGGGTCTGCTTGGCCAGCCATTCAAGTGGCCAGGAAGCGCAAAGGCGCTCTTGCTCAACGGAAAAGCACTGAGCAGCGCACCCTGCAATCAGACCCTAGCTTCGACTTATCAGCTCGACTGCAAAGACGCGCCTCGGAACGCTGGCAAAAGACCAGAGATCGTCCATCTCGGTCATGGCAAGACGATCAGGCTTCGCTGGATCGGCGCGCAATCCGTCATGTACACCGTGAGTCGCTGGTGCCAGTTTCTTTTCATGTCAACAAAGCCCTTTCTTTGGCTCACCACGTGGTCTCATGATCGCATGCAGAAAGTCGCCATCGCCAACCACAAGCAGCGCATCATAGAAGCCGACGGCACTTACACCAAATCTCTCGAGGTGCCCGACATTGAGATCGGACCTGGACAGCGTTACTCGACACTAGTGCACGGCAAGACCAAAGAAGCCGTGGAGCAAGACGGCTCTGGAGGCTGCTACTGGATTCGCCTCGAGAGTCAGTGGCGCAACCCGGGCACCTTTGGCTGGGGCTTGCTAGCCTATCCATCTTGGTGAGTGATACTGTGTGCGCAGAGGCGCGGCTCGAACGCGAAGCTCATATACGTATGCCAATCTTCGAATCCGGTTCGGATCCCAGCGACGTCGACAAGGTGCTTGCGCAGCCCCAGCCTACCCCGGCTCCGATCAACAGTACCGAGAGGATGCTGCCCAACTCGACGTTTGGCTGGATTTCCGGATCTCTGGCGCCGCTCAAGGAGCCCAGCAGCCATCAAGATCGCATGCCTAGCGATTCCGAAGTCTCTAGAAGAGTGATTTTGAATGCTCAGCAGATCAACATCTTGGGATCGATGGGCAACTACTCTCGCTGGACCCAAAACGACGTATGGTACGTCGAGGGTGCGGATCAGCCGATTGGGCGTATGGCGACCAAGGTACCGTACCTCATTCAGCTCTACAAGCGCTTGAGAGAAGCGCCTTCGTGGAATCGCGCCTTTACCACTTCGGATAACAAACATCCCAAAGGCTTTGATCCTCTCGCACAAGTATGGGTGGCCAAGCCGGGCGAGGTGATCGACGTTGTCATCATCAACAACGGAAGTATGGCCAGCGGTCAGACCGAAATCCACACTTGGCACAAACACGGTGGTGAGTCGAGTCGAGCGTCCGAGCGGTTGTTGCGCGCCTGCCTCGGTTCTTTTTTGCTGAGCATCACATTCTGGCCTGTCTGGTGCAGACAAGCACTGGACGCTCGCCTCTGGACCTGGAAACTTTAGCGCAGAGGCCCTTGCACAGGCGCGCTCGAACGGGCAATGGTCTGACCCCATTCCGCGCGACACTTCCACCGTCTGGCCAGGTCCAGGCGAGACGACTGCCGATCCAAAAGTGGTGCTGCCAGCGCACTCTTCAGGAGGCTGGACGGTGCTCAGGACAAAGATTCAGCACATGGACTTGGGCGTGTGGTTGTTGCATTGCCACCTCATCTTTCACGCGGCCATGGGCATGAGCACCACGTGGGCTCTCGATATTCCGAAGCTTGGAGCTTCTTCCTCGCTCTATGATGATCCGTGAGTGCGCCCGCTGCTGTCGAACTGGGATCAAGGAGTGACGTCTTTGCTGATCCTCTCCACTTCATCGCCTGCTAGTGACTACCTCGAATTCGGTCGAAATGTGACCTCTCCGTACACGAACATGAGACCATAGCCGTACATTTCCTCCGCCGTGCCTAGTCAGCGAGTCACTGTATATTTTCGTGCAATACTCCGAGCTCCCTCCACTGCCTCACTATAATGATAATGCACCTTGATCCTTTCTGAACTGCCTTTTGCCGCATCAACCACTTGCGCAAAGCGGCTCTGCAGGACAAGTTCGACGCTGACAGCTGCGCGCAGCACCAGCTGTTCGAGGCTCGCGCCGGTCATTCGATGTGTGCACAATTCATGACATTTTTCCTGTGACTCGTGTGCTGAGGAAGCATTCTGCTATCGTTGTAGAGTTCGATTGTTTCAGCTCGTGTCCATGGCGTCGCTCTTTGGCTGATCGAGCGCCCAAGTCACAAAGTCGTCGATGACCGAGGGCCATGCCGCTGAGAGGAGAAGAGCAGATGGCAACTTCAGCTCCCTTCGACTTGCGCTAGCTGGGGTATGGAGAGAGAGCATCCTCGCAGCTCACCATCAAAGTCGTGTTCTTTAAAATCTGCATCGATTTCTTTGGTAAAGTCGAGGAACTAAAGTGGTGCGATGAAGAGTGATCAGATCAGCTTCTGCCGGTGGAAGTGACCAGCAGCTTGGCGTGCTCGCCGGTCTCCCATATGCGACCGCCGCCAGCTGCGCCGAATCCACCTTATATCGACTCACGAGTGTCCAAGTATCCTTGCTAATGGCGCGACCCCCCGTCTCATTGGTCAAGTACTTTTCCCACAAGTCCAACTGCCTGGCAGTGAAGCGACCAGATGAACCCTCTCGTGCGTACGATGGCGAAATTGGCAAAAGCAGTCTCCAGAACGCGATGGCGGTGTCTAGCTCTGTAAATGTGATGCGCAGGAAGCTTGTCAGGCTACATCGTCCTACGTGCGACAAGCCTGATGGGGCTCGACCAGCCACACCGCACGTTACGGTTCGCAGTCTACCTGACTCACTCAAGCTCTTTTGACCCTCATCTCTGGCGTACGCATACACCCAATCGTACACTCTCGCAAACAGTCCGCCCTTGCCCTCGCTCGCTAGCGCGCCTCTGACTTCAGCATCCTTTTCCAACTCCTCCCTCAGCTTGGGCAGCAGTTGCTTTTGCTTGGCAACCGTATCCGCTCCATCCAACGTCCTCCAGCCCTCTATGTATGCGTCGCGAGTGTAATGTCCCATGCTCGGAGATCGAAGGTAGAAGGAGAGCGGAAGCATTACCGCATCTTCCGGGGAGAGGGAGAGATCTTCACACATGCTCATCGCTCCCTCGATGCTCACATCCGGTCCATCTTCGTCTGCATGCAGCAGTAAGCGGGGTGTCAACAACGCTCTCTGATCGCTGCTGTGCGCTTCTCGGCAAGTGTCTCGGATTTGATGCGCTCACCCTTGTACTGATCGAAGAGCTTTCCCAGCTTCTCTTTGCTCTCCTTTTCCCCTTTAACCCCTCCTCCCGCCGCTTTGGCAGCATTGCTCATAGCCGCATCATCCGCATAGAACGCATCTACAGCAGCTTCGATCCTGTATCCGTTCGCTTTCAACAACCTCTGAGCATCGGGTTGAGTAGCATTGGTGATCTGACGAAGCTGACGAATAGCCGCCTCCTTCGTCGTCTTGCTGCTCGACTGCGCGACAAGACAGCGTGCCGGCAAAGCAGTGAGCAAGTGAGCTTCCCTTGCACCTCGCAGCTTTATCTGGCGACCCCTTCACGCACTGCAGCCTCGCCATACTCGGACTCACCATGGCAGCCAGCTCTCGCGTAAGCGAAGGTTCGCCTCCAAGATCAAGGCCGGAATCCTAATTGGTCGATCTTCACGCGAGCGGTTACCGATACTTCCCTAGCGGATCGAAGCAGATATGTCGAGCAGTATCGGAGATTCGCTGTGGGCGCCTGCCGCAAATAAGATGGTGGTGTGGTTGGTGTGGTGCCGCTGCGTCGTTGCTGCTGAATCGCAAGCACACCTCGTGACGCGCATCAGCTGCCATCTCAAGTGGAGTCACGAGTGAATCCGTGGGACTCTGCACAGGGCAGGCGCGCTCGGGCGCACCTGCGCGTAGCTTGACATTTAGGGTGGCCTACTGGACGCTCACGTGACCGTTGATTGCGACTCATGACTTGACTCGCGCACTCCACCTTTGCACCCGCGCTTCCTTCCACGGATATACGGATTTCGTTAGAGTTGCTCAGGCAAAGTCGAGTCAGAGTTCAGTTCTGAGTCAGCTTACTCGACTCCTTACAGCGCTACACCTATCGGCCACATTCGCCATATTCACGTGATTGCATCGCTCACGACTTCGTGCGTCGAGCGGATCTTGTCTCTCATCATCAGTCCAGATCGAGAGTCCAAGTGGAGTGTGAAAGTTAGAGTTTGAAATCACGAGTGTTCATATCCTTAACTCTACTCCACCCCTCTCTCGCCCTCGCCACCTTGAGCACAGTGCAGGGGGTGAAATTGGTGTTTCGTCATGGCCACATCCGCAACGACATCCACTTCGGGCCCATCCGACAGTCAGACTTCCTCCTCACCCGCACCCGCGCCCGCACCCACGCCCGCTGCCTATGCCGAAGCTAGACGAACGCGACCATCCGTGATCGGAGACGATGCGGGATTGTCTCACGAACAGGGCAAGACTTATCCGATCTACCTGCGAGGAGATGTGCAAAAGGGATTCGGAAGGGGTGGAAAGGAGCTTGGGTGCGCTACAGGTCAGTCTCCGCTCCTCACCTTTTCGTTGGGCTGCCTTGATTGGCGATTCGTATAAGGGGGGAGGGGGAAGGGGAGGGGGAGAAATATGCTGGCACGTTACAAAGCTGGGAAGCTGGTGCCTCACCTCTGACAAGTTCTTCTTCGCATTCGCTTGCGGGAGATGCGCGTGTATGCGCTTTGTTCTGAACGTTCAAACGAACGCAACGACGCGGGCCAGATGCCTCAAAGTTGCGCGCCGCTGGGTTCAATAGCAGTGGTGATGGCAACACACACACACATCCCCCAATCAGTATCATGCTCCCCCCCAGCGTTGCCTTGCAGCATGCTAACTCTTTCTCCTCCCTCTCAACGCACGCTCTCTCATTCCCCCCCCCCCCCCTCCCCTTCCTCGTTACGACCCTAGCCAATCTGCCTTCCAGCGTATTCGACCCGCCCAGCAAGCTGACAGAGACCGGCGTGTACTTCGGCTACGCCAGCGTCGATCTTGACGCTGAGACTGGCGGTGCGAAGGACGGAGGAGTTTGGCCCATGGTGATGAGCGTAGGTTGGAATCCTTTTTACAAGAATGAGCAAAAGACTGCTGTGAGTTGGGGCGATGCGGGCGATGCGCGGGGGGGATGGCGCGCTCGTCCTGTGCAAGGGCGATGTGTTCTAGGGGACGCGCATCTCCGTCTCGACAAGCGTATCGTATCGCTTGCCTCGTCTCACTCATCCTGTCTGGTGTGGGGGCATTGCAGGAGGTGCACATCATGCACGAATTCCAACACGACTTTTACGGCAAGCACATGAAGGTCGTCGTGCTGGGTTACATTCGACCAGAATTCAACTACGTCAGCCGAGGTGCGTTCTCGTCTGCGTTTTGGGAGAGGGGGCGGGGGTCGTGCTTTTGCCCCCCCTGCCCCCTGCCCCCATCTCCAACAAGAGACCAAGAGGTAGGCCGTCGTCACGTGCATGCTGACAGATGCTCAGCCAATCCTTTGGACCTTGCAGAAGCTTTGATAGAAGATATCGAGACGGATAAGCAGGTTGGACTTCGATCGCTGGATAGACCAGCCTGGTCAGCGTACAAGCAGGATTCGTTCTTTGCAGAGCATGCATCGTGATAGACCAAAAAAAAAATCAGATGACCCTCTGAAATCGACACGAATGCATAAACCAACACGCCGAGCAGTGTAGGATCGAGATGCTGAGAAAGCATTGGTTGCCTCACGAAGCTGTGCGGACGGCGCCTCTTGTTATTACATTGGGTAAGATGTGTTTGATCAGGCTGGACAAAGGGAGCGTCTGGGCAAGGTGTGAGCGCTAGGCTATGCTGCTCCTGGTGGATCTGGTTGATCATCGCTGAGCAAGTGTCCGAGGGAGTGTGGCGACTGTGCCAAACCGGTCTTCTCACCGTGCATCCAGTCCGTTCGAGAATGCAAACTTGACGTCGGGGTGCCGCATTCGACCTCGTACAATGCCTCCTGTTCCGACACTTCTTCTTTTGCTCTTGACCAACCGATGCTGCCTCCAATCACGTGCTCAATCCGCACAAAGATTGCGATCAGGACCCTCCGACACGAGCATCGACACTCCATTCCAAAACCACCTGCCCTCGCTGCTGATGCCTTGCCGTGTTGCTCGTCCTTCTTTCAGCTTCCCTCGTATCTATTTCGCCAGCAATTCGGCTACCTTCCAAATCCGGGCGGGGGACCAAAGTTGGGAGGAGGTCTAGCCATCCCAAGCGGAGGAGGTCCCGAAGGCGGTCCTTGACCATGCATACCCATCGGAGGAGGTCCTCCCGACGGACCGCCTACGCCCATACCCATGCCTGGTGGAGGTCGACCGTAGCCTGGTGGTGGACCGAACTGTCCTCCTGGAGGACCTGGACCGCCGGGACCTGGACCGCCTGGAGGTCGGTAGCCGTACCCTCCGCCAGGTGGACCGTAACCGTTCGGCCCGCCCGGACCCATAGGCGGTCTGAAAGGGGGTCGATAGCCTGATATATCAGAAGTAACGCGAGCGTCAGATAGAGTGAAGGCGTGACTTGCAAAATGCTCAGAGGAGCAGGCATGCGTGCATGTATGCACGCATTCCCCATCGTAGCATGCACTCACCTCCACCTCCAAATCCTCCTCCGCCCGAAGCGGATCCCATCCCACCCATCGCCTCCGTAGGTCTGGTCAATCCCACATCTTCGTACGCTCTGGTCACGTCCGCCAAGATCCCTTGCACTTTGGCAGGGTCCAATCCCTGATAATAATCCCTCACATTTTGCATATGGTTTCTGCCCGAATTGTGCGCTTTACGGACTGCGCGGCGAAATGCGGGGGAAAATGGAGTGATGAAGGGGGAAAGGTGAGTGGGTTGGGGGGGAGGGGGGAAATGGATGCGCTCTTGCGATGGGGAAGAGAGTTATGTGATGCATCAAAGCTCACCTGAGGTCGAATCGTGCGTGAGGTACACGTCGCAGTAATCGCAGTAGTGCTTGCCCATCGTGGCGACAGTGCCTCGATGATGCGTGTATACCGGCGCGTCTCTTTCTTTCCCCTCAAGGCGCGAGCACGGCAAGCCTTCAAGGTAGTAGTCGGCGGCAACTTGGGAACCGCGAGCCTTGGCAAGCAAAGGCGGATTGCCGTTTGTTGAAAGAATCGAGGGATTCAGGCAAATTTGGTTCTTGTTTCTTCCTTTTTTTCGCTTCAATGGACGGAAATGCGAGCCAAGGAAGCCTGGCGATTGACTTGAGTTGAAGTTCAACAATTGTAGATGCTGGCAAAGCACTGCAAAGACCAGTCACTGAGCTGCGTGCAGCAGTCACCTAGGGATGGATGTTGGTGGTGGTCAGGCGAAGAGTCACGAGTCGAGCAAGTTGGAAGGAGCCATGCAAGCATCTTGCTCTTGTGCGCTCGCCTCGCTCCCCGCGGCATCGATCGTGCCACAATCACGTGAACCCCGCTCTATGCGCGAACGTCGGCCACACGTGACCGATGCCGAAGGGTTGCTTGTGAAGGCGTGTCGTGTCGTGTTTGCATGCCGGCTGATTCTTGTTTTGAATTCAATTCGCTTGACTTGATTGCTACACAAGTCAAATTAAAGGGTTTTCAAGCCGCACGCTTTCCTGATTCAGCTTCACCAAAGCATGAACTGATGGGAGAATAGCAGTCAAGAGTCAATTGTCAGATAGATCATCGCACGGCCAAGACGTCACGTCAGCTGGATTGGATCGAATTGGATCATCGGACCCAATCGCTGGCATGCGAACGTGCGTTGGACGCAAGATCTGGATCCAAATCCGAATACCAGAATGAAGAATGTCGCTAGGCAGGAGGCCGGTCGTGTAGCCAGACGAAGGGATATTGTTTGACCATGAGCGATGAAAAGAGAACCGAGGAAGTCATTCGCTCCAAGAAATTCCAAAAGGACTACTGAGGACGATCCATCCATCCATCCATCGCATCAGACCAGGTCCGGCAGGAGGGAGAGTCACGAGCGAAAGAAGCAAGACAAGACGCAAGCGCGGATGGATGGATGCATGGGCAATCACGAATAATGCAAGAAGAGACGCCGCCGCGCATATTGGATGCTCGCAAGCAGCACCGCTCCGTCGAGCGGGATGTTCGAAACAGGCTGCACTCTATCCTTTTAGACATTCGCTTCACACAGCAACTCCACTCTCTTCACTTTTCCCACCTGCCCCTCATTCCCAATCTGCGTTGCGGCGCGTGGTACGTCTCGCCACACCTCTCCCGCTGCTGCTGCTGCTGCTGCTGCTGCGTGCCGCCGACCTACTTTAAATCCACCGACGGCCATCTCAACACCTGGGATTTCAGTCTAAAGAGACCCAACTTGGCTTTCTTGAAGCTGACGCTTGAAAAGGGAGGCGCTGTATGCGTCGATTCGACGAGAAGAGGCAAGATCTTGCCTGATGCGCTCAGCAAGACTTTGCCCATCTGGTGCGCCGTGCTCAACGAAGCCTCTTTCAGACGTCATGGCGTGCCGCGCATGGAGCTGCAACGTCAAACAACCTCGCATCACTCGCAAGAGCAGCAGCGGGCTGAGAGGCATCCGCTCGCATCGCTGCGGACATACCTCTCAGCCGTCTCGCCGCAAGAGCATGCGGATATCGAGTCTCGACTGCATGACTGGGCCGAGAAGCTGCTGGTGAGTGACGAGGCCCTTTCCTGTCGTGCGAGCAGAGCTAATACTTCATGTGGGTCGATCGCAGTCATCTGCAATTCAAGTTGCTCGATTAGAGGCGCCTCTCGTGCCATTCTTTATTACGCCATCCACTTTGGGCGAAGCAGCTCAGGAGAGCGTAGAGACCGACGAATTCTCATCGCTTACCTCGGAGCTCGAAGCTTTCAGGCGAGCGACCAAAGATCACAACATCGTGCCTGTTATTTGTGTCTCCGCATCTTTGCACGCGAACGCTCCTGGCCAAGAATCACATTTGCCGCGCACCCGCAAGAGGAAGAAGTCTGGCGTCGGCGTCGGCGATGACGACGACGAGTCGCATTTGGTGGCAGCGGAAACAGAGACGCATGTTCCTCGTCCGGTGGTGCTACCCTCATCAGCATCCAGCACAGTGACAATGTCTGCCGAATCAGAAGCATCGGAGACTTTCACATACGTACAAGGAAGCGGCGACGACGAAGAATCCTGGTCTTTGGGTCTCACCCCCTCCGTCTTTTGGAAAGACCCAGAGAGAATCTTGGAGGAGGTGGATGAAATCTATGCTACATGTGCAGACCAGACCGCGAGGAATGTGGCATGCAGACAAGCATTTGCTCGTCTCAAAGATGAGGAGGAGGAGGAGGAGGAGCTTGAGGAGCATGCGGCGAGGGTAGACCGAAGCGAGGAGCGCTCGGCTCGTCCTGTCGAAATTCCTGCGAGCGGGATCTGGATAGGAGAAGATGCGCCGGAGCAGACGATGAACTTTGCGCGCTTTGCGCTCATTCTACACACTTCCAGGTCTGCCTCATCGGCTGAAACGTTTGGCGACGGCACGGATCGCGCCGAGCCGAGTTTAGGCTCTGCACCGTCTGCGCGCCGGCGGCAGGTCAATCTGGGATGGAAGGCAGGTAAAAAGGGAGTAGGCGCTTTTGCTCATGGTCTCATGAGCGCCGTTGTGAGTTGCTCGGTTCATGCCGCGCCCCCATGCCGCATCAACTCTTGTACGTCGCAAGCCCTCGCTGCATCCCTCTGTTGCTGACCGCCCCCCCCCCCCCCCCCCCCCCCCCCCCATTTCCCAATTATGCCAAGGCGCTCGCTTTGCCGTACCTTGTTCAACAAGCTCAGACTCGGATCGATGTACCAGATGCAAAGGTGGAAGTGATAAGCGAGACTTGTTCAGAGCGGCGCGCCATGCTGATCACTGGAAGTCGAGGATCTTCTCTTCCTGCAGCATTGGCGATCGCCGTCATGCTGGTCGCACACGACGAAGCGCGGCTTCTTCGACGTGAAGTGAGGGCGCACGTCTTGCACCTTCAGCAGCGGGAGCGGGATGCGTCCATGGTCGAGGCGAAGCGAGAGCGAGAGCAAGAGCAAGAATCTTTCGCTGCATCAGCAAAGTCGACGACGAGGCGATTCGTGGATGTTGCCCACGAGCAAAGCGGGAGAAAGCCTTGCGTAGAGAGCAGCAGCGTCCACCAAGCCAATCCCCCTCCTCCTCCTCCTCCTCCATCGCTCACCGTCGAAAGTTTGCGCGCCTTGATCAAAGATGTGCGCCTGACAAAACGAGAAGCTCAGAGGAGGACGCAGTGGGTGACGCAGATAGCGCCAGAGTGGACACCCAGCAGAGCGCACCTCAATCGGGTCAATCAGATCTTTGTCTCTCGTCATTGATCCCGTACGAGCCCAGAAGAAAGACACTTTGATTGCAATGCTCATGATACCGTTGTAGAGTTGTCTTTTTTTGGAAGGTCGAGCAGAATGGGGCTTGCGTGAGGTGACGAGTGAAGAAGAGAGGTCGATCGATGTGGATGTGCGGATGCAGCACTCGGCTACACGCTATCATGCAAAGGCGGCAACGCCGGTCAAGCCCTTTCCAAGAATGAGACCATGGATATCTGTGCGCATCGCAAGGAGAAGAGTCAGCGGAGTGGTGAGCGAGCGAGAGGTCACTGATTGGAGCGACGACGGTGAAAGTCGAGACTTACCATACGTGCCCTCGTACGTGTTGACGACGTGCAGATTGGCCATGTGTCGACCGATGTGGTACTCGTCCGAAGCCGCGTTACCTCTGCACGCGAGAAAAGGGGTCCAACAGATGAGCATGCACGTCGACCATTGTCCGCAGCCGGGACACTCGACAGTCCGCATCGCGTCGCTCACCCAAAAATTTCCGCCAGCTTCCTGGCATGCTCCACAGCTTTGCCGCAATTGTTGCGCTTGACCAAGCTCACCATTTCCGGGCTCCATGTTCCAGCATCCTTTGCCCTGCCCAGCTGCAAGCTGGCCAGCAGACCCAAACTAGCTTCCGTGCTCGCATCCGCAATCTTCTTTTGCTGCAATTGGAAGCCTGCCAAGGGCTTGTTGAATTGTTTCCTGTCCAGAGCATACTGCCTCGATTCTGCGATGCATGCTTCCAGCGCTCCGATGGCTCCCCACGTAATGCCGAATCTAGCAGAGTTGAGGCACTCGAAGGGAGCGCCAAGACCAGGCTTTGCGCGCGATAAGAAAGAGTCGGAAGCTTTGACTCGCACATTGTCCAGAAAGATGGAGCCGGTGACAGAAGCTCGAAGCATCAATTTGTTCTTGATGGGTGGACAGCTGAAGCCTTTGGTGCCCTTCTCTACGAGAAAGCCGCGCACCTGGTTGTCCCATTTTGCACGTGCCCAGATGATGGCGACGTCGCTTAAGGAAAGCATGGAACGCACGTCAGAGTCATCGAGCGGCTGCAGAAGCAATCGAAAGCCGGTCTGGGCTGCTGCTCAGCACTCACGCGTAAGGACTGCTACTGATCCAAGTCTTGCTGCCATTGAGCACAAAATGACCATCGCCATCATCCTCCACGACCGTTTCCATGCCGCTGGGGTCGCTGCCATGATTGGGTTCCGTCAATCCAAAGCATCCCACCAATTCGCCCTTTGCCATTCGAGGCAAGAACTTTTCCTTTTGAGAATCGGTGCCGAACTGGTTGATGGCACCCATGCAGAGGGAAGATTGGACGGACATGATGGATCTGTAGCCCGAATCCACCCTCTCCAGCTCGCGCGTGATGAGGCCGTAAGAAACGTTGTTGACGCCTGCGCAGCCGTATCCGTCAATTGTGGGACCCAGCAAGCCCATCTCTCCCAATCCGGGCAAAATGGTGGGGTCCCATACTACAACCGTGCGCACGCAAACGCCCAGATCAAGAAATGTCAGCTCACCATGCCCGGCCCATCTCATGACCGCTCACGACCGCGCGCTACTAGACTGACCTTCGTTTCTGTACATCTCTGTCACTTTAGGGAGAAGCTGCTCCTGGCAAAACGCTCTCGCATTGTCCCTGATGGAGATTTCCTCTTCGCTCAGATTGTCCTCCACCCTCATCGGATCTTCCCAACTGAAAGGAGAGAACTCTGGCGAGGGATGGCATCGCGAAGTAGGTGTGCGGAGAAGAAGAAAGACGTCAGTCGAAACAGAACGATGGGGAGACAAAAAGGCGCACACTGCGGCACGAGAGGACTGACTGGTCATGTTGAATTCGCCACCGCTCGCCACAAGCGATGGGTCCTGCGATTCGTTACCCCTGACGTGGGCAGTGGAGCTGATGCATCTTCGAGAAGCGCCAAGCTGAGCGGGAAGCGCACACTTGAACGACGTGCGCGATGAGCTTGCTAGGCGTACAGCTCGAGGAACGTTCTGGGGGGACATGATGATGAGGAGGATGAGGAGGATGAGGAGGATGAGGAGGATGAGGAGGATGAGGAGGGTGAGGAGGATGAGGAGGGTGAGGAGGATGAGGATGTGTGGCGACTATCTGGAATGACGAGAAGGAAAGGCAGCGCAGGGATCACAGCAAGTGGCAGGTAGTAGTCGAAGGAAAGGGAAATCAAAATGATATGCGAGCTTTAATTCACGATTATTGCAGGTTCATCACCCGGCAGCGCCTGCATCATGGCACACGCTGCTTGCTGCCTGCCTGCCTGCCTGCCTGCCTGCCTGCCTGCCTGCCGATGATGCTTCTTCCACCCCGCACCATACCGACCGCGCGTGTTGTGTAGCACCGCGCGCGAAAAGAAGCGGCAGCATATATGCACGCGCCCTGCCCTGCCTGCTGATGATGCTCCCTTTGCCCCCGCATCGGCAACCCGGCTCACACGAGTTGCCGAAGCGCATCGAGCGCAGCGCAGCATCTTATTCAAGAGTGATTGGCAGCGATTCGATGCATCCTGCAAATCAGTGAGTGGTGCGTGAGTCACGATCACGATGTTTATGATATATGTGATGCCGCCACTCACGACTCATTGTGAATGTGAATGATCTGGTCGCATACATGCCATGCCACTCGATCGTCAGCCAGCCTTCCACGATCGTGGAAACCGTGTCGCGTCACAATTTCAAGCGGTGGCTCCTTCGACGTCAGGACAAGCTCGATTTGGCGATCGCTACAGCAGTCGCAGTCACGAGTCAGATTGAAAGAGTGCCTGCCAATCAAGTGGCGCGACGGCGGCGGACGGAGTCGCCAGCGTATACGCGGCATAGGCGTCGCTGAGCTCGATCGATCGCGATCGTCTCCCTCTTCAGCCATGGCGATGATGCATCATACGTTATTGTCAAGAAGACGCGATGATGCCTGACGGGCGAATGCTGGTGAATGTATGCGCTTCAAAGGCCTATCTTATCACCCAGCCGCTCCAAGGACTGGATTCGGCGAACGTCGACGCTCGGGATTGCGCCGTCGGTCCACGTCGTCTTTATTGTCTCCTCGATCGTGATCTCAATCAGCTGTTGGCGTATATTGCAGCGTATAGGTGTGCACGCGGGCGCCCAAAAAGCATAAAGCGGTCCAGCGCGCCCATGCATCTCCTTCCATTCCCCTCTCTCCCGCCGCGCAGAGCTTTCCAAGTCTCTTATTCGCATCCACGATTGCCACTGCGCCACTCGAGCGCCACTCCATGCTGCTGTATTTTGACGCAGACAAGGGCATGTCTGGGTCCTTGCTTGCTTGGCCGTGCATGCGCATCGATCGTGTGAGACGATGACGTGCGAGCAAGATGGTCCTCGAAAAGCTGTTTTCCCCCCATCTTTTCTTCACTTGCCTCCTCGTCCTCACAACGCGCTCAACACCACTCACCCTTCGCACCTTGACTTGTTCGACTTTCCTCGGACTTTTCGTACCATCTTCGGGCGCTGGTCGCCTTTGCATACACCCTCCCTCATCATTCGCAGGCGACCATCCCGGAGGGAAGCGCGTCTCACAGCATGCGCCCTTTCAGGACAACCCGTCAGCTTGCATGGATCATGCTGCTGGCTACCATTATCCAAGCATGCTCAGCGCTACCTGCACTCATGCGCCGGCAGGAGGTGCTCCTGATCGGAAACGCCGGCTTGCACGAACGCTCAGCAGGTCAGAGCCTGGTCGTGCTCCCCAAACTTGGCTCGGTGCTGGGTGAGTGAGGGGCCTGTCAGGGTGGGTATCGTCGCAATCACACGTTCCCGCAAGACTGCGATCCTAAACCACTAGAACCCTGCACGAAGCAGGCCATGCCTCCTCCACCTTTGACCCTCCGCCTGCGCTCGCCTTTGCACCTCGCAAGAGATCGCTGGTTCAACTGCTCGAGCTCACTCCGCTGCAAGGTATAGTCAGCGCTTTTCATCCGCACGCACCTTCGGAGACGGCAGACAGGGTACTGGATGGACTGGTTCGATGCAGCATGATCTCGTCCGGAATGCATCGCAGGTCTTTACCTTGCAAAGGAGCTCAGGTAAGCTTGAACTCGCTGGTTGGGACGACGCCTGCAGGTGATGCTGCATCCGGAGCCAAGACGCGGCATAACGGATGGGAAACACACACAGAGAGAGAGAGAGAGTGAGAGAGATGCGGATGCGCGGCAAGAGTCGGAGGGTAGGCGACGAAGCGGATGGAGCGAGCCTGCGATACCGAGGCCTCTTCTGGTGAGACTTTAGAAAGAAGGTGCAAATGTCAACGTACCTCACACCTCGCAGCATCGACCCGACCCGACCCTCCGACACACACACACCGCATTCCTTGTCCCGCGTCCCTCACGCATCGTGCGCTCGCTGTCGGTCGCGCAGTGCACTGTACGGCAGATTCGATCGCGACTCAGCGAACCGGTCCAGCACCCTCGATTCGCTGCCGACATGATCCGCCCCCCGGCACGGCCCTTTCACTCGGTCCGGTCCTCATTCGACTTGGCGCGGGATCTGATCGATGCTGCTACACCGAGCGAAAGTGTGCTTGTCTGTTGTGTATGTGTGATCGTCGTTCGTTAGACAGTGCGGCTATAGTGTGGCCAGAACTTTCCAAACGTGAAACACGCTTCATCGAGGCTCGACTTCCTTGCTGCATGGGCGGACTTCTTGAGTGAGCCGTGAGTGAGGCTTTAAGACCGTTGTGCGTGTGCATCGGAAATCCGTGAGGTGTGCCACTGCCCGACCATATTGCTCGTCGTCGGTGACACCTTTTTGCAGTGCATGGCTGTGCATTCATGACACACTGTTGTGACTGATTCGTGATTCCAATCGAGTCCATGGCTGCGCTCCACGAGGTGCGCTCATGGCATTCGTGATTTGTCAATCGCACGAATCTGAAGCAGATAGAGTACGCGGGTTCAAGAGGTGTACCGTCATATAAAGCAAGACCGGCATGCAGTCTTACCGCGGCCACTACGCCCCGGCAAGAACAGCAGCTTCTTAATTGTGATGCGAAAATACAGTCACGAGTAGTATGAATGGCCGGTGGCCCGCAGTGTGCACGGATGGAGATTGACTGCTGCTGTACCGGTCCGGTATGCAGCATGGGTGGAAAGCTGATGTGGGTGCGGGAAAGCGCGGAGGGGATGCATCAGACTCAAGGGACTCAAGAGACCTGTGCTGATGCTGCTTCATCGCTGAGGACAGGCGATCAAGTCTCGATCGTGAGTGCAGCATCTTATACGCATCAATCATCAGGCACGCGCAGCATCAACTTTCAATCGTACGCGTGGATTCAGCATCAGACCGGGGCGCCGCTACAACGGCCTGGCTGGGATCAGCGTTGCGATGTGATTGTTTGGCTCAAGTCGCGCGCAACAAATCATCAGCAAGACGAGGGAAGGAGCGCACGCGCTTGCACATGACCAGCAGCAGTCACGCTCGAGAAGAAGAAGAAGAAGAAGAAGAAGAGGAGTCGCGGGTCGCGAGCTTCGTCATCGCATATCACACAACTCCAAGTCGGGCCCGCGCTCCGGACCCCGGCGATTCACGCTGCTGCATGTCGACTCGCCGTGATGCGTGCCTGCTGCTGCTTGTCAGTAGTACGGTACCGGTACAGTGCACATAATACGACACGGCACGAGTCCCTCAAAGCCGTGCACGCGATCGATCCTTTGGCGATCCGAGTCGTGTGATCTCTGCACCATCAGATCATACAGTATGATGCTGTATGCTGGTTGCCGACCGCGCGTCTTATCGAGATCGTCGCAGTAAGATTTACAGAAGAGTATGTGTTGAGTCACACTCAGACTCTCTCATCTCCTTGCCTGACAGTCTCGAGCAGCTAACAGCTCCTTTTGCTACGACGTGCTGCACACCCCACAACTACTCGTGACTCACGACTGTAGGTAAGGAAAAGTCAAGAGTGCGGTGCTGGATCGGGACGTCTTTATTCGTGATTCACTGCTGCGCTTCCGCGCTCGACCATCAGCGTCATGATCAGCATGCAGCAGCAGCAACATGCAGACGCCTGGCCGCGCTGAATTCAGCTCAAGCTCAGGTTGTCCCGGACCCGCGCGGAGGCTACGAGGTGTATAGGTGCATGCTAGCTGCTGATGCATATACTGTACATCTCCATAAGGGCGCAGCAGCTGCCTGCAGCATCTCCACCGTATGCGCAAGCCTTGGTCCCTAATGAAAGAGTCAGAAGAGTCTCGACTCGATCTAATCTTGAATATATAGAAGCATGCAGCTATATACAGCATATAACCGCCATATAACCGCCGCCGTACCCGAGCTCGATGTCCTGCTGCTCCTGCTTGTTATTGCTGCACACTCCTACGAGGCTAACTTACATGTATGCTGTACCTATACTCAGACTGCAGCACATTACGCACCAAGCAACGCCTATATATGTAGCTGCATGCTGTGACCGGAGAGCGGGAGCGGGGAGATCATCTTCTTGTGTGCATGTGTGCGTGTGTGTGCGTTTGTGCGTGCATCCGCGCGTCGCGTACGGTACAGTCAGAGTATATACCGGTATATACCGGCTATGTGCCTTGCCATGCAGTCATCACAAGTGCTGCGCGCTTCGCTACCTTGGCCCTGCCATTTGACTGCACAACCCCACAAAGCCGAAAGCAGCCACAACGAGCAGCCGCGGCCGACGGGGCGAGCGGGCGAGCGCGGGCGAGCGAGTTGTAGGTGGGCATACCGACGACTCACGACTCACGACTGACGACTGACGACTCACGACTGTAATCCCATCGGATTCCGATCGAGCAAGCAGCTTTCACACACATAACAATCGTGCACCCTCCCCCTCATCGGCTTTCTTTCCCTCCCTCCTCGCCACACACACACACACACGCGCGCACGCACGCATCCCCACAACGTCCGCTCTTCCATCCTATCACTCTGCACACCACACCTTGTAGGTCTCTCGTCACCGTCTAGACATTCGACGTCTTTTGCGTTCTGCATTCAGCGCACGGCCTGCAACTTTGTGTTCAGACAGACCGCACGCAGAGGCGTGCAGGCCACTCACACCAATCCAGACTCAATCCCCTCCAGCACATCAGCTGGCTGTCTCGGCACATTGCCGCCCACACATTTGTCTTCAAACTCACCCACCCCCCAGCCCTTCTTCCCTTCATCATGGCGCTCAACTTGGACGATCTGATCGGCTCGATGCAGAATGGCTTTTCAGCCGGAGATCGCGGTTCGGATCTGGTGGCCATGAGGGAAGAGCTACGGCGGACATTAGGCGAGCACGCTCTTGGTCCTGGTGGTAGCAGTAGAGCTGGACATGCCGGGGATGGTAGCGGAGGTAGTTTGGATATGGACTACGCGGAGAGCAGTAGCGCGATTGGCAGGAACGCGGGTGGGAATGCGCAGCACTCTCACACTCTTACGGCTGCGTTGGATGATGGTGATGATGATGTGATGGGCATGGAAGGTGTGGACACGCCAAACGGAGGTGCTCCCGAGCATCAACAGCCGCACTCTCATTATCAACATCATCATCAATCATCTAATGGAAGTGCAGCTGGCGCTGCACACTCTTCAGCATCGTACATGTATGGATACGGCGTCCCCGGCCGGGTCGGCGGTAGCTACCCTGCATACGAGCATGGCACAGCGGGCATGTCATCTGCTTCTTCACCAGGTATGCGCATTCCCAGCTCGAGCACCGCTCATCGCGCCTTTGGCTTTGGTCATACCAGCTCCAATGGGTCATACAGTAGGGCAGCAGCAGCAGCAACAGCGGGACATCCATCCACGTCCGGCACCGGTACGGGACGGCATAGCATGGCAAAGATGGGCGCATCTCCAGCATCCGCATCGACGACCAACTATTCACCTCATTCCTTGGCTGCCTTTTCGCCCTTTCCAGCAACATCGCTAGCTTCCAGCGTGGCCACTTCTACATCCACTTCCACACATCACGATCATGGTTTTAGTCCGGGATCGAACATGACGAGCGAGAGCGCAATGTCTATTGCTAGTCCTGGACCTGCTCATGCGCCTGCCAACACACCTCAACAGACGCCGGTAGAGAGTCGAGGGGCACATATGCGCCGTCCATCGGCATCAGCGCAGCAAGACATGACGTGGTCAAGCGCAGAAGGTCGAGACGGGTCTTATGGACGCTTCGCTGCCATCGATGATTCTTCGCCCAATCCTTATCCAAGATCGAGATCTGCATCAACGCTTCAACAGAACGGACAGACGCACACTCTGGACGAATCAGCTCTGCACGCTAAGCTCGTCGCCTCGGCCGCTGCGAGTGCGAATATGGGTGCGGGTGCGCAGAGCAACACGGCAGCGCCTACTCCTCCGCGTAGTCCGGGATATCAAGCACGAAGATCCGTCGTTGGTTTTCAACCGCCGCCCTCTTTTCCTGCTTGAGAGGGAGGGGGAAGAGCGTATTGCGACGAGCCGGGGGGGCCGCGTTGGGGGGGGAGAATGCAACGCAAGGATGGCGCGCAGACGTTGCGGGCCCCAAGGAAATCGTCCGTCCAGCTATTGGAACAAGGGCGGATGTAGAAAGCGCATTCAATTTTCTTCTAAATCGCCGACTCTTTCGCTTTACATGCCCGACGGAGCGGCCACGGGTCTTGTTGTGAAGTCTTCCATGCGTAATTTCGAAATTTTGGCGCTGGCAATGTGCCGGCTTTCTGAAGCAAGCATCGACGATCGCATTGCGTATTGTTGTGTCGGCATACTTGCTACTACCGTACGTGCTTTCGGAACTCAACACCGGACCCCTCCCCCTCTCCCCTCCCCAGCGAGCCCGAACCGCACTCGCCCGACCCGGAAGCCCTCGTGGCGCTTTTTCTTTAGCGCATCTGGACGCCACGCAAGACGGAACCGGCCAATGGATCCTTTTTGTCACGCTCAATTACTTTTATGCTCGACTTACGTCGCATCACACCGCATCATACCATCTTCAAATCTTATCCCCATCGCAGTCCAGTACAACGCATCACCCACCTCTCGTCAAGCTCGCACGCCCTCGGTTCATTAGATGCGAAATCACAATCCACGTTCGGTTTCCTTTTTTCTTCGCATTTCCTCTTTCTCGTCACCGCATCGCGATCAAATCAAAGCGTGCGGTGGTGTTGGGGTATTGTACAGGGGCACAGCATGGGGGGGAAAAGTGTGCGAACTTGAGAAAGCATAGACTCATAGAGGGGTCTATGGGAGACGTCACGAGGGTAAAATACCGGAACGGGGCTTGTGATGCGTAGCACTGCTGGTCATCGAGCACGACTAGCCCCCCCGCGGAGCATGTGCTTGCTGTTGCAGTCTTGACCACATGGTGCGGGAACGCGAGGGGAAAGTCGGATTTTTTTTTTTTTTTGGCAGACGGCTCATGCGTGGGCGCTTTGATGCCGAGTTTTTCGGTAGGCCTCATCCGAAGCATGCCATGGGGATGGACGCATGATGCCGATCAATTAAGTTGTCGAAGAGCGGTCTTGCTTGCTTGCTGATGCTTTGCCCGGACGCGCATCAGAACCGAGGGGGGGGGGGGGGGGGGGGGGGGGGGGGGGGGGGGGGGGGGGGGGGTTGCAGCGAAGCGCGTGATGGGTGAGCACTAGCATGCGGGCATACGGGGGAGGAGCGAGGGGGGGGGGGCAGAGCGATCGAAGGCCCCGCGCTTTCCAAGTGCGAACTCCGTTCGTCGTTGTCGTCGTCGCGCGAGAGCAGGCCAAGCGTCGCAGCCTCGCAGCCTCGCAGCCACGCGTCACGATGCCGTCGACCGAGGTGAAGCGTGGGAGATTGGGGAGGTCGATGCGCGCGTTGCGGGGATCGATGGGGCTGGGAATGTGAGGAGGCGGCAAGGGAAGGGGAGCAGATGGAGCTGGAGATGGGTCTGGAAGTGCTTGGTCTGCGAGGAGCGTAGCATAGCTTGCTCATTCGCGCTTCTTGCGCTGCTGCTGCTGCTGCGCAGCTGCTGGACGAATTGGCTGCAAAAGCTGTGGGCGGCGTACAGTGTGCTGCTGCTGCTGCTGCTGCGTTTGGATTGGCGGAAGGGATAGGAGGCTCTGATGCGCGCGTGTTGCTGCAGTGACGTGTACCGATGCGATTCATGTTTCGTCGAGGAGTGACCGGAGCTGGGGCTGGAGCTGGCACTTGTGCCAAGAGGTCGGACGAGCTACGAGTCGGAATGTGAACGTGAATGTCGGTAAAGGTGGTTGCGGTGACGTTTTGCGCAAAGGACAGGCCTTGTCCAGAGCTGGAGCTAGAATGCGCACGTGGACAGGGAACGGTGCGAGATCGACGACGAGTGTCGGATGGGGGACGTTGGGAGGTGTGATTGATGGAGGAGAGGGTCGAGCTGTGCGCCAGAAGACGTTTGCATCGACTTTGAACAGGGGCTCTGCCATTGCTGCTGCTGCTGCCGACCATTTTGCGTGTAATTTGACGCGCGCAACGTTGCAGCACCAACCTATCCTGCTTTCGCGTCTGTCGTACTTGCTACTGCTGCTTGACAAGCAAGTGGGTCTGTAATCTCGAGAAAAGAAGCGAGTCGAGTCAGAGTGTGAGCAGCTTGAGATTGTGTCGCGGTAGCTGCAGATTGATTTGGCAAAGAGAAAGAGACGGAGAGACGGTCAACGAACGGTTTTGCGGGGGAATGGCAGCGGTGCACGTTTTGCATCGTCATTCGTCCATTTATCATGATCAGCGAGCAGATCATACTTCCTTGAGTCCTCACCTCGAAAGCATCAAGGCAGATTGTAAAAGTGTCGGCTCCGTGCTACGAAAGAGAAATGGTCAAAGGAAAGCCCCATGGCAGCATTCATGTCTGTCTGCGATGTGCGCCTGCCATGTACGCCTATGACCCCACCGCAGCGCTCCTCCCAACTCGCCAAGCGCCATGCAACAACACATCAGACCCTGATCCGCGTCAAAGTTCAGCTTTGGCGGCGGATCGCTACGCTACGCTACGCTACGCTACGCTACGCTACGTATGGCGCCGATTTTGACCTCGAAGGCTCAAGGTGGAGGATGAGCAAATGACACTCGTGACTGTGACTATCGATGTCCGCATCCGCATCCGCATCCGCATCCATCGCTTCGCGTTTCCCTTAGCTTGCGCCAAGGAACAAAAGAACGCACCCTTGCCATCAACAAAGTAGAGAGTCGCGGTCAATAGCAGCGGCGATTAGGCTCGGATGTGGCTATTTCAGCATTTCCAACATACAACACACGGCATACATGCTGCTTGTTGCGATACATTACGTGATTGCGGAGGACAAGCTTTGCTAGGATTCACGATTCATGCGTCGCGAGGTCGTGCGTTGTGACTGACGCGCCTGGCTGCTATGCTCACATACGCTTACACGCGTGACGCGTGGTTGTCAGACATGACCATGCCAGGCGGGAATGCGTGCGTGGTGGGGGCGCATCACAACACAGCAAGCGGTGCATCCATGGCATGGCATGGCATCTTCCAAATCAGGACTTTCGAGTTCTGGTCAAATCAAAGAATTCTTGATTCCAAATCTCAATTCAAGATTCTGAGTCAGAGTCAAGAGTCGTGAGTGATCTGGAGCTCGCGCTATCCTTCCAGGAAGGATATCACGTGAGCCTGCTTGTACGCGTCCCGCTACACATTCTTGATTCTTGATTCCGGCTTATTTGGCGTCACGCTCGCGCATCGATCGTCCAGCTCGAGAGATGCAGTCATGCACACGATGTGGATTGTGTAGAGAGAGAAGAGAGAGAGCTTAGAGCTTCAAACCTTCTTCTCCATTCTCCTTTCAATACCCCCCCTTCGCGCTCAGAATCGTCGCTCACAACTCTCGATTGAATGCGCGCAACATCCTCTTGATCACTCCGCCTTGGCCGCTCTTCACACCTTCTCAAAGTCATTCTTCAAAGCCCTCTTCTTCACTGCGACTTCTCGTCGGCGAAGCTATTTGCTGCATTTCGTCTTGCTTGCAGTAGTCGTGCCGCTCTCTGCTCAGCCGTGAAGCGAAGCGGACGCACACCGTGGCACTCTCCAAATTCGAGAGGACATACTCAGTCACGCAAGCATTGCAAGGAGCTGCAGCGTAATCTCGCCCGGGCGCTTGTCTACCCACGCCTCTTGCTTGCGTCCCAACTTGCTCGTCATTTCACAATGATCGACGCAAAACGAAAAGCTTCCGGATCTAACGGTGATGCGGCATCGTACTACGCTTCGCAAGTGGGTGCATCTTCAGGACCCGTGGGAGGATCACTGGTCAAGAGACAACGACAGGATGAGGGGGACGATGGTGCGGGAGCATTGGTGGCTATCAGCTCTGATCGGCAAGGCAAGGATAAAGGATTGATGAGGAGCGTCAAGAGGACTAGCAGCTTGCAAGCTCCTATCGTTTCGCTCAATGGAGCTCACGGAGTGAGTGTGCCAGCTGCGGTATACGCGGTTAGCAGGAGAGTACTTTTTTGCGCTGAACTACGTGTACCGCCCCGCCCGTCCCTCTCAGGCCGAAATATTGGACGTGGCATTCTCACCAGACGGCGCATATATCGCTGCGGCCAGCGCAGATCGAACTATTTGTGAGCAGGCGAACATGTAGGGAGCGTGTAAGGAAGGCCGAGCATTCCGCAAAACTCATCCTTTCACTCGCTATACTTGGCAGCCATATGGACCACGTACGGCGATAACACCAACATTGGGATCTTGACGGGTCATTCTAAAGCGGTGACCTCGTTGACCTGGTCCAAAGTGGCACCAGCGCATACCCCCGTGCTCTTTAGCGGCTCAGCCGATGGAACGCTGATAGTCTGGGAAGTCCTGAGTGGTACCAAGGTGCGAAGGCTTAGGGGACACAAGGGCATAGTCAATTGCGTAGCCTCTACCAGGAGTTTTCCACAATTGCTCGTCAGCGGAGCGGACGATGGGATTGTGCTCATCTGGTTCTGGCAAGAAGAGAGTAGACCTAGGGAAGCTATACAGGTCGGGTACCCCGTCACGGCGGTGGAGTTCAGCGAAGATGGAAGTCAGGTGTATGTTGCGGGTTTGGATAATGATGTGCACGTGAGTAGCTCCACAGAGCAGTTGTGAGGTGTCAAGAAAGCGCCGAGGAGGGCTAAACGTTTGCCGGGCAAGCATCGTCGCCGCCAGGCGCGTGTCGGACTGATGCGCCGTGCTTACACAACATTGTCACCTCGAACCCCTCGACAGATTTATGACCTGACTCAAAAGTCGATCTTGTACACACTGCGGGGTGAGTTCTCAGTCCCGCTCTCATGTGCTAGATGTGATCACCTTTTGACGCGAAACTCTTCCCGGCATCATCCCAGGGCACACCGATACGGTCTTGTCCATCTCCCTGTCTCCTCAGGGTACACACCTCGCCAGCAGCTCGTCAGACGGAAGCATCCGAATCTGGGACGTGCGACCTTTTGCGCCCGAGCCTTTGCCGGGTCAAAAAGGCAATGCGCGATTGCAAAAGACTTTGCAAGGTTTGAGCATAGGCTTCGAACAGGCGCTCGTGCGGTGCAGGTGGAACAAGAGCGGCAGCAGGCTTGCGGCTGGAGGTGGAGATAGGACGGCTACGGTGTGGGATGTGGAAAAGGCGGAAATCTTGTACAAGGTGAGTCTTGAATTGGTAGCTTGAAGGAATGGGCAAGGGGGGAAAATGCGCGAAAAAAATTTGCCCCTGCATAGTTTAGAAAGCACAAGAGCAAGACATTTGTTCCGTCGCTTTGTTGTGGCCGCTGCTCATGCCGAGATTGGCCCTTACCCTATCCTATCGCGCAGTTGCCGGGCCACAGAGGTACTTGCACAGCGGTCGACTTTCATCCCAAAGAGCCAATCATTGTCTCGGCCAGCTTCGATCAGCAACTGCTGCTGGGCGGTGAGTGCTCCTAGTTGTCCTGCGCTGCAATCTTCACCGGCGCCATTCTTTTCCACCGAGCGAAGTGTCGTCATGCTCATTGCTGCTCTCTCCGCGCCATCCTCCGCTCTTTAGAGATTGAACCTTGATAGCTCGTCCCACCGCTTTGCTAGATGACTCGACCAATCGGCAGCAGCTTGCCGTACTGCACAAAACAAAAGCAAAATGAGATGCACATCGGCCATCTTCTCCTCCTTGAATCTCTGAGCATCTCGAAGAGCCATGCGCAAAAGGATGATGTTGAGGTGACTTGCAGAGCAGGGTGGTTGGTGTTGTTACAAAGAGAGAACAAGCACAATTGAGAAGGGAGGAGGGGAAGGGGAAAGAACAGACCGGGCGACGCGTGCAACGAACATGGCTGATCCTGCTCCTCCATCAGGCTTACGAGGCATCACGTGCGGTCAAGCTGCAATGCTAGCAGCGCCGTGCAACGGTAAAGGAGATGCCAGGGGCGTGTCGGCAACTTCCGACGCGTCGTTGTCCACAGCAACAGCGGCCGAGCGTCCGATACCCAAGACCGGCATTGCCGGTTTCCTCCTTGAAACGCCACTCGAGCTCTTGCCTTGCATCATCTGCACACCCTGCTCGAGCCTTGCATTTTCGTCTTGCGCTAAGGAGCCGGAAGCCTTGCCCTCCGACGACTTGGGCTCCACCTTGGCTCGAGAGCTGAAAAAGTTCCTCTTGCCTGATTTGCGACCCGATCGACTTTGCCTTTGCGTGCCGAAGCCCATGCCTAGTACATCGTCTCGAGCAGGATCGCCCAAAAGGCCAGAGAATTGTACGCTGCTCCTCCGCCCGTTCGCAGCCGCTTCCAGCGCATACGTAGGATTGCCGAACCTAGCTGCCAAATCGTGCGTTCCAGCACCGAGCAAGCTTGCATTGCTGTTGCCTCGCTTCATCGTCGAGCCTCGCCTCGATCCGTTGGGGGTGGAGTCGATGGATCGCGCTTTTGATGCGTAGCCCGCTCGAAATGGTACCTGACCTGCTACGTCGTGGCCCTCTGCGCCCATCTCAGATGCTCGCCCACCTTCGTCAGATGACGATCCTTCGTCACCCGATAGTTCATCCCCAAATCGCTCGACGTGTGCATCTCTTAGACGTTCTGTGATGGTCGAGAAAGAATTTCAGCTGCATCGCCTAGGTACGTGCTCGTCACGAATCCGACTCACGTGTTATCCTCTGGTCCAGGTCGGACTCGTCATCATCCTCCAGATCCATGTCCGCGGGGTTGATAGAATGAGCAGGAGTCTCATGCATGCCTACGCTAGGTGCCGGGTTGAGACACCTAAGATTCTCCACAATCTTCTTGACGAGTCCATCCAAGTATTCTCTGGTATTCTGATTATCCATGCTGGTGGGGGGTACGTCCAGCTTGTATTCTGGTCCAAAATACTGAATGTACTCGTTGAAGGGCAGATCCTCGGGCAGCTCTTTTCCAAGCATCAAGCCTGTTTCGTACGTCCACGTCCGCGCAACATTCCGCACCGTGTATCCTCCGCCACCCAGACAGATCAGGGGCACTCCAAACGACTGCATGAACCGCACACACTCGGCGTGTCCTTCCGAAGGTCAAAGACGAGTCAGCACGACTCGACCGGCGGTTCGGCATGTCACCAGCACTCACCTCGCATGCTCAAGTTGAAACAGCCCAGCTTGTCTCCTGCAAGACTGTCAGCACCGCATTGGAGCACCACAGCCCCGGGTCGGTACCAGTCCATGATGTGTTGCAACACCTACGCGATCAAGAAGCGGCATATAGTCGGTCATCTGCGATACAGCCCGATTCAGCACGACCCAGCATGCCCAAATGCGTACTCACAGGTCTGAAAATCCCGCCAAACTCCACGTCACCCACTCCATCCCTGAGAGGCACATTCACAGCGTACCCCTTGCCTTTCTTGATGCCAATGTCCCTCACATCCCCAGTCCCTGGAAAGAAATCTCCAAACTTATGAAAACTGACAGTCATGACTCTGTCTGTGGTGTAGAATGCTTCCTCAACGCCATCACCGTGGTGGATGTCGATGTCGATGTACAGCACTCGCAGGTGCGTTCTATGCGCGTTTAAGGGAGTGTGTCGCATTCGTCAGAGCTGCCTCAATCCCACTTTTCGTGCGAGCTCACCTCAGCAGCTCGAGTATGGCCAGCACGATATCATTCACGTAGCAGAACCCGCTAGCCTCTCTCTTCTTGGCGTGATGCAGTCCTCCGGCCCAATTGATGGCTACGTCTGCTGTGCCATCGTTGATGGCGTGTGCTGCAGACAGTGAACCGCCGGCAGATATGCTGCAGAATTCAAATAGACCTCCAAAGGCTGGGCAGTCTTCGCCTATCAGAACTATTACATCCGAAGGAAACTTTGGACGGTCAGCTCTGGATACCTAGTTGCGCACATGACGTGAAGGCAGCTCAATCTGGTAGAGTGCAAATGACTCGAATCTGATTGCTGCTTCGCGCGCGGCCAGCTGCCATAAGGCTAGCGCCATGCGCCCACTGTCAGCGGCATGCACTCACATCTGGTCCCATCCCCAGTCAGCTCGGCCACCGTTTCAGGAGTGACTCTCTGCAAAAAGTCTACATATTCATCCGTATGAAAAGCAGTCATCTGCTCTCTTGTAGCTCTTCTGGGTCTGACGAGGTGCATGTACCTGTGCAATCCGTAATTGGAGACCAGGTTATGGGTCATCCTCATCCGATGAGGCTTCATTGGATGTCCGTAGCCATAAGAGTAATTGCCAACATCCTCGTCGTGGATATAAGTGACGCGATCACGACGACGTGAAGAGGTCGCGGGAAGCGGTAAGGGCTCCATTTCGAGCAACGGGCAGAGGTGCGACGGGATCCGCGGCTTGCTGCGGTGGCCGTGTCCGTTGGATCGCAAGCGTCTTGGCGAGCACAATCAGAGATTGATGCGAGCTGAGCTGAGCGGGCACACTGCGATACTGGTGACTCAGCAGTGCAGTGCGGCAAGCCTCGATCCGCAGAGAGGTGGTGCGCAAGCAAGCTAGGTCTGAACAGCCTGAAAGCAGCTGTGCCAAGGTGAGCAGATGGTCGGCGCTATTCTTCGGTGCAGCTTGCGCGACCCGCTCTGTGCCAAAGAAAGGTATGTGCTGGGCTGCTGCTGGTGTGCAGGATTAGCAATGAAGCCAAGGGTGATGTGAGAGAGCAGTCGAGAGTCAAGAGTGTGAGAGTGGTGTCGCGAGGCCTGGGCTGAAACAACCCACACACCGGGTTCAAGCTTCTCATGCACCCCTCGACTGCCATCCAAGATCTAGATGGAGCTCATCCTCCACCGTCCGCCGAAGTGTCACGTGTCCTTCACTCCACCGCTGAGCGAAGTGCACAGCAGCGTGTGCGCCCTTGGCTCAGCAATCATGAATGCGCGTGCGCGAAGTGAGCCGTGGGCGTGCGGCGTTGGTGTCGCGCAGGAGCCGTGCTGCAGCTGCACCACCGGGCGGTGCGAGTATGTATAGGGCTCCACCTATCTAGACCTTGCAGCTAGCCAGCCCTGCTGTCGTGCTACGAGGCAGCGCAGCGTTTCGCCCACGATCATCCACCGCATCGCCATCATTCAACTTGCAGCAGCAGACATCGTTCCTGCTCACCAATCAGCGTGCGACTTTCAGAGCTCTCCGAAGACGGACCCACTGACTGCCACAATCGAGCCGCAAACCCATCTCTAGTCTGTGCGAGCTTCCGCTACAGCCCACATCTAGCCATCCAGCCCAGCAACCCACTCGCGCCACCATGGCGGGCATTTTGTGGGGCTCAGATGCCTTTGCAGAGCTCGTAGACAAAGCTACGTCTGAACTGCTACCAGCAGGTCAAGAGGACATCTCTCTCAACCTCGAGATATGCGATCAGGTCAGAGCCAAACAGGTCCAACCTAAGCATGCGATGCAGGTCATCAAGCGCAGATTGGGTCACAAGAACCCCAACGTGGCCATGCTTGCCCTAGGTGTGAGTACGATGAAATCGCACACTGATCGCGAAGATGCGTTGCCGCTAACCACGCTTTGCCTGCTTGATGCTCGGACGCAACCTTACTCGTGTCTCGATAACCGCAGCTCACTGACGTGTGCATCAAGAATGGTGGCGACCATTTCCTTACAGAGGTGGCTTCTCGAGAATTTATGGACAATCTCGTGTCCATCTTGCGGGATCCAGCAGGCGTCAACGTGGATCTCAAGTCCAAGTCGCTAGGATTGATTCAAAACTGGACTCAAATCGCCGAGGCCCGACCCGCATCTGCATCTTCCTCCATGGGCTACATCACGCAAACGTACCGATCTCTCCAAGAAGCGGGCTTCGAATTCCCACCCAGAGACCCAGCTGCTGTGATTAGCGCTGCGCTGGTAGAGACCATGACTGCCCCCGAATGGATTGATGGGGACGTATGCATGCGTTGCCGAACAGCCTTCACGACCTTCAACAGGAAGCATCATTGCAGGAACTGCGGTAACGTCTTTGATGCGCAGTGCAGCGGACACACGATGGCTCTGCCTTGGTTCGGAGTAGGTCAGGATGTCAGAGTGTGCGATGGTTGCTACGCCAAAAGAGCGCCGCCCAAGAAATCGGCCATCAGCTCCACTTCTTCAGGTAGCACCAGCTTGGCGCGATCTCGCTCCGACGCTGCTCAGATCACGCCCTCGGGTAGAGGGGGGGCGGGCTCTCATCACAGATCAGCAACCTTGGGTAGCAAGTCCGGGCAGCCACGCAGCGCAGGCTCAGGTCAGCGCATGCAGCGAGAGGAAGACGATCTGGCTCTGGCGATAAGGCTCTCGCTAGAAAGCTCCGGATCCAACTCGAGCGGTGCGCCGTCCAGCGGCTACGTGCCTTCTTCGCCGCCAACCAGTCGAGCAACTCGTCAACCCGATGGACGCATGCTAGAAGGCACAGATGCAGATGATGACCCAGACTTGGCAGCCGCTATCGCTGCCAGCCTGCGCGACTTTGCCCCACCAGCACCCAGCGCTCCCACGGACTTCTTGCCAGCAGATGCTGGCAGTCTCACTCCTCGAAGCCGTCAAGCACATCAGACCAGCACCGCGTCTCGCTTGCCTTTGCCACCTTCTTTGGAATTGGCTAATCCCGACATTGACGCGCTGCTGAGCTTCTCTCAAGGCATCCGGGTGCAAGAAGCCCAAGCTGCACAGACTGGCATGTTCTCGGCATCTCAGCCGGGCACTGAACAGCAGCAAGTATACGCGGCGTATGACAAAGCGACAGCTGCGAGACCCCGGCTAGCACGAAACCTGGAAGAGGGAAACAGGAGACTAGCAGTGTTGACTTCGATGCATGATAAACTTGGGGAAGCTGTGCATCTCTACAACCGCATTCTCGACTCACAACTCTCAAGGCCAGCAGCGAGCTATGCGCCGCAGCACAACGGACACGCGTACGCCTACGCTGCTCAGCAGCATCCTCAGCATGCTCAACAGACGCAGCAATGGGGCTTCCATCACCACTCATCACAGGACCGTCATGCCGAACCCTCCTCTGTTGCGGGATATTCTGCCGCAGCTACTCCGAGCTCTTCCTTGTACCCCAACCTCTCGCAACAGCCTCAAGCACATGGGTACGTCGATCCTTCACAGCATGCTATGTCGCACGGTATTCAGGGCTTGCAGCCCTGGCAACAGCCACAGCAGCATGGCCAGCACCCAGACGGCCAGCACCGAGCTCCTCAGCAGTATCACGCGCCTTATTCACAGCATCATCCTTTCGATGCCAAAGAGGTAGTGTCCCCTTCTGCTCCACCTCACCAGGCGCATGGTGGCCCGCAACCTCAATCACAAAGCTACGCATCGCCCATGCCCTCATTTGCGGCTCCCCAATCTGCAACGCCACAGGAAGCGAAGCGACAAGAACCGGCCATTTATGCCAATCAAACCTTCAGTCCTGAACCGAACCACGCTCAACATGCGTCATATGCAGGGACGTTCACGCATCATCCGCAATTCGATCCACAGCAGCAACAGCAAACCATCAGCAGTCCACACCAACAGCAGTACGAAGCACCTTGGCATTCGTTGCAGAGTCTGCCGAGCGTGAGCTCGCTGCCCACGGTCGATTCTGCTCATGGGAAAGCAGTGCACTCCCCCTCTGGATGGGCACATTCGGCAGCCGGACCGCAAAGCGCTTTGACGGTCTCCTCCGCGCCTTTAGCGCTAAACGAGAGCGGCTTGACACCTGTGTCTATCGAAGATGCCACTGGCAAGGGTCTGACGTCCAGGCAGGTGCCTCCGCGTCAAGAAGCTGTGTTGGGTACTTCTCCTCAGACGGATGGTCAGCTGCCTGGTTCTGCTAGTTCAAGAGATGATGTTCAGTCAGTGGGAAATGCACCGCGAAACATCCCCAGCGCCGCTCCCGTCCCGTCGACACCTTATTCTGGACAGTCTAGGCCTCCAGCTTTCCCGCACGCAAGTGCACCCGAGACGGATGTCGAAGCAGTGAGCGAGAACGCTTTCAATGGATGGAGAGATATACCCATCGCCCCAACGGCTCCACCTGTTGACAAACCTGGGTTGTCAACGGCGCCAACGGCACACGTCGACCAGGAACCTTGGAGATCGCCCGCACACAGACAGATGGAGCCGAGTCTCATCGAGTTCTAGGGTGGACAGCCCGGCCAATGCAATGCGGAGACTACATTGAGGTCGTCTTGTGCGCATATGGCCTTTACAATCAGATCAGGTTGTGTCCGCTCAACAAACGCTTCATCATCGCCGCCGGCGCAGTCGTCGATGTGCACATCAAGAAGTGTGTGTCTGGGAAAAGCGGGATTGCGACGAGAATTATTGTACAGACAATTGAGACGCGACAAGGGGTATGTGAAGATGATGGGCGTTTCAACGTGATCATGGCCGGCAGCGGAGGCAAACGGATACGGGCGAAGCAGGCGCGGAGCAGCCGTTAAGGGTGCATCGCGACTCCTTGTGAGGCTCTTCCGCCCGCGAAGGGGCTCGCGATCGCGTAGCAGCGAGTGGCGGACTAGCGACTGAACAAGCGCTTGAGGCCGAGGTTCTCCAGCTCTGCGCCGATGGAAGTCTTGAGCAACATCCGTGCGGATAGGCGAGGTGTGGTTGGGCAAGTGACCGTGGTCAATGCCGGCAAGACCAGAGCTGTTTGGAGGTTGAGACTTCGTGGGTTCAAGCGCGGCGACGAGGAACCCGAACCAGTTGCGACGCTTTGCAGCTCTGATCTTGCTGGCTTGCTCGACTGTGAAGATGGCTTGGGGAGGCTGAAGTCGCATGGTACTGCCGTTACTGGTGCTGGAGCGTGTGCACGTGCACGTGCTGCGTGTCCGTCGCTTTCCGCCTCCGCAGCGCTTTCCGCTTCGGTCTCGGTGCTCGAGCGAGAAGCTTCCAGGCTCTCGTCATCCGGAAGCAAAGTGATGTGCCATTGTTGTCTCGTTTGTGCCTCTTCCGTCGAGCCCAGCATCGGCCTGGATTGATCTTCACCAAAGATGTCCCTGCGCGTTTGCGCATCCAGAGGAACACCGTATCGGGATTCGAAAGAGACGGCGCTGCATCTCTTGTCCGTGCTTCGACGGCCCATGGACCTAGTATGAGGCATTGAGCGACGCTGAAATCGTCTTGCGTCGGTGTTGAGCTTCGCATCGTCGCTCAATTTGGAGGGGAGCGCACTGGTCGTCGCGCTCTTGCCCATCTGGACAGAGTTGGCGGGACAGATGACCGCATAGATCGGCAAAGAGTCCGTAGAAGCTGTTGCGAGCTGCATCTTGTAAAGATGGAGTGGATGTGAAATGTGGGTGAAGCGATGCTTGTGCAGTGGAGAGCAAAACGTAACTTCTGTTGGGTCGAGACGCGGTATGTTTGCGCTAAATCCGGTCAGAGGAACGGTCACGAGTGATGCTGCCAGCGATTGAATCTTTGAGCGGGGAATGGGTTTGTTTGGATGGAGTGACAGACCGCGGGATGTGAGCGCATCAAGTCCGACATATATACCTTCTTCCCAGATGCTTTCACCTCCTGGCGCCTTTGTCTCCCTCTTCCGCACCAAGGCGTCATGAGGAAACCCACGGTAGCCTATCGAGGTGGGGCAAGAAAAGATCAGCCTCCGGACTATCTGGCTCCGTGAAGTCAACGGAGGTGCGGAAGCAGATGCCGCGTACGCGGTACGAGCCGTTGGATGTGCCGGCTTGCGCATCACGGGCAAGCCTCGTGAAGCACACGCACGCGCGCGTGCCATATGCAGCATCTAGCGCGGAACTCCATGGCTGTGCTCTGGACCGCGTGCACGAGGAGGGCGCGTACCATTATTATTATTTCAAGTTGTGTGTCTCTGCTGCTGGGCTGCAGCTCAACTTGCTATACAAGTAGCTGATGTGACTATATATTCACTCACCAGCATATTATACGATGACGGCTCGACAAAGCGCAAGCCACAAACGTACGCGCACGTATGCACAGCACGGCACTTCAAGCAGCTGCGTGGCAGCTGCATGCATGGCTGCATCTGGCCCACGAGGAGACACAGCAGCAGGTACGCGAATGGAAAGGCAAAGACATTTCTTCCGCTCATCTTCTGCCACTTCAATCGTGAATCGATCGAGCTGGCTGAGAGTCCCAGCAAGCTAACTTCTCTTGAGGGCGGATGTGATCACGCGGCATCATCATCCATCTCACTGCCATAGCCTAGAGCTCGGCATGGCGACACCGCCTTTGCGAAGTCCGTATCTTGGTATCGCACACCTTGGCATCTCGCAGAGAAAAGGCGCGAGAAAGGAGGAGAGCGCATGCGGTGAATGACCATGCAGAGTCTCCAGTGCTCCGGACCTGCTCCGATCACGAATCCAGGCGTCTCAGATTCACAGATTCACAGATTCACAGATTCGGCTCCAGTGAAGATCTCTCCTGCATGAGCAGCAGCAGCAGCGAGTCCGTGATGGGTAAGCGGGCAACCTTTGCAGCCACAGGCAAGCAAGCATGTCGCAACCGAAATTGCACAGAGATTTCCGATACGCGAGACACTCATCAGACTTGAAGGCCTAGCTTCAGACATGCTTTACTCGAGGCATTCGCTTTCTCTCACTCACTCGACAATGTACTCCGCGTCTGCATGAGCTAGCAACGGCCTTCCGCGCTGCTCCGATACAGGAGAGACCAGCAGCTACCTTTCCTCTTTGCAGCTCCATCACGACTGGTCAGCTCGTCCTGCGGCTGGCACCCACGCTCGCACTGCAGCGCAGCCTCTACGCCAAAGTCAAGACATGCCGAAACGTACGGATCCGCGATTGCAGTTCTCGAGACTCGATCGACTCAATCAAGACCACTCGCTGCATTTGTCCCGCACGACGCATCGGTACACAACACTCAAGACTTGATCCTCACGATGCTGACTGTCTTGACATGATTTTTTTTGTATTTGACACACAACGTCCGTGGCTTCCGGGCGCGTCTGACTTTCAAAGACGTCCCCGCACTCTCTTGGCACGCTTCTTCGCGCAGGGTCTTGAAGCGCCAAGCAACCGGGTGGGGGCGGTGTCAACGTCACTGCCACGCTTGGCAGGACTTTCCACTCCATCTGATCACAATCAAGGTACGCAAGCGACCGACAATAATGTTTCTAATAGCTGTTGTTGCTACAATCGGGTACTTGGCGCTCGTGATCAATCCAGAGTGGTGAGGTTTGAGGACATTTATCCTCAAGGTCTCGTGGGCAAGGACAACAAGGTCAAGCCTCTTGCGTCTTTTCGGCATCTTGCTTGGCAGCATCCTGAGCCAGGCGTTGTTGCTCGCTGACCTTTTTCAGGTTCTGCCACTTGATGAAGGGAAGCGCAAGGACGATGGCGCATGCTGTACCCAAGCCCGCGTACCACACGTCTCGCAGCGCGACGTTGTACGCATTGATGATAGTAGGTAGGAGAGATGCAGGGACCATCTTTGCTAGCTCGGTCACGCCGGTTTTGGCGAGCACGCTAGCGTTCAAGCCTTCGACGCCCGCCAGCGTGCTCTTCAGCTTGTTGGCCAGCAAATTCTGTGCGACGGACACGAAGATGGCACCCCCCATTTGCTGGCTGAAGAAGTTGGAAGCTAGAGCCAAAGGCAAGTCTTGAGGATCAACATTCGATTGCAAAGCGAGCGATGGGCCTGAAAAGACGGAGGCAACCAACTTGGTCAGCTCGCTGAGATGTACCTTTGTCGGCATGCGGATGCTGAGTATATGCTCACTTTGCATTCCCAAGCCAATGCCAAAGCCGTAAAGAACTTGGAAGCCGATCCATTCGGGATGGGCTGTACCTGTCGTCCACAGGCTGATGAGACCCATTCCCACAGATGCCAGGACGGGTGCCGCGACCAATTGAGGTCCAAAATGACCGGTCCGTCGAGCGGCGGCTCCTGACAAGATCGAGGCGACAACGAGACTCAGGATCACTGGCAGGGTTTGATATGAGGAGTGGAGCGCTTCCGACTGCTTCACAGCTTGAAACCTTTGGAAGAGTGAAAGAGCGGCGTCAGCTTTGCGTCCATTTCGAGAGCGCTCGGTCGGAATGATGAACTTACCAAATGGGAATGTAATAGATGGCGACATTCATGGAACCCGCCAAGCAAAAGGTGTACCACAGAGAACCGTACACGGTTCGTTGGAGGAAGACGCGAGGCGGAATGAGAGCTCTGTCTCCAGCGTACCATTGCGAAGCAACGAAGGCTAAGAAGAAGACGCCAAAGATGACTAGCAGAGCAACGACTCTGGCGTTGCTCCACGCGTAGGCAAATCCTCCGAATTGCAAGGCGAGAAGTAAAGCGACGGTGGCTGGGACGATGAGGATGAAGCCGAGAGGATCGAGCTGCTTGATCTGCTCGAAAAACTTCAGGTTTTGACGCTTTCCATCGTCGACATCTTCTGGCCGAAGGAGAAGCGCAACGATGAGTATGGCAAGGGCCGCGCAGGGCACATTGATGTAGAAGCACCAGCGCCAGGAGACTTTTTGGGTGAAAGCTCCCCCAATGAGCGGTCCGAGAGCACTCGAGGCACCTTTGATAGGCAAAGACAGGCTCGTCAGCACTCAGTCTCACAGCGATTATACGCAACCCACTCACCAATGACGACGCCAAACATGGCCATGATCATCGGACGTTTGTGCAGCGGGACGATGTGCAAGATGATCTGCAAGGCGCTTTGCAGAATGCCAGACGCACCGGCACCTGCAATAGCACGACCGAGGATTAAGCCGACCGAGTTGGGCGTAGCTCCGCATACAGCCGATCCGACCGCAAAGATGAACATGGCGGACAAGAAGATCGGTTTGACGGGATTATGTTTGCAAAGACGACCAAAGATGAGCTGCAAGCTGGCATTGGTGAGCATGTATGCTGAGCCGTACCATCCGATGTCGTTGGGAGAATGAAAGTCATCCGTCAGACGTGGGATGGCCACGCCGATGATGGTGCGGTCCAACGAGACGAGGAAGAGACTGAGGATGAGCAGACAAAGGATAGGTAGAGTGCGGAGCAGTGGTAGCTCGCCAGTGCTGGATGGTTTCTCTCCAGCCTTGCCGCTCTCTGCATCCTGCTCGCCAGCTGTAGTCGTTGCGGTACTGTTGTGACCGGAAGTCTGGACGGACTCGCGACGGTCCGAAGGACCAGCAGTGGGTTGAGTGATGCCAGACATCGTGAGTCAGGGTCTGCCAAACGGAGTGCGCGGTGCAGTGTAGTGGAGCGGAGTAGTGATATTCACACCAAAAGTGGATGAGAAGCTTGTATCGAGGCCCAGCAATGTCAAGCCCATCTCTGGACCCCTTTATATATGTTTCGAGCATGCTGCATCAACGCGCACTCAATCTGATGCATTTCAAGGAATCGTCTCACACGGGAGGGGAGGGAACATACGTGATGTGACTGTTGTATGCTGACATCGGGCAGGTTCATGGCCCGGAGCGGGTCATGAGTCGTGGATGTGATTGAGGCGATAGGGTGCTTGGTCATGGTCGCCCGATTTCGATGCAGGAACTCATCAGAACGGACGCTCAATAGTCCGCGCCGATACTCGATGGGCCGAGAAGCCTACCAACAGTCACGTGGAGACCGGATTGTCCGATCCGAGACAGAGCTCATCCAAAATGAGGATGAGTCGTGCCTGACGTACGCGGGGAACATGCTCTCCTACTCGTCTGCATGGTCTTGCTTGCATATCAGCTTGTCGTCCCATGTGCTCATGAAGCGCTTCAATCGCTTAGCTGTGCTCATCTCAACCCTCGTCGCCTGCGGCGGGTGTGCCGTGTCCAGATGATCTTTTGAAATATAAATCACGTGAATGTGTTGCGTGCTGTCCGCTATCCCGGCGCCCACGCCGGACTCGCGACTCGCGACCCAACACGCTTATTGACTCAAGACTGCATGCTACGTGCTGCCGCGGGAAAGTCACGATCGAGTCAAGCGTCAAGAGTCACAACGGTGTGCTTTGCCGCCGGCTTGAGTCTCAGAGTCTAGTACACAGCTGCAGCACGCGCGAGGTGCGGCGCTGCTGCGCCGCAAGTCGCTCGTTAGCGTGCCGTACCTGCAGAGGAAGCGCTCCAGCAGAGCTCGTAGATTCGTGACCACTCGTGAGTGGCAGGGGATTGCATTCAATTGACCCAATTGTGAGTAGCAGTGATGGAGTGTGACATGTAATCGTGAATGATCAGCAGTCAAACGCGCGGTCTCGCTTTCATGACTCTACTTTCTACCACCACCACGCTGTGAAGCGATCGAAGGGCTGGCTCTTCAAGGCTGCAGACACGGTACACAATAGACTGGTTGTCTTGCTCAAGATGCTGCCCGACCGCAGCGGAAGGAATGCGTCAGTGGCCACTGCTCACACACAGCCCGATGTGGACTCAAATCGGACAAGAAGCTCAATGTCTTCCCATGCCACTACGTCCATGTCCACAGCACGCAGCGCCACCCATTTTCAAGGAGGCTTCTCTTGCGATCTATGCTATAGACGCAAAGTCAAGTGTGACCGCGGTAATCCCTGCGGGTATTGCACACAGAGAAAGATGGAATGCGTTCCTTCGGTCATCGAAACTTCCGACAGACCTCGAAAACGTCGTTTTCCAGAAGCCGAGCTGCTGCTCAGAATCAAGCGGTGAGCGATGCGGGCACATGACAAGACAAGACGATTGATTGTGCAGACTGATCCGGAGCCTTGTACGCTTAGCTACGAAGCTGCTTTGCACGCCTACGGCGCCGATGTGGATGCCATCCGCGACGGTACGGCAACGCCTGGAGCTAGCGATGGTACTAGCGCAGAGCATGTTCCGGGCGAGGCGCACAACCTTTCCCTGACCGAGGCCCCCTCCGAGTCCGGCGAATATGCAGAGACTGGTCCAGAGCAAGAATTTGATCAAATTCAAGGCTTGTTAGAGATTGATGAATCTGGTCGTCGCAGACCTCAAGCTTTGCTTCGTCACTTGGATGGCATCTTCACCAATGATTCTTCCCATCTATTCTTTGGCAAAAAGTGCGAAGCTTGTCAAGCTCCTAAGCCAGTCTTTGGCGATTCACATCATCCGGACCCTTTCGCGATGCTCAAGCTGTGGCAGGTATACCTAGACAATGTACATCCAATCGTCAAGCTCGTGCACGCACCCTCGGTTCAACGCAAAATGGCCGATCTCGGCTCGAACATGGGCGACGCCCCTGCGTCTCATCAAGCGCTCTTTTTCGCAATCTACTCGTGCGCGATCAACTCACTGAGGCCATCAGAGTGCCAAGAGCTACTGGGCTACGACCGAGACTCGCTTTTGGAGCGATGTCAACAAGCAGCAGTCCTCTGGTTGAGCAAGGCAGAATTGTGGCGTACGAGCGATCTCACCGTGCTACAAGCGCTCATCATTCACCTGACGAATATCTCTGCATCCACTGATCCGCGCTCATATCTATGCTTCGTAGGCATGGCTGTCCGACTCGCCCAGCGCCTGCGAATTCATCGACCAATATCTATCAAGCCACCTCAAGCACGCCTAACAACCACCTTCAAGGTGCAGCCAGAAACCATCGTGGAAGTTGAGTTGTCAAAACGCCTGTGGTACGAGCTCAGCTCATTGGATCTCAGAGCGTCAGAGAAGAGTAGTGAGTAGTGCTGCTACGACAGCCCAATGAACCCAGCGATCTAACGCCGCAGGCTTTCCCCTGGCTCAAGGCATGGGAACGGGTGAGCTTTGGGGCCAAGCCTACCTTGATCTTCCGGCTCCTCTGAGCGATGCGGATCTCGCTGCTGCTTCAAATCTCCCGACCGCGAACAGCATTGCGACACCATCGTCAGAGATGCTGTTCTGTATGATCCGCGCCGAATGGGTTCGTCTGCGAGCCGACGTTCGGGAACGTCAAGGGCCCAGATCTGGCTACACGGAATTCAGCTCGGCACGTATACCCTTCGTGACCAAATTGAAGATCATTGCCGATTGGACGGAAAAGGTGCGGGACAGATGGCTCAGACACTGTAATGAAGCGATTCCCCAGCACGCCTTCGCCACGCTTTGGACAGGCCACATCGTCTGTCGGATGAAGATGACGAGCTACCTGTGCGAGGAAATGGCCCTTGAGCGCAAATTCGTCGAGACGCGCGACCCAAATGCAAAGGATCAAGTGGCCCGAGTTCGGGAGGAGCTGACCGCAATCTGCTGCGACGGTCTGGACCAAGCAAACACCCTGCGCAACGCAAAACGCTTCGATGGGTTCTCATGGTGGACCCTCTCTCACATGCCTTTTGTCCTCCTTGTGCATCTCATCCGACTTCTTCGCGTGATTTTAGTCGGACCGCTCGCCGATCGTGGCTGGATATGCGTTTCTGAGAACTCCAGTGCCTTTAAGCGGATCGTACCCGCTACGAGCACCTTCATTCGCGCCAGACGCTGGGGTCAGCTCTTCGACCCACTTATACTTGGCGCTTGGAAGGCGAGACGAGCGGTATTGGGAATGCAACCTCACGAGCCTGATCCGGAATTCATCAAGGAGATCTGTCGAAGGTCGGATATCATCATGTACGACCGCAGCGCACAATACGCCAGGGCTGCGACAGACAGCACGCAGCTTGCTGATATCACGGACGCACCCGGAGGATTACCTTCGGGACAGACGCCCAACGTAGGCATGTCGTCAAGTCAAGAACCCGATCAGGATCAGGTGGACTGGCTCGTCTCTCTGCTGGGCGATGCCGATCACGACTTCGACTGGCAAGGCTGGCTCAATCAGCCCGCGGAAAACTCTTTCGATATGACGAAGCTGCAACCAACGCTTTGAAACGCGGATCGCATCAAGGCGCCAAGTTGAGCCCCCTGATTCTATCCTTGCCGGACCGGACAGTATTGTACAGTATCAAGCACATCTGCATTGCACTTTATCGCATTTACCTCGGACGGTGCATCCCAGCAACCCCAAATGGGCGGACATTCGACACGGCAGACGTTTCGCAAGAGTGGCTATGGCTTGACGGGATATTTGGGGGGCCGACGAGCATTAGCAGCCTGCCTCTTCTCCTCGGGCGATTTCTTCGAGTCCGCCTGTCTCCTTAGTTCTTTCCTCTCTGCGCCTGTCGGCAGCGTCTTGGTCGTGCTCTCCAGATTCGAAAAGAGGACTTCGGTCTTGGCCGTGTAGCCCGGCCTGTTCATATGGGTGTAGAACAGGGAGACTTTTGGATTGTGATTCTTCAATCCCTCCGGCTTCCAGCTTCCAAGATGCTTTAGATCTCCGGTGTGCTGTCGGCCAGAGGCAGTCAGCGCCGGTCGCAGGGTAGAGGTCAGTGCGCGGCTCTCACATTGTCTAGCAATGACGATTGGACTCACCAGGTGATTAGGTCCGATGTGATCCCAGGAAGTAGGTTCCGTCTTGCGATTGCCATTCAGCATCGTCCACTTTCCACGGCTTGTTCTTGCATCGTACTCATGGATATGGTACGGTATCGCCATCCGCTCACCCGCCGGTGTTAGTTTGCCAGGTCTGTAGATGGTTGTCTTGTACTGTATCCTGTCGTCGGATTACAGCGGTGTGACAGAACGTCAGCCATGGTCTGCTCGCTGCTCTGGCACTGCTTGTACTCACGCTTTTATATCCTCGGGCCTAGACTTGGTGACCTCCGGCTCATGAGCGATCACCATTGGCTCACTGGCAATCGCCTTGGGCTCGTGTGAAAGCACCTTCTCCGCCGCAAACAATTCTCCGAGGCTAGCAGCAGCTGTACGCTCAAAAAGTCTAAAGGAGCACAGAAGCATGAAAGGGTACACTTTCATCTCGTGCCGTTTGCCGACTGCACGAGTTTGTCGATGCGAGGAAACGCTTGGTTGAATGGTGGCGGTTTCAAGTCCTGCTGTCTTCGGCAGTACCTTTGTCAGCAAGGATGCCAGTGCAATCAGAAATGTTAGGTGTTGCAGACGACCGGCGCCGTTGAATTGGACAAATGTTGGGAGCGAACAGCGCGGGACAGAGCGAGGGTCTGGGTGTAGTGGTAGACTGCAGAAATGGCGCTCCACCGTTATCACGTTCAACGGCAGCACGTAGGCTCTTGCGAGGCCTGCTTTGACGTGTGCAGAGACTTGGTGGCAAGATGAGCTTTGTGCAAACCATCAAACAGTCAGCTGACCTCGATCGGTGTATGGTCCATATAGAAGATCGATCGAGCACGTTGAGCGCCCTGCCGGTATTGGGTCAATTAGCCCCGACCTCGGCGGTCGCCATTGTGCTCGACGATTCACTCATATTGCTTGCGGCGGCAGAGCTAATCGCAATCTGAGCAGCCTAGCTGTTTCGTCGTTGCTCCCCGTTGCGGGCGTAGCCGCGCGCATGGGCGTCTTGTCGTGAGTTTGATTCGAGCATGGATTTTGCGCGGAACCGAAGAAGCGTGGATGCTGCCCAGAAGATAACATAGCTAGCGCTCCACTCAAGACTCGAGCTACGACTGTTACCCCACGCCTCTACCTGATACTTGTTGCCAGACTTGAGATCTGTTATTGAGTCGACACAATTAACAAACGACGTGCTGTGGTGCTCGAGAGCGGCTACTCTCGCGTGTGACAATGTTTTGTCCGGCATGCTCGGGATTGAGCGATGAGCGCCTTCTAGCACCTCATGCACCACGGACGCTCGTGCCTTGGCGGCATTCACTTGTGCAGACCGCCTTGCCGCCGTGCTGCTGAGCAAGACAAGCGTGTCAATTGGGAGAAATGCTGGTATATAGCCAGCAAGCCACAGATTCGCAGCGATTGCTGTGCTACGCATGTTTCGTCTCCATTCACATTCCCAGCCTGACACTTTCTCCTCTTGCCTCTCGTCACTCAATCAGCAAACCCCAACGTGTTTCAGGCGACGCAGGACGCCGGTAAACACCTTGAAGGTGATCGCGCATCTCGCGTCTCGTGCTTCGGCAAGTGAAGCTCCGCATGCAGCTGCTAGGATCAGTCCGCGGAGGACGAAGGATGGCGATGAAGAGGATTTGCGTCATCCTAATGTTGGCGCTGCTCCTTGCCAATCCGCAAGTGGCGTCCTTGACATTCTTGTTCAAGAGTCGCAAGAAGGGCTCACAGGTGAAGGTGTGAGTATTGCGCAGAGGACGCGTAGGGCGTCTAAGGGAGTGGCAAGCGGGAAGACGCAAGAACAGAGAGGCAAGACGTGGCGCAATGCGCACGCAGCGAATGGAGGGGCCGGCATGCACGCCTAACGTTCTCTCTGCGCTCCCTCGCACACCAGCAACCAAATACAAACGAAAATTTTCGACAGCACAGGTCGAATCCAGCATGTCCACGTGTGGGACGCTCGGACGGGCCAAAAAGCCTGGACACGACTGGATGGCAATAGCTATAAGGACAAGCACTTTGATCACTTGGATCCACATGAGCTCGTGAGTGGAAAGCTGAACAGAGTCGTGAGTCTGCAGTCGCTTCGCTAAAGTTCGGGAAATTTCTGGCCTTTCCGGCCGAATTGGTAGCATACAGCTGCAGCGACGTCGGCCCGAGCCTCACAGGGCATCCATTTCCTCACGCATATGAACAGCAAGGGTTGGACAGCTCAGAAGGAATACGTATTGTCCGACGGAACGAGAGATCTTGAATTTCTAAAGGAAAGGCGGCTCACCAGAAGCCCCTGCCGGCCTTGTAAGGCCGGGCCGCGTTGCTTGGCGACCTCCACGACCTCCAAAGAAGCCTTGAAGCAATCCGTGACACAAGGACACTGAGGCCTCACAGCGCAGATATTCCGCCGCACCTTGCAGAATCGATAAGCTTTGCCAACGCGGTGCATTAAGTTCCTTGACTGGCTGCCATTGTATTTTCGGGCTCGTTGGCTGAGGGCGGGACGTCGTGCTGATGCCGTATTGCCTATTTATTAGCGTGTAGAGTCGAACGAATATTTCTGAGCAGGAGCCGAAGCCAATGCAGCAAGCTCGGATAGAACCTACACGCGAGCTCGGGCCGAGAGCGCTCCTTGCTGAGACGTAGCATATCACTGAATGTTTGTTTCGGACTCGCAACTTAGAGAGCGACATCGACTGCGTCTCGAGGAAGAGTGTTGGATCTAGCAATCCGGCGCACGCGTCGCCACCTGGCCTGCCTTCGAAGCGTCTCTGGGATGATCCTCTTGTCTACCCACACAGGCGAGGCTTTCTTCGTCTTTGCCCTTGCTTTGCCGTTTGATCGGCCCGATGGGGAGCGAGAGGAGGATGACGAAGAAAGAGAAGCAGGAGGAGTGTAGAAAGCTTCTTCAGAGTCGTCGGACCATCTTCCCTCTGGCATCGCAATTGAGCTTTCAGAGTGAGACCTAGCCATCGCCGGCATGTCAGTAGCGGATGGCCTGAGAGAGGAAGGCCGCGGAGAGTACAGGGAAGATTGGAAGGTCAATGGGCTCGAAGGTCGTCTTGATGCTTGCTGCACTATTTCTGGTCTATTGAGACAAGAGAATATCGCGCCGCGTCGACTCAGAGCCTTCTTGTTTGGGCTGCCTGCTTCTAGCGAACCTTTCGTGCAGGCTGCTTTGGTCGACTCCTCGCTTCTGCCCAGTTGCCTCATTCTTCGAGCGCTATTGGAGACGCTCATGGGATCCGAAAGCATGCGCCAAGCTTTTGTGGAAACGTCTTGTAAGGTAACTGTACTGGCTAGGGGTGGGGCACGGCGCTTCAGAAAGTAATGCTGCGCAATGACCGTGGCCGGGACAGCTCCCTTGCAGTCACCGCACGAATGGGCGGCGCATCCACGCGGCTGAGTGTGGTCTAGCGAGACTTCCCGTTTGATGACATGTTTCACTGGATCCTCTTTGAATAGCTCCCCCAAAGTCTTTGATGGACGGCCGGCTGGAGAGAGAGGGGATGTTGACCAGCGATTCGAGTGGGACGATGGTGCGACCTTCCCTTCTTCAGGCAGCTCGCGCATAATACTCGAAATGTCGTAGGGGTCTGTCGTTGACGGGCGGTGTGGCGATGGTGCAGATGCGATGCTTTTGCGAGGACTCAGCCCTCGAAAGCTGCCATCTGTCTCTGGCACCGGCCTGGCACCATTGGACTTGAGCCATCCTCCGACTTTGCGAGCACCTTTGCTTGCCGTCGACCGCATCCCTCTTCCGAATCTGGAAAGGGGTTTCCAGACTCGAAGTATGGGGTCCTTCGTTGCCATGTTTGGCTTTGGCTTTCTCAATGCATTCCTGGCTAGCTGGGCCAAAGTCCTTCGACTGAGTGCGCTGATCGGCTCAGTTGGGTCCGGACCGGGCGGGAGAGAGCCGGTAGGCTTCGCACTAGCGGGAGCACTCCGCACAGCACACGTCTTGGCCGTACCGCATGCAGATCGTTTGCGCAAGGGCGCTGCCTCAAACATCTCGGGCAGATCCTCCGCGAGCTTTGCCAGACTTGGCCTTTCGCCGTCATTGTCATCGCCTGACCTTATCGTGCCGTGATGGTGGCGCGGCTGTTGGTGGCGCGCGCGCGCCGCCTCGTACATCCCAGCAAGTCGACGATTCTCGCGCTCGAACCTCAGGCGGGCTTCGGCTTCGACGCGCTCAAAGTGGGCCTCGTCGTAAACCTTGCTGCTCGCCTTCGATGTCCCGCGGTCGAATCCTGAGCAGCAGAAAGGCAGTGCGCGCGTGGCTAAGCTATAACCGTCTGTAATGCCTCTGCGTATTGAGCCCAAAGACGGATTGGAGTTTATACGATATCTTGCACGGAGCTTCAACACGTTCGCGATGGAGCATCGCAGACGAGGTCGCACGCTCGAAAGCGTGCTATCTGTGCAAGAGTCGGACGTACCAGAAGGGCCGTCATTGCTCTGAAGTATGACGAGGGAGCCGACGAGAAGGAGCGCTCCTATTAAGAGCAGCAATGCTTGGGGAACGTGTGAGGCGAGTGTAGTTCTCTTTGCTCTTGAGCACTTTTCTGATTGCAGCCCCTTCCCTTGCGGCACGTCCTCGTAGTCTGTGACCATATTGCGGCACAGCTTAAAGCAGCAATGGAAATTTGGCAGAAACAAGGTGTCAAAGTATGAGCGGAAGCGATTCCGCCCACGAAGCAGCTGCTGCTTGAGGTCGAGACCAGCTCGGAGGGCAGCTTGAGCGTTGAGCTTAGCGCAGCGCAGCAAAACATTGAGAGTCGGTATGCCCTCTTCGAAGGTGCTGAGCAGCTCTTGTATGCTGTCTTATACAAAATTTCGCATCTGACTTTCGTGATGGCCAGGCTCCGGCGTCGAGTATTGAGCAACGTTGAGCCGTTGTGCGGTTCGAGCGGCGTAGCATTGCGTTCATTCCGTCGGTCAGATTTAAAGTTTGATTAATGCAGGAACGCCCTGTGGGGCGGCGATGAAGGCGGCGCAAATGCAGGGACTCGGCTCCTCTTGTCGCACGACGCCCGCACAGGACTGACACCTCAGATTCGGAATCTGGAGCGCTGCGTGGCGGACCGTGCCGTCGGATAAGCAGCGATCCTTTGACACTTGTCAAAGAGCGGTGCCATAGAGGGTTGCCAAGGCAGGATGACTTGCCAGCTCAGTCATCAGCATCAGGTGGAATGTCTGCCTCTGCGACGTGAACACCGCGAAGGCGGTAAAGTCTTGCCACTTCTTCCGAATCTGGGTCTTGCTTGCATAACTGGTGGTTCACCAGCTCGTGGTGCGGCTGAGCTTCTTGTTGTTGTGGTGGCTGAAAGCTGAAAACGCCCACCGGTCGAAGGAGCAACCTGCAAGGATGGACACTTCTGGGAGGCATGGCGATGCCAGCGCTGACAGCAACGCCGGAAATTCCAACAGCCGTCTGAGTTGGGGCCCAGACTTCATCACTTCCTAGCAGAGGCCAGCTTCCATCACCGTGCCATTTGGCTTTGAGCGACCGCACCTGGAGGTGGTGACGATGATATCAATGACCAATGAATTCGAAAGAGTAGGGCACGCTTGCGTGTCTGCGCAGGGCTGATTTTGCCGCCACCGAGTGGCAATCAGCAGGCTCGACTCACCGCAGTGGCCAGCGGTATGCCGCGTGGGTGGAGCGGGCACAATTTGCCACTGTCGAGTGCTCTTGCAAGAGGCTGGAAGGCAGGCCAGTTGGTGGCTAACTCCTCTGCCGCAGGCTGCGCAGCTATCAGCTGATCGATCGCAGCAAGTGCCAACTTCAACTTTGCTCCTCGCTCGACATTTTCACCCTTCGGCGTAGTCTCTTTCGTCATCTTGATTCGGCAAGACAATGTGCCGCTTTCGCAGCGAGGTGGCTCATTTGACCCTATCCGCTACGGCTGCTGTCTAAGTCGAAAGGCGCACGGACACCGTGCGCTAAGCCGCCCTTGACTTCGTCAGCCTATACCCATTTACGCATATATATGGTGAAAATGGTGGAGGTACGTGCTTGAGCATCCATCGTGTCGGAAGTATAATATAGATGGTGGCTACGCCCCCACCGTTGCCTCGCTTTTTACGATGATGCAAATTCTCGACTCAAGATTCAACTTGTCTGGAATCGTGAATCTATCGCGGCCTTGCAAGTCACGTGGAGTGCCCCCGCGCGCTAATAATCAAGAATCACGAATCACGAGCGCGGGGGAACGCGGCAGCAGGCTTCGGCACCGCGGCAAGAAGCCTTGAGCTCCTAAAACTGCCCCGGGCAAATTCACCGCAGACTGCTGGATGGGAGCATGCATGGATGCCCCAACTCTTGACTCAAGCTCTGCTCTCTCTCTCTCTCTCCCCTCATCCACAAGCTCGCACAAACTCCATATTCGTGATTGTGATGCACACGGCAAAGTGAAACCTAGCAAGCATCCCAGTAAGTCAAGGTCACGAATCTCGGTGCGTTCACAAAATCTGGCGCTCGCGCCTCTCACGAACGGTGCGTTACCTCCCCAGAAACCGAATAGCGCCTTTTCACGCAAGTGCCTCAAGATGGCACAGCCTTCGTCAACCACGGATGTGCTCCTGTACTTTCTGGCACTCTTCGTGGTACGTCATTGTGACCATGCATCGATGTCCAGATCACGCGGGCCTGACATTATGTACCAATGTCTCTACGATGCTCATCCTCACAGCCTCCCGTACCTGTCGCCATCAAGCGCGGATGTGGTGCTGACCTGATCATCAACATCCTCCTTTGGGTTCTCGGCTGGATCCCGGGCGTCATCCACGCCTGGTGGCTCATCAGCAAGTATCCAGAGTACTGAACAGATTCTCAAGACCAAGCGGGAGCAGATTCGAAGCAGCCTATCTTCAAATCTCTGCCAGCTCCATTGTGGACGACTCCTCACATTGAGACACCTAACGCACCGCACGATACCCTTCATGACCCCATTGTCTCCTAGATTTTCACGATGCCTCTCAAGCCGAGCGAAGGTCAAGCTCCCAGACACACCTCATTGAGGTGTTGACCGTTCAGTGCAATACGACTGCGCGAAATGTCGATGTTCAGGGGTGATGAGCGAGCATGCATTCGGGGCGAGTCACCAGATCTGGCCTGAGAAGCGAGCAACTCTTCTGTCTTTGAATCGAGCATCTCGCCTGGAGCAAGAAAGACATTCGAGATGGGCTTCGCTGCTTTTTACGCCAAAAAAAAAAAAGGGCGCTGACGTCAAATGTACGTGCCGGCAGTGAGGCAAAGTGTCCTTGTGTGGATCATGCTACAAGTCATGCCTCGCATTGAAGCGATCGCGGATGGGCTGAGCCATCTTGGTTTAGTCGGATCGGATGTAGGGACATCCCCGTACCCCGCCGAGCGGCTCGTCGTCCCAGTGGCAGACTCGAGGCACGCAAGAGAGCTGTCCTGCGAGGTAATTTACAGCAGGATGGTCGACCAAGCCTAAGGGAAAAGAGGGCTGGCAATAAAGGCCGTGGGATCATGCATCATACCCGCTCGTCCTAGCGCATGCTGAAACGGGCGGGACACAAGGGCATCGAACCAAGCGTGCGACTTTTGAAGCCACATAACGAAGTTGCGACTTGTCCCAAATCGAGCCTCGCTCAACGTCCCTGCAGGACAATGTTTCCCAAGCTCAAGTGAACCGATCGCTGCATCGACTTTGCCTGACGTGCCGGCGTCGTTCTCGAATGATCATGCAGTGGCAGCATCGTCAACATGGTCCTGCACGAGGTGGTCCGAGTCAAGAAGCGTAAAGACGAATCGGATCATTTGTGTCTCAAGTTGATAAGAAAGAGTCCACAAGTCGTGATTTCTGAGTGGATGTAGGCCGAAGCGCCTGATTCGCGCATCGAAGATTCATCAATTTGATTCAAGATTGTGATTCGCGATTGCTCGACTGCATGACCATCACGTGATGCCTTCGTCACCCAAAAAAGGCCCACCTCACAGGACGGAGCATCGGATGGCCGATCGGAGCGTCCATTTTACTCACGACTCACGATACGCAACTCTATCGCAGATTCGTGATGGTGACAGTCTGAGTGTACCTTGACTGCTTATCGAGTCCACCAGACGATCAGATGGAGGTGAGGGCGAGGCTGTGTGACAGACCTCGTGGGGCTCATCATCACCCTCGCGGTCGCTGTGCAGCTTGTTGGAGCGTCTTTAGCGTGGGCGCAGGTACGACGTATCGGTCAGAGTATAGGTCCTCCTACTGTATAGCAGCAGCGCAGGATATGGCCATCAGAGCAGTATTGTGGCGCTGCTGCTGACGACGGGGACTACCAAATGCGCCGCGTGGTCTTTTCATCGGCTCCTGCATGATTAAACGCGGCGTGGTGCTTATTGTGCTGCACCTTGAAGCCTCCCCACGACACACCAGCAGGGAGCAGGCGGCATGCAGCAGCAGCTGGGCGTCACAGCAGCAAGCAGCTGGCACACGTTGAGTCATGTATCAAGGCTTCACATTCACGATTCATGCGTTCACATGGACCATCGGGAGCGCAACTCCGAGGGCTCAATCACGATCGACTGCTCACGACTTTGATACGAACACAATCAGAATTGGGCAGCGAAGTACCCTACCTCCCCGCGACAAGGTTCTTTGCTGACCGCGTGTATAAGAAGGCACCACTTCGATGCTCATTCTGTGACCCACTCTCCACCCACAACGACCCCAAATCTCCAAAGCAGCCTTCATTCCTTTACAAATCAGCCAATTCAGCCACGCATATACGCAGCAAGATGGTTCACACTACCGACATCATCCTCTACGTCCTCGCCATCTTCTGGTGAGCAAGCTGCGCGTGTTCACAGCAGCGCCAACGTTGAGCCCCCTCGGGCCAAGCTGACCGCGCGAGTGCTTCCTTGACCTTGTCTTTGTCAGGCCACCCATTCCCGTAGCCATCAAGAAGGGATGCCACACCGAAGTGATCATCAGTGTGATTCTCTGGCTTCTCTTCTGGATCCCAGGTGCGTCGCTCTGATTCGTCTTCTCACGTGCACGCGCGCGAGCGAGCGCTAATGCTCCGCCTTTGCATCTCTCTTTGCGCTTTTCGTAGGTGTCGTGTATGCAGCTTACATCATGTAAGTCACGGTGGGCCTGACATGGCCTGGCTTGGCTCCAAACCAGCTCTCGAAGCTCATGCACCTCTCTGTCCATACTCCCTTTCTTCAGTCACAGCAACCCTGAGGAAGAGTCATCGCGCAACAATAGGCGTGAGAAGAACAGGTACTCCAGCAGGTACTAGAAGAGTCCACCTCCTACCTCTTGGTGCGAACTGAGCGAATCGACTTAAGCTGCGTGAAAGTCTCGTAACATCAGCGCACGCAGAATCCTGAAGATACCCTTTCCTCTCGTACATGCTTGTCAGCCCCATTTGCTTAGTCTTTTCTCCAAATCAGAAAGCATGGTCCGAGGTCTCTAAAGAGAGGCTTGCATTGCGCGTCTAAGTGGTGCAAAACGAGCTAAGATACAGTTCGCAGAGCGATGACAGGAAGAAGAGACGGGGTATTGCAAGAGCTCTGAAGTAAAGAATGGGAAAGCCGATGACGTGGAGGTAAAAGGTGACAGCAAGTGCAAGTGCAAGTCCAGACCCAAAAGTTGGTGACGCGGGGAGAGAAGGATAGCTAGGAAACGACGCTCAGAATGGCTCGTCGCCTTTTTTGTCTTTCTTTTTGGAGGGAAGATGTGTAAAGGAAGGTTTGTTGAGGGCCCACTCTACCCGCTCTTGTAAAACTTGCCCAGGATGGACAGGGAGCCATCTGGCATGAAGTGGCGGTTGCGCTGGCTGCCGTAAGAGTCAGGTGCACTCGCAAAGGTGCCGAAGGGGCTGATTCGCTCGATGTAGGTTTGGTTCAGCATCCAGTTGGTAGCTGCGTAGTGGAAATTCCTAGCAGCGTCGATGGATGGTCCACCGTCGTTGGTGTTGAGACCACTGAAGAAGAGATCAAAAAGCATGAATTCAACACTCTAATCTTTCATTTCTGCGGCAATTGGCGCACGAGACGACTCACTATTCGGTGACCCAGATGGGCTTGTTGTACTTGCGCGCCTTTTGCACGTAAGCTTGCAGATTCGCAAGAGGGTTCTTTTGCGCGGAGCCGTACCAGTGGATGGCGATAAAGTCGACATCACCGCCTTGCTGCTTGAGCGCGGCAAAAAATTTGTCAAGCCAATTGAAGTCCCACACGATCTGGGGGCTGGATACCCGAATTCCGGTCTTCTTAAACGGTGCCAATTCCTTCATCCACAATGTGGCAGCAGCGGTAGCATCTGGCAGATTAGATTGACCAGAGACGTCGGGCTCGTTGAATGCGAGGATGGCTTGAGGTTTTGTTGCCCTCAAACTGATCTCCTTCTTGCGCAAGTTCCACTTGTCAGTCTTCGAGGGGCCCCAAAAGCACGGTACCCATTCGATGTTGGGAACTTCGGTGAGCGGTCCGTCCTGCGAGGCAAAGCACGCAAATGAAAGTGAATAGGGTGCTACTGGTTGTGATAACGTATGCATGCTCTTCGCTCACCTCCCAGTGCCAGACCCAGTCAAGTCGAGATCTGTCTCCCAAGCTGGTGCCAAAGATGCGTGGAGACCAGCGGCTATCTGCAGCCCATGCCAATCCTAGCCTAGCAGCTTGGGCGGTGGGTGCGAGGGATGAAGCAGCTGCAGCCGCAGCGAAGGCGAAAGAGAGATTGAGCAATTTCATTGCGGAGAAGCGTGGCTGCTAGCAGAGAAGTGCGAGATTGACGGCGGTGATCCGCGGTGAGCTGCGGTCTGATTAGATGTTAGGTTGTGCTCGCGTGAGAGTGGCTTAGCCGTGGATGTTGAGCTTGCAATAATGGGTTGTGCGGGTCGACGGTACTCCGAGATGGACATGTCTCAGACGCTCTTTATACTTTTCACATACGGTCCGAGGGACGAGCTGCGTCCATCGCGGAAAGCTGCTGGAACACCAACGGTCTGTGTGTGCCGTGTCTGCCATGGCGTGCCTTCCGCGACATAGCATTCACTCGCTGCGATGCCAGTCGTGAGTTGCGTTGCGCGTCATTCGAGAGGCCTTGCTTGCTCCATGAGGCAGGCAAAGCCAGCCAAGCATCTTGGCTTCCGACACGCCGCCCCCTCTGTTCAGTGTCGAGGCCTGCTGGAAGGCGGCAAGGTGGACGGAACGGGGAAGTGAACTGACCGAGCAGTCCGAGCGGAGCTTCATCATGAACGGGAAGCTGAGTTCCGAATGGCAGACCTCGGGATGGCTGGCTTCCTGCAGCCGAGGCTCAAAAGGGGTGTCCTCGATGAGATTGAGAGCGCTGTAATGCCCCACGATCCGCGATTGTTCTCATTTCTCAGATCTTCGGGACCGATTTTGCTGTTGGAGAAGCACATCATCAGAGTTCAATCCGAATCTTGAGTGTAGGCAGGAAATGAAACATGGTTTCGAGCTCCGCGCGCTCAGCAAAAGAAGCGCGCCATGCAAGACAGCGGCTACACGCGCGGTACTCACGACTCTGCCTGGAACGGGAAGGATACGCGCGTCAAGCCACAATCTGCTAAAAACGCGGGAAGCTCGACTTTGCAGCATCAAAAACGTGCGTCGCGTTGCGTTTTTCTAGCCTTTTGAGGTGTGAGGGACGGGTCCTGAATTGGCGGAGTCTCAAACATCAACCACGCATCTACCCGTGGACCTGTCTGTGCCTGTGCCTGATCGCCAATAAAGGGGCAAGGGGCGATCGAGACTGATTCAGAACTCAAGACTGCTGATGTGCGCGTCTGTCCTTGTTCGCACTACTTCTAACCATCACGACGACGTCGAGTATTGCCGCCTCCTCTCAAATCACGCCAGAACGTGGCGTCGCTCGAAGAATCGTGATCATTGAGTGATTGCGATTGACGGGATCGCTGTGCTGCATTGATTGCATTGGACAAGATTGCATATGTCGAAATATGCAGGGTGTGCGCCACATCAGCATCCGCAAAACATCTTTCGACATGAACACGTTCCAGTACCATGCGTGCTCCACATCTACCACTACTCTCACTCGAACAATGAAAATCTTTGCCAGCGTGTATGTCTGCGAGGACCCGCGCTTTTGAGTGTTGGGCGCGAAGGGCCGACGCTCAAATAGGAAAGATGCTCAACACCATACCGCGCCTTTCCGTGCCGAGCTGATGACGTTGTTCCTGAATGTGTGTACCATAGACCGACCTGCCCAATGGGGACTTGAACCTCTTGGCCTTGCGGAGGGCAGCAGGAGCCTCGCGAGGGCATCGGAGAAAGGCACAATTGAAGAAATTTGCGACTGGGCGGAGTGTAGAGTGCAGCCAGGAGAGGAAAGATCTTCGATTGGGAGGAGATCGAAACGTGCCGAAGCCGATGCCGGGCATGCCCATTAATTCCTGCCTGCTGTGCCACTTTTACGTACTGCTACCGGATATACCGTCCCCTTTGCGAGCTTCGTCCCCAAGCGGCGAGAGGCACGTGTGTGCGAACCGCGCACACACCGGCTCGGCGACCTCGTAAACGGATCTTTCCGGAGACTCGTTCAAATTGTGCAGCCTGCTGCCTTCTGGCTTCATGTTGACCCTAGATATAGCGCACGCAAGCGAATGACAAGCTGTCCGCACCACTGAAGAGGAATGAGACGAACCACGTGCCTGATTTGTGCGCTGCTCATTCTTGATGATGGCATGCAGAGACCAGCCAGCTCAGGGCTCAAAGAGCGGGACGCGCGGGACCGGTCAATCGGGAACGAGCTGGGAATACTAGCGTTGATCTGCAGGAACATCCCTTCCCGCAACGCCGTACATAGAGCAAATCAACGCTCTGGAACATGGAAACTATGGATTCCAGGAAGATCGATTGTCGGATGAATGTTGTGATTCAGCATGCTTCCCGTGCTTGTGCTCACCTAGTGCAGCTTTGCGAAAGGGATGGTGCAAGTAGGCACAGGCTTCTCATGGTAAGACGGTTCTTTCGCAGCCAGTCGCATGTGGAAAGGATCGCGTGGAGAACCTTTTCAAACGTCCACGGACAAACGCTTGGTTGCCTCAACGAGGGTCGACGAAGCAAAGCAGATTTGCGACGAGAGGTATCACTCAACTCGAGCGATCCGCGCGTGATCGAAGTGGATAGATACAGGCCGCGGCATCCGTGTGACCGTATCATGGACCAGTGCGTAGTCTGCGACATCCATCACTCTTCCTCATCTTCGCTGTCAGCTACTACCCTCCTGCGAGAGCGCTCCTTGGCCACATCCCCAGCAGTTTCACCATTCTGTGTGGATGCAGCCAGCTGCTGGGCATCTGCTTCAGCTTTGCGCAAAGCCGCGTCCTCCTGAAGTAGTAAATCAAATGTAACCAGAAAGGTCAATGAGGTCTTGTGACCCTTGCGCCCGGGTCGACAGTGGCTGCGTGCAACTCACAATACTTTTCTCAGCCCTTTCAAGGTCGTCTGGCTCATCGTCCACGTCCATGTCGTCCTGCGCCGACTTTTCGGAAGATGGCGAGCCCTTGTCGGACACGATGAAACCCTGCAGAATGAGCCGTCAAGCCAGTAGCGTGTTTATCTCAGCTGCGTCCGTCAATCTATTATGGCACGTGTGGATACCCATTAGCGACAGACACTCACGTCATCGCCTTCTACATCGCCGCTGAGCGCAGCTTCTTCCTCTTCGTCAGAGGCGTAAGTCGCTCCTTGATCGTAATCGGCTCCAGCTCTGCCAAGCCTTCTTCTGCCTGCTCGCGAATCCCAGAATTCTTCATCTGCGGCTCCGAGGCCACTCAGACCAGCATTCTGTCTCCTCTTCTTAGCAGCCTTTAGGCTTTCCAGCCTCTTTTGCTTCTCGAGAGCAGCCTTCTCTTCCTCTGGGTCTTTAGCCCTCGTATCGAAAGCCATTTGGGTCACTCTCGCACCTCGTGAATGCTTGACTGCTCGAGCTAGACGCCTGTGCGTCTCTGATTGGGTGTCTGTCGGTCTGAGAACCATGGATCCTGCGATGGGGCCTTCCGAAGCTTCGATGTCATCGCTGTGATGAACGAAGAGGTATGTCGACGGAGCGGAACTTGCAGAGTATCTTGCGGCTGATCCATCTGTGCCGCGCTGACTGGCTTGGGCGCTAGGACCTTCCGCTTGCGGCCTGGATTGCGCGTTCGCTCCGCGTGGCGCTTCACGTGTGCCTGGCTCGGGTATCTGAGTAATGTCGTACAGCTCGTCGCCCAGCTGAAAGGATAATGTTCCATCGCTCCATCGTACCACTCGTGTGTTCGATTGTCGCAGCTATGAGCACAAGATGACGCAATGTCAGTGTCGGTACACCAACCATGGCCGGGGCTTGTTTTGCAGATCGCGCTGCTAGCAGCTACTTACCCTTTTGCCGCTTTCGTTAATTTCTTTCTCTGGTGCCCATCTCCACCGCATGGTGCAAGTGCTCGCTACTGTCGCCCTAAGACCAGGATCCTGGATCCGAGCAATTTGTTCCCTCGTCCTCATGATTTCCGCTTCATCACTGCTCATATCGAAGGTCTTCGTATCAAAGGGCGTTGTCTGAAAGCCCACAAAATTTGGTAATTTGGTGATCCAGTGTGGCGCACCTCTGCGGACAGGAAGGGAAGGCAGGGAAAAATCGGCATGCTGCTCCATCTCCGCTTCTGCTTGAGCTTCCGCGTCTTCTTGGGTCATCCCGATACCCATGGGAGCATCGTCTTCCAAGTGCTCCAGTCTTCTTTTGGAGGCCGCGGCTTCTTCATCGTCCTTTGAGATGAAGGAGTTTGACCGAGCGGAGGAGGGTGAAGCAGCGCTGGAAGGAGAGCCACGTGCAGTGTGAGAATTGCACAAGCCAAGCTTAGCTGGCCTAATCACGAATACACGCAGATCCTTTACTTACGCCTTTCTTCGCCTGCCAGTCTGCCTTATCATGGCATCGTCATCATCGTCCGTGTCGCCGACAGCTACCGCTTTGTCGGCCTGTTCAGCACCAACATCCTCGACGTCCTCATCATCATCCCCGAACAGATCTCCGTCGTCGTCATCATCATCTGCATCTTCTTGTTCGCCTTGAGGCTTCTCAGCTTGCTGCTCCTCGTCATCGCTTCTAGGTTGTGCCAGCTCGACAGGCAGTTCTTCTTCTTTTTCGGCCGATGTGGCACCTTCCCCGTCCCTGATCGGGTGTGCAGATGAAGATGTTCCCGATTGGTGCAGCGGCGAGTCCTGATCATCCGGCAGCAGACTGTTAGCAGCAGCTCTCACCTCAGGCGGTGCTTCTGTCCCTGCAGATGACGCTTCAGATGAGAGCGCTTCCCGAGCTGCTGGGTCGGCTTCCAGGTTGTCGGCTAAAGCAGGATCGGCAGTTGCGTCCACCTCCATGGCTTCCGACTCCAACCTATCCGTCGCTAGCCTGTTCGGCTCCGACATTCTTAAGCCAGGTGTGCTCGAACTCGAGCCGGGGTGCGTGACGTAAGCGTCGCACGATCCAAAGTCGAGCGAAGGGAAGGCGCTAGGCGTTTCAGTGCCTATCGAAGAGTCAGTCGCTGCTTGCACGACGAGTCAGGAGTCAAGAGTGGTGGGTGGCTCTGTTCACGAAGTGATCGCGCGAGATCGCGCGTGCACTAGGAGAAGACCAAGACTCGCGAAGACTAACACTTCAGTCACGTGATTACGAGTAGGCGGCAACTTTGAACCGCACTGACCCCTCTGAATTGCGCACGGCACAGCACCTTCCGGGCGGTGCTGTTGACGCACTTTGACTTGTAATGTGCACACGCACTCGTGACTGTGGTGACTTAAGACTGTTGTGTGTGTATACCTGCAGCTTCTGGTGTGATCACGATTCGCGACTTGAGTTGCAACGTTCAGGATCAAGGCGCAGGTCCCATCCACCACTCGCTGCTCCTCTGACCTCAAGTTCTTTGTCCCCATACACCAAAGGAACCGGCCTCGGGCACGACGCGCGATTTGCAAGCGAATTTCCTCTGCGAGCTTGCGACTAGTGCTCACGTCAGCTCTTCGCCCTTTTCATTGTGGTCTTCGAGCAGAGACGTTCGGGCATCTTGGCTCACAGCGTCCCACCCTGACCTCGATTCTGCCGAGCCTCGTGCGTTCACAGCCTCGCCACCTTCCTGGCGAAGGGGAGTCCGATTCACGACAGTGGATCGTCTCACTGCTTCCTTGTCGACTTGACCCAACGGAATATCGCCCAAACTCCACACCCGAGCTCACTCGCACACACGAAGGCAAAGCGGACAGTGCACTGTATTTGTGGGCGCCACGATGGCAAACCAAACGTCCAATATGAGGGGCCTGACCTCGTTCATTGCGGATCTCAGAGCGTGCAGGGTCCGAGAACTAGAGGAGAAGAGAATTAACAAAGAGATGGCCCACATTCGTCAGAAGTTCAAAGGTGAGCAGATGTATGCGCTGGCACTACAAAGAGATGGTGGGGCAAAGCTGCGTGCGCAGAAGGAATGATAAAGCTGATACGGCTCATCGCTCTCAATATCGTCGACGACCTCGAAAAGAGGGCGCGCTCGACGGCTACTCCCGCAAAAAATACCTGGCCAAAATTCTCTTCACATCCATCCTGGGCTACAATGTCGACATTGGACACATGGAAGCCATCAATCTGATCTCCTCCCCCAAATACTCCGAAAAGCAGATTGGCTACTTGGCCATCACGCTGCTCATGCACGAGAACTCGGATCTGATCAGGCTAGTTGTCAACTCTATCAGAAAGGATCTGGATGATCTCAACGAGATCAACAATTGCTTGGCGTTGCATGCTATCGCGAACATCGGCGGCAAGGAGATGACGGAAGCGCTGGCTGATGATGTTCATCGGCTACTGATATCCCCGTGAGCTCGCATCTTGCGCCGTCGCCCGCGCGTGAGCCGCGTCGCTCTGCTGACCACGCTGCTCGCTTTGTCGACTCTTAATATGTAGCACGTCGAAGAGCTTCGTGCGGAAAAAGGCGGCTCTGACGCTGCTGAGACTGTACAGAAAGCATCCGGAGGTCATGCCCGCGGAAGAGTGGGCGTCTCGCATTGTGGCGATCATGGACAATGAGAATCTGGGTGTTGCCCTCGCAGTCACATCCCTCGTGATGACGTTGGCTCAAGACCATCCCGAAGCGTACACGATTTCATACGCCAAGGCTGTAGATCGGCTGCACAAGATCGTCGTGGAAGAGGACTACACCAACGAATACGTGTACTACAAGGTCCCTATTCCATGGCTGCAGATCAAGTGCCTGAGGTTACTGCAGTACTACCCGCCCTCTGATGATCCCACGCTCCGCAAGACCATCAATCAAGTCCTAGAAACCATCTTGGACAATTCTCAAGAGACGCCAAAGAATGTGCAGCACAACAATGCGCAGAATGCGGTGTTATTTGAAGCGATCAACCTGGCCATTCACGTTGATACAGAATCAGCAGTCGTATCCAAAGCGAGCGTGCTACTTGGCAGATTCATCCTCTCGCGAGAGACCAATGTGCGGTACCTGGGCCTGGATACCATGGCGCACTTGGCAGCGTGCGCGGAAAGCCTGGAACCTATCAAGATGCACCAAGAGACCATCATATTGTCCCTTAAGGACAAGGATATTAGCGTCCGACGGAGAGGTTTGGATCTATTGTATAGCATGTGTGACGTGACGAACGCTAGGGTCATCGTTGCTGAGCTGCTGAGGTATCTGCAGGTGGCGGACTACGCGCTAAGGGAGGAGATGGTATTGAAGATCGCCATCTTGACCGAGAAGGTGAGCAGCGCGCGAGGCGGGCGTGCGTAGAATTGAGACTCGCAGCTGATGTGATGCGCACCTTACATGCGTAGTTTGCGACGGAGTACTCTTGGTATGTGGACACAAGTGAGTTTGGGAAGCGGCAAAGACTCTTGATAGGGCCTGGAGCCTTCTGATAGGTCGCTGAACATGCTTGGAACGCCGCAGTCCTCCAATTGATCAGTTCTGCTGGCGATCACGTGGGAGAGGAGGTATGGTTCAGAGTGATACAAATCGTCACGAACAACGAGGACGTTCAGGAGTACGCCGCCAAGCAGGTCTTCGAGTTGCTGAAGTCGCCCTCTTGCCACGAGAGCCTCGTCAAAGTGGGAGGTGGGTACCGGCTAGATTGAAGGGATGAAGGGGTGTGTCGAGAGCTGACGTGATGTGTCAAACGCTGACTGTGGTCTGATTGGCAGGCTACGTGCTTGGAGAGTTCGGCCACTTGATCGCCAATGATGACGGCTCTTCTCCGATCGAGCAATTCCACGCGCTCCACTCGCGCTCGCACCTCTGCTCTCAGCCGACCAGGGCCATCTTGCTATCGACCTATGTCAAGTGGCTCAACATCTTTCCAGAGATTAGGGAACAAGTGATGTATGTCCTCAATCGGTACAGGCACGTCTTGGACGCAGAGCTGCAGCAGCGAGCCTGCGAATACGTGGCGTTGGCACAGATGGATAATGACGACCTGCTCCAAGCCGTCTGCGAGGAGATGCCACCTTTCGCGGAAAAGTCATGTGAGCAGAAATCGCTGTCCAGTGGGCTGCTGCTAGGTTGCTGATAGGTCCGGTTCTTCCGTTTTGCTGGCAGCGCTACTACTGACACGTCTGCAGCGCAAGCATGGGGACACGGGAGATAAGCGGACTTGGATCATTGGAGGCAAGGAAGTAAATCGAGAGCGCGAGCAAGCTCGAGAAGCGAGCAAGCAAAAGGGTCTCGCGAACGGCGGGGCCATGCCGACAGGGCCAGCGACGACGATCATTCCTAGCAACGCCAGACCCGATCTTGTTACTGCAGGAGCCAACGAGAACCACGCCACCTATAATGGTGGTTCAGGAGGGCAGGACGATATTTTAGCTGGTTTGCAAGGATTAGACTTGAGTAGTGGCAACACCGCTCTCATCTCTGCTGGCAGCAATAGTGAAGCAGCCAGCAACCCTGTGGCAGCTGGTCAACCACTCTTGAGCATTGGAACAAACGGACGCATCTCTTCTGCAGGCGTTGTGGACTCACCGACGACAGCATCTCCCATCACTCCCCGAACGCCCTCATCCGCCACTGCGAATAAATCCCTTGCAGCTCAGCAGACGACGGTCACTGCGGCTCCATCCTTGACACCGGGTTGGAGCAGGAACTTCAACAGGCTGTGCTTCGTCAATGAAGGCGTGCTCTTTGAGGATCACTCGCTGCAGATTGGTATCAAGAGCACCTACACAGGGTCGAGTGGCAAGATCTCGCTGTTCTTTGGCAACAAGCTTTCTGTGGGCTTCTCTTCGCTCACCGTGGTTATCCGGTCTCAGCAACCGGAAGCTTTGAGCGTCGTGGCCCCAAAATTACCCGCCAACACGCTAGGAGCCGGAACACAAGTGCAACACGACGTCGAGCTGGAGTGTCTGGATTTTTTCAGCAAGCCTCCGTTATTGAGGGTGGCATACTTAGCAGGCAGCATGCAAGAAATCCAGCTGCGCTTGCCCTGCATCCTCACCAAATTTGTGCAGCCCGTGCAGCTGGACTCTACAAACTTCTTCGAGAGGTGGAAACAGATTGGAGCAGCTCCTAGAGAAGCGCAAAAGATCTTTGCATTCAAGTTGACTAGCGCTGGAGAAATTGATGTCAAGCGGAACAAAAAAGTCGTCGCGGGGGCGAATGTGGCCGTTTTGGAGAATATCGATCCGAACCCTAATAACATCGTCGCGGCCGGCGTGCTCCACATGGCTCATGCAGGAAAGGTGGGCTGTTTGCTCAGATCTGAACCAAACAAGGAAGCCAAGGTGAGGAGTGGGACGCGCGTGCTAGATGGTATTCAGAGCTGAAGCTCATCGCTGACCGATGCTCCGGACACTCCGACAGCTTTGCCGTTTGACCATCAGGACCACCAATGATGTTGTCTCTGCAGAGCTGCTGAGGCTGTTCACTGCTGTGCTTGCCATAGACGCGCAAGACATCTGATGACAGTTCGAGACGGACACTCGCCTTCTACGCGTCCTTGGTCTTGGCGTTCACTTGCTAATCCTACACGCCCACCGACTCCTTGCAATTGATCTGAATATGTATAATGCGATGTCCGTTCTGCCACCGGGTGAATAATGATACATGGACAAACTCAAGCTGCCAAGGCGCAGGTGAGATGCTTGCGCAAGCACTCGTGCACGATGCTCCGGGGCCAAGAGTGGATTCGCATCGCGAGGCATCAAAGCACAGCGCGACGTTTCAGGCCTCGAGCGCACCGATGAGTTCCCTCACTCCCACGACTTTTCCGCACTCTTTGCACGTCCTCTCTTGGTCGCTAGACGAAGCCCAAGCTTGAATGACGGGCTTGAGCTGCGTGCCTAGATCCGTGCAGAGGAAGCGAGATTCCTTGACGATGTGTGGCGAAGGATGAGCGGAGATGTTTGGGCAGTACCACCTCATTGCGTCTTTTGTCGGGAGGGGGTCCAGAGATCATCAGTCAGTGGGGCGCGCAGATGCGACGAGCGCGGTCATGGGGGCAGGCAACTTGATGCGTGTGGGCAGCTCAGCTCACCTTCGAGGGCTTCCGGTCTTGTACGCTCCACGACCAGACCAATGGTATTTGCGAAGCGCACAGGAGAGTGTGGCGTGTTCGCTGCCAGTGAGAAGAGGAGTGTGCAGCATGAGCGAGTTTGCGTTGCCTGCAAGATTGTCGCTCCATTCGCACTCCCGTGCGTTGGGAGCACGACTCACCAGGAAGCATGAACATTTCTCCCTCTGCGATCCTCACATCCTTGAAAATGCCATCTTCTACAATCTTCAACAACATGGCCCCCTTGTACTGATAAAAGAATTCCTCGGTGGGCTGATAGTGATAATCTGACCTGGCATTTGGTCCTCCCACTGCCATCACTGTGTAGTCTTGAGACTTGTACAGACAAAAGTTGCCCACGGGAGGGGCTAGCAGGTGCTCATTCTCTGAAATCCACTTGGGAAAGTTGAGCGGAGCGGGTACCATGGTCGCGGGATGTGTTGGATGGCTGAAACTGCGGGAAGACTCGTGAGTGGCGGGTGTGGCAGCGAGCCAGAGGATGCAGGGAGAGGCTGTGGTGGAGTTGAAGAAGGTGATTCTGAGACAATCCGCAGCCATGGACGGAATGCACAACCTGCTGGACCCTCTGTCAGCTCACCCTTCCTCTTCCACTCTTTCTGTTGTGTGAAACCCGCGCCTGATCTTCACATTGATTACTGATTCACCTCCACCATTTTCGATTCATTCGCTCATCCTCGGCAGCACCAGCTCGATACGGCCGATCGGCCCTCGTGGGTGTCGGACGAGGATTCATTCAAATCACTGTATCACGTGAATGCTGCAGCAGCCAGACGCTAGACAGGCAAAGTCGACCGGCCGCGGTGACCGCGGAGTTTGTAGGGAAGGAGCGCTGCTGCTTGCCTACCTCACATATGCGCCCACGTGGCTCTTCCGGACGTTCAGAATATTGAATTCAGAGTCGTCGAAATCACGAATAACCCTCTGGCCATTCAGTGATTCACCATGCTTGCAAGACTACTACCGGTTCAACTCTCGGCAGGGGCTTTTGAAGCCCAGCACGACAAACGACTCGTAAAGAGTCTTGCACTCACGCTCCGAAGCGTCCTCAGACCATCCTCGTAATCGACTGGCCTCTCTGTGCCGTGACTCTCAACCTGGCCAGAGTCTAAACTGTGCTTCTTCTACCACGACCACGTCGCGAGCGCTTCTTGATCTTGCACCCACAGGCACCTTCCATTAGACGCGCAAGCGCAGTGTAGTCGGCTATGACGACCTCAGCCAATCGGACGAGGGCCATCTCCCTCTACCGCGGAGTGCTGCAAGCAGCTCGTCAAACCTTTATGGGTGACCAAGCGACAAATCAAGCATGGAGATCGCACATGAGAACACACTTTCGATCCGCAAAGGAAGAACAGGATGCGGAAAAGTTGGAAATGTTTTTCAAAGAGGCGGAAGATATCGTCAGAGTTCTGAAGAGCAATGTGGTGCAGGGCGCTTGGAGGGATGAAAGCCAGGCTTACCGTGAGCGTCTTGCAAATGCTTGTGAACAGCGAGGCTGGGCTATGCGCGCATGTATGCTGATGCCGCGACCCTGTCTCTTCCCAATCAGGGCTGCGCATGACTTCGGACACCGAGTTGGGATCTTACGAAGCGACAAAAGCGGGAAGAGAAGCTCAAATGGAGGCGCTGCGAGCGGCAAAGGGTACCATGGACAAAGCGCAGAAGTGCTCAAGCTCAGCATCGTCCAGCAACTCCTCTCGCACTTCTCGTCGACCCTTTTCCACTTCTTGCTCCTCTCCATTGCGCGCCCCAGCAACTTCTACCGCGACTTCGTCCTTCGCTCGAGCATTTTCGACATCTTCGAGAGCTCTCGAACTGCCTTACAAAAAGGGATCCGCTCCACCTCTTCCTCGACCCGTGCCCAAATTCCCATCCACCATCATCCTCTCTGACGGATCCTCTATTCGTCTCACCACCACCTCTCCACGTTCTCTGCAGCGTCTAACTCGGGATCCGACCAATCATCCATTGTGGAATCCCAGCATGGAAAGAAGAGGAGGCGCGGGCGACGAAGACGAGAGCGGTCGTCTCAGCAGATTCAGAAAGAGGTTTCAAAACTTGGATCAGGCGACGCCTCAGGCAAGCAGTGGCGCTGGTGCTGGTGTCGAAGCTGGAGCTACGGCGCCGGCGCCGGCGCCGGCTCGCAAAAGTCAACAGTGGGACCAGAGCGATCTGGAATGGATGAGCGGCGGCAGAGAGGCCAGAGCGGGATCTGCAGTTGTGGAGAAAAGGACAAAGGGCAAAAAGTGAAGGAGACGATCATGCTGCAGTCCCAATTTGTTTGTGCCAGGCTTCCCTCGAAGCACATGCACGTGCACCTTTACAATGACATGCTTGCTGTACTCAGCCAGTTCGATGGTATGCTAGAGATGCCTAGATCAGATTGGAGCCCGGCGGGCACTCGTCAGCCCCGCCACCACGATAGGTGCTCATATCGTCTTCGCGCGGGTGAGGTAAGATTCATGTATGCCTGTTGCAGCAGTGACAATTCGTCGAAAAAAAAAGAGAGCAAAAAGACAAGACGTCGCAGCAACGACGTGTCACCAAGATGTGGGGGGCATCCATGCCCGAGAGGAGGTTCAGATGGAAATGCGACCTTGGTGTTCAACAGCAGATAGAAATGTTCGATGAGCGCAAAAGTCCACTCAAACCTTCCGATGTCCAACGCAAAGCTCAAGGGCAGCAGCATGCAGGGGCGGCACAGCATCACTTCTCATCCTTGTCATCCCCGCCCTCTTCCTTCTTCTTCTTGCTCTCTTCCTCTTTCTTCTTCTTTTCCTCTTCTTCCTTCCGCTTCCGCTCCTCTTCCTCTCTCTTGGGATTTCGAATCTAGAAAGAGAGAGTGCCCGGCAAAAGACGATGAGCTCATTGCTACTCATGCTGCAGCCATCACACACGGTCCGCGCACCTTTACGTATCCGTCATCGCCCTCATCAGCGCTTTCAGCTTGCACATCACCCGACACTTTGCCCTCGAATTGCGGTCCCGAAAGGTCTCCCTCGGCCTTCTTCTCCACCAGCTTGGGCACCTCCTTTCCTTGAGCCTCGACCAGCTTCTTTAACTTTTCACCAGCTCCTTTAGACGACGTGGCGGATTTGTCCACATTGTAGTAGTTCTATCGTCGGTACAAACCAGTCCACAAAATCAATCAAATGATCGCGACATGTTTGCCGACTTTTGACCGATCAGGGCGTAGCACCACTCACAGTGCCTGCCAGAGTGGCAATGATGCTCGTACCGACAGCAGCAGTGAGCCAAAAACTGCACACAAGGAATTTGACAGCAAGGTCTGCTCGTGAGCTGCGTAGGCCTCCTTTCTGATTCTCTGCTCCTCTCTTCACTCACCGGTAGGAAGAGTACCACTTGGGTGCCCAACCAGCAGTCGTCGCTCTCAGGTCGATGAACCAGCTAACGACGTACGCCCCGAACTGCGAGACGAGGGCGAGTTCGGGGCTCAAGGCGAGCGAAGGCCAGCCAATGACCAGCGGTACAATGCCGAGGATGTATCGACGATTTCCAAGCTGACCTCCGTACCTGGCGAAAGCCATGCGCTTCAGCACCAGATGGGCAGCGTTTGAGTTCGCTTGCACGGCTTGCTCGGTCAAACTCACTTGGAGAATTCAAAGCCCCAATGGATGGCTCCCAAGAAGGACAGGATGATGGCTCCGTAGGAAATTTGAACGTTTTGCGCGTGCAAGAGGAGAGCTGATGCGGTCTCGTAGTCGATGTGCGTGTCCATGCCGTTCGCTACCAGATTCGTCTGTCTGGCCAAGTACACACTGGCTCCGGCAGTCGAGATGTAAGGCAGCACACCTGGGCGAGGCGGGCGACAAGAGCGTGTCAGCTTTCTTCGGCACGCGAACAATCCGCCTTCGCTTGAAGTCTAGGGGGCGGCATACCAGAGAGCGAGTCGGGGACTTACCAGCAGCACCCCAGAGAAGCGCTGGTCTTGGAACAGCTTGGAACATTTCTGACGAGACGGAGCGCTGAATTTTGCAAGAGGAGAAGGTCGCATCAGTACAGGATGTAAGCTCTCGCAGGCACGGCCTTGACTCACAGCATCGCCCAAAAGGTCCGCAGCACCACTGGGAGAGCTGTCTGGGCCTTCGTTGGAAGATCCAGCTCCACTGCCCGGACTACCGGCAACGGCAGATTCGATGGAGCTCTTCACCTGACCCGCTTCCTCTTTCACATTCTTGACTGTATGCTTCCAATTGTCGGACGCTGGCTTGCCAGACTGAGCGTTGGCAGCTAGTGCCTTGGACGAGGTGCTCAGGATACGGGCAGGTGGGGAGACGCGTAGGAGAGGGAATTGATGAAAGGTGCTTGCTCGGACTGCACGAGCGCCCGGCCCTCGAATCATCGTTTTGGCTGCGAGAGGAAGCATCTTGAAAGATTGCCTCGAGCGTATCGAGAAAGTGCCTTCTGCACGTGATTATCCTGGAAGCAGGGCGAACAGCTTGTCGCTTCGTAGATCGGCAAAAACTTGACCAAGAGGATGCTTCCCAAAGAGACCAAATTGGACGTACCTGAAAGTGGTGAAGGTATTGAGGCAGGGATACGCACACGCGATGCTCTTCTCCACTCTTGAGTTGGGAAGCTTCTCAAGCAGCAGCAGTGTAGAGCGAGGGGGAGAAGCCGTTATCAGCTTTGATCGCCTTCTTCTCCACACGGCCGTTCAGCTCGCATGCGCATGTGCTGGCTGCTTCGTCACAAATCGTGAGTCCCAAATCCCAACACATGATCAGCGGCAATCGTGAATTCAGAATCGTGAATCAGAGCGGCGAGAGTCGAGTCGTGGGGTTTGTATCACGCATGCGTGCAGGGTAGGGTGCATATATGTCTGTGCATGGGAAGCCTTGCTGCACGGCTCAATCGCTCGATCTGTCACGACGTAGCTGCGTCATCATGCCGTAGCATTCGCGTGCGGCTTGATTTCTTGGTTGCATCGCATGCATGCTGGTGGGGTCTGCCGCCACGCCAGTCGTGAGTCTGAGTCCCTATACGGTGGATGGATGCCATTTCGATTCAAGATTACGGGCACGATGCTCACCTCGTATTCACAAGTCACGAGAGAAATTTGTCTTGTTCAAGGGCAAGCAAGCGATGATCCGACTCTTGCAACATCAATCGTGAGTCGAGGTCTCAATCACTGCATCACAACTAAGAAGCACGATCCGCAAACATGCGATTGCTTACCCTACACCTTTGTAGCAACGCTACATCACTCGTGAGGATGACTTTTGGTGTCTAATGATTCTGGTCGCGACCGTCATTCACGTAGGTACATGCTCGCAGCAGTCAACAGTCTACGAGTCAAGTGTGTCAAGTCAACCTGCCTATGTGGCTGGTAGCCTGCAGACCAACTACACGTGATTCACGTCCGTCAATCAAGACCGCTCTGAGCTGCATGGAATCCTGGTCTCTGAGCAACTGAGCTTCGATGCAGCATTGCGAATGGGAGCCGAAAGTATGCGTTCGATCAAAAAAGTATTCGAGCGCTGGCTTGCGCCTCCAAAGGAGTATTCGCCGTTCAAGCAGGAGTGATGATCCGATGCTTTGATGGAGCTTAGCAGCAAGGGATTTTCCTTTCAGCGAATGTAGACTCGAGACTCGTGACACTTTGCTGCACGGGACCGTCGAGCGATTTTTGTGCCTTGTGATTGGAACGCATCGAGGCCGCTTGCAAGATTGAAGATTGCGAGCAGTCAGAAAGCAGAGCGCCATCGCTCGTCGACAAGTCGTACACACTTGCGTTGCAGCAGTGAGTAGCGGGGTCGTCCGAAAAAAACCCCTTGGCCTGTCACCTCCGCATGTTGGGCTGGCCTTTGCCACTCTGCAAGAATCAACGAGGGGGAATCAGCGTTGGTGCTGCTTCTTGGATTTTCGGCGCTGCACACAAAGAACACCTTGCCTAATTGCACCTGCCGCAGACGCCAAGCTCCACCAGCCGTGGAATCGAGCGAGCTGCTTGGCAGCCGAAGTCAAGTGTAGTCGTATCTAGAAGCGCTGAGATCTTGCCGTTGTGGGCCCCATAGACTAGGAGAGTGTGCAGTCCAAAGTAAGGAAACGTGCGCACCCGCTATGCATATTCCTGACCAATCATTCCTCAGGCTCATCAATCGTGACTCGTGACCGACCCCATTCGTGATTCGTGGCTCGCGATTTGCGTCTGATTTCTGTTGTATCTTCGAAGTCGTGAGTCTGGAGGAGCTTTCTCGCCTCCTCTTCTGTCTGGAACATTTCTTCGTTCTGGGGGGGGACGGCCTTCGTAATCATCCCCCCTCGCGCCTGGATGGGTGATCGGGGCAGTGTGCGGGCGAGCATCCTTGGATCATTGATTGCAGCCCAATTGTGCATACGCGGCAGGAGAAGCTTAAGGAGGGTCCTGAGGAGCGAGGAGGACCCTCTCTGCGCCGCTCACACGCTGCAACAGCCCGAGTCGGCATCAAATTAGCGGCCCTGCGTACGCACCTACACCTAGCGGAGCATCAGCGTTCACTCCGACTCGACGAGCCGAGCCATGGGAGCCGGCCGCGGGCAGAGTTTACTCTTCAAATTGCAGAAAGAATCGCACGCTAGTCCACCCTCGGGTGGAAGGGAAGAAAATAAGGCTGCTTCGGCGTATTTAGAGAATCGTGAGGATGGTCTAGCGCAGGCAGGCGGTGCTACAGAAGAAGCAGCGACGCAGTCGGGAGCAATTTGCTGCGTTCGCAGCACAACAGTCGTGAGTCCACTCTCGCCTCGCTCTTCCCTCATCAATACAACATTCGTAATTGTGGGTACACTGGAGAATCACCAACGCACTCATCATGATCAGTCGTGAGTGACCATGTACACACGACTCACGACTGTGACTGTGACCACTCGTCGCGGTGTTCGACTTTGGGAGCCTGAGGACACGCGCAGGACGCTTCGCAGCAGCAGCGCAAAGAGCGCAATAAAAGGCCATATGCGCGCGGGTCGGAGTTGGCAGCTGCTGCAGCTGCATGCATGGGACAAGCGGGCCGGCGAGAGGGGAACTGCATGCTATAGCTGCTGGTGGGCGTCCACAGCATCCACGCAATCACCATCACTTGCCCAGCAGCTACCGGTGCATGCATGCTCACGATCGAGTACCGGTGCAGTCAAAGTGCAACAACGTTCTTGCTCCTTCATATACTAATCACGACCTGTAGGTGCTGCATGTGTAGCTGCATGCTGCGCTGTTGACTACTGAGGCGGATGCGATCCGGGGAAGGCCACGCACTGCACACTCACGACTGCATGGTGAACGTACACGCGATAGTCGTGAGTTAGGCTTGCCCTATATGCACTCGTGACTGCACAGCGTTCCTAGCTGAGACACGCACGGCTTGGTCTTCCTGCGCGGAACCCATTCCTTTCCCAGGTCTATCGGTGGCTGGCCGTTGTCTCACCGTAGACGTGCGGCCCATCCACTCAGAATAAGCGTCCATTCCTGATTACATATCGGGTCCAGCCTACAGCGGGCCACTCGTGGGTCGTGCACGGACGCTCGTGGCTACGAAAATTGCCGTGGTGTTGTGCCCCGTCGAGACGAAATCTTTGAATGTCAATCCACGAATCATGGCGGGGAGGGGACACTCACGATCTTGGCTTTCCGCAAGCGTGTGCCGTGCCGCACGGGTGGACCACCTATGAGCGACAATCCCAATCAAATCACAATTTTGAATGGTGAATATGAGTGAGGCCGTGCATGGGTCTCGGCTCTTCGCCGCGTCACTCTTTCTTGCTGCTCTTCTCGCTCAAATGCACGCTTCGCATGAACCAAGCTATCGTGTGGCGCCCATGTTCGCAGTCTACCGGTACACTGCACCAAGCATATATATATAGTCACAGTCTGCTGAGTACAGTACAGTACGCCCCTGCTGAAACGCAGAAACGCATGCAGAGGCACTCACCCTCGCCCTTTGGCCCGCTGCTCCACTCAACGCACAGCACATTCGGTGCTTGCCTTTCAAAATCGGCCATTTGTTCCGCCTCTGCCCATTCGATCGCATTGTCGACAATGTACTTCTGACGGTCGCTCTCACCATCCCGACCAGAACTTGCTCTGTCACCATTTCCTTCTTCTTCGATCCATCTCTGCCAGCTGTCCTGCCTGCCACAAGTCGAGCCACCAGAAGCAGAGTCACAAGTGCGTCTCTGCGTCTGCGAGACGAGCCCTGCCCTTCTCGATAGAAGAGAGCGACCGAGTGCAACATGACGTCTATGCTTGGTCACGTCCGCAATGCTGCTACCTCGAGAACCAAAGTCAAGGATCACCAGTGCAATGTTGGCTATCCCATCACCGTGCACACGAGTGCTACAGCTGTAGATGTTGGGTGAGTGCTCTCGATCGCGCAACATCCGCAACATCCGACCTTGCCGCCTGAAAGAAGCACGTGGATCAGACTTTGGCTCTGACACTTTCTCTGGCTGCTCCGCTTCGACGATAGAAATGTCCGGGATCCTTTGCCAGTTGGAGCCTGGGCGCTGCACTTTGGGGCTGGCCACCCCTTGAACGGCAGCGGACCAGTGATACCCGCATCAGAGCAGTACGCGTCTCCATACCAGACGACAAGCAGCGTGTCGGTGGGATCGGTCTCGCGCAGAGCTGAGCTCGTCTCGGCCATCGAAGCTCTGGTAGCCATCAAAGACTTTTACGGCGGAGATGGCGTCCGTGGGGTGTGTGCGCACGTCTACACCGACAGTATCTATGTCGCCAAGCTTTGGGGAGAATGGCTCGAGATGTGGGAGCGCAACGGTTGGCCTGGCGAAGGTGAAGAGCCCGAACCCACAGTTCCGATCCAAGATCGACGGCCCACGGCGCCCGGCTTGAGGGATAGCGGCATTGCGATGAGCAACAGCTCTCACGGTAGTCCAGCCTCGAGAACTTCAAATCTCCCTTCGGTCGGTGGACCATCGCGAGCAAGGTCTTACAGTCGCCAGAGTGCGAAAGGTGTCGGCAGTATCAAGGCGGCATCGTCCATCATGTCTGCCAACTCCGATGTGAGCATTTCAATGAGCTCACCCCATTTGTTCACTGCGAGAGGCAGGCCTTTTGACGAGGATCTTATGCGGGAGCTGGCCGAGCTGAGGGAGTATTTCGGCGAGCTGCAAAGGTGCGGCAAGGGTGGCTGTTACTTTTACGCTGCCTCTCGCGGGGAGAGTCCTGCCTGGAACCTTTCTAGAGAATTGGCTAGGCAGTCTGGAGCAGAAGTCTTACGTACCGCGGGGCAAAGCAGAAGGAGAAGGCCAACGAAGGGCAGCAATGGCGACAAGCCGCCCAGCATATTGAGCCAGACATCTAGAACAAGCCGAACGAGCAGGAGCGCCCCTGTTTCGAGAAGCGGTATGGTCACCAGCACTTCCTGGAGATCAGACAGCGGCACCGTTCCCGACGTTCCAGCCATTCCAAGCAGACACGCGCAGCGCAGCTCTCGAGTCCCCGATCTACCAGCCTGCGAAGCGTCGCCTACAATGTCCATCCATTCGGATCCCTCTTCGCAGTCTCCCAATGCTTCCGTCTCGGCCACCAACTCGTCCGAGGGCAGGATCACGTCCAGCCACTCTAACACTGGCATCAGCGCAGCAGCGCCAATCAGAGGCGCTCTCAAGAACGGAGCGACCCGCAGCTCCGGCGACCTCAGACAGAGCGAGTCCAACGGATCAAGGCAGGACACCAAGAACAGACATGTGGCACGATTCTCAGCAGTGTCGCCTGTGCCAGAGAGTCCCGCTCCTAGAGCCGTCGATCTTCCGGGGGAGATGTCTGCGCAACCTTCAGGCTACCAACCCCACAAGAGCGGACCTCGGACTTCTCGGAGGGTTTCGCACTACGCTACCAAAGAAGAAGCTAGCGAGGAGCTGGACCGACACTACGTCCGGAGGACGGACAACAGACTGCCGGCGGCGGCAGAGGCTGCTGGCTGGTCCACCGAGCAGATAGACAGTGATGAGAGCGACATTCGACATTCGGGACCCGAATCGCACGAAGCTAGGCAGCTCAAACCCGAACGGCACTTGAAGCCGGATGATGTTGCGCAACCTGGGAATCACGAGAGGCAAACGATTGCTCAGCTGGAGAGAGAACCAAAGAAGAAGGGCTTCTTGAGTCGGCTCAGATTCAAGATCAAGGCGTGACACTCTGCGAGATGCGCCTAATTTGCCGTGGTGTCCACCACGAGTTGTCCCTCTCTCACCGCACTTCCATGACGCTGCCGTTTCACGCTGCACTGGGCCCCCGGATCAGAGCGTTGTCGCCCGCTTTCGCACGGACACTAGCTCCACGAGCACATGCGCGGCGTCCATTCTTTCTTCAATTGCCCATTTCTGCACGCGTATCACACGAGTTCTGCATATCGATTCCTGTCACCGGTCGCGCTCCGCAGCGCTTGAATGCTTCCAGCGAGCTTGTCGCGGCAGGATCCGATTTTTCGAGGCCGTCGGGCACGGCTAGCTTCGACGTGCTGTGAAGTCGTGGGCTTGCGAGGAGCTGCAAGCTGTCACCTCACCAAGTCAAAAGAGTCAAGAGGTTCGGGTGGCATTTTTCGTGCGCCAAGGATCACGTGAATGATAGTCGGCAAAAGTTCGGGATGTGTTGCAAAAGGAGGAGGTGACCAGCGCTATCGATGCCGTCGTGGATTTGGACATCGTACGGCAACGTCGATAAGCGTGCTTGCTGCGTTTGTGATGCTCTTCTGCACGAACTGCATGCTTCATTGCGAGTTCGTGCATTCCTCTCCTCGTCGCCTGTTGCAAGTGAGCCTTGAGCTGAAGTAGTGCTTCTGCTTCGTATCGTCCGCGCAAGCCTGATCTGATGAGTAGTCAGGAGGAAGCGTCGTCTGCATCATCTCTTGGTGACCTGTTTGACTTCAGGTTCGTGCTTGCAAGACGCACGAGCCGTCACGAGGGCGCGCTGGCTGGCTGGCTGCGCGCCAAGCCTTTGCTGTCGAGTGGGCCTACGTCGGGTTCTAATTTGCCAAGAGAGGTATCGGTCAGCAACAAACACCTCTCGACGAGACGGCCAAAATGGAGGAGAGGCGCGTGCGGGCGAGTGAGCGCTGGCCAAGACTTTTTCCCACTTGACTCATGCTTCCGTGCTTCTTGCTTTCTAAGCAAAGAAGCAGGGGGGGGGGAGAGGGGTGGGCACAACGATTGTGATTGATGTGGCTGGGACTTGGACAGCCATTTGCATGCTGCCCAGCAGCCTACAACTCTTGACTGGTCAAGTGCGACACGGTGAAACTTGACCATCGTTAGCACGCACGCCCCCACTCCATCGTATGCGAACTGTTTCTGTCGAGCGACGCTATGAAGTACCAGGTGATTGGGCCCCCGATCCGCTACTTTATCGGAACTCAGCATAGCCCCCCCATCCACATGAAGAACGTAGCTTCGTATTGATCCCGGCCCAAACAATCAATGATTCTTGAATCGAAATCAAATCTCTCTGCGACCCGCATGTCAGCTGTACGGTTCGTGCCTGCCGCACTTCGGAGCACCGCGAAGCGCACCACCAAGCCGGCCTATTGACCGAGTTGGGACGATGCAGTTGAGTCAGTCGTATCATAGCTAGCGCGCGGTCTCGGCACGCCCCCGCCCTCACGTCAGGCAGCATGCACGGACATTCGTGATTCACACTTGCGATTTTGATGAGAAAGTCGGCATCTCGAGATTTTGTGTGCAGCTTCGGACTTGAGCATTTCGTGTTCGTCGATTGTCTTGTTGCCTGTTCATCCGATTTGCGTCTTCCAAGTCCGGTGATCGCGGTCAAGCTGTCTGTCCCATTCAAGGACGCTCTACCTTGACCAATTCAGCAAGGTGATTGCACCAATCACAATGTGAGTTCGAGTGCAGTCTTGGCTACATGTAGGCTGGGTCAGACCGTCTGCATGACTTGACCGGGGCTTGTTTCTCTCTGCATGTTCCAGTGAGCGCTGCTGAACCCGGCGATACGATGAGTGGCTGTACAAGACGGTGCAAGACGATATCTGCGCAGGACCACATTGGGGGCTTGCAAGCGAAGTCACGGACCAAAGTCATTTGATTCTGGCAATAGGGTGAGTGGTGGGTGATATTCATGATCTCCATTTACATTCATCACTATCACGATTGCGATATTTGCATTTCTCCAATTTGCGGCTGTCCGGTCGCGTGCTGGTGCTTCCATCCATTCAGAGGTTTCAAAATTGTGATTGCCAGCGGTGCGATGGCTTGCATGAAGCGCATGCGGTGCGCCATCGTCAGAGAGATGGCCATACATACTCACACTACACTATACGGCCTCACCCAAGTAAGATTCACTCACATCAGATCTTCTGCTCAGAAACAGTCTTTAGCACTTGCACTTGCACGGTTGATTTGGACACGCAACGACAAAAGCGACTGGAGCCCCGCGGAGATTGAATTAGCTGCATGCACTTATATAGACCCTGCGCAATTCGTCGCATTAATGCTCCTTCTGCGTTGCACTTGTGGACTTCTTGGCTCGCAGAAGCTTTTGTATGTACGGTATCCGGGTTTTGCTGTAGCGCGATGCGGGGACCCATCGCGGTCGCGAGTCGCAAGATCTAAGCACGAACCATCACGTATCGCTGTACGGATGGATGGAGTCACAAGTCACGAGTCACTAGTAGTCTTCTAGCGGCCGGAGTGGGCAGTTTGCGTACAGGAAGGACACCAAAAGCGAGACAGGGGCCGAGCAGTGATCGCCCGGCTGAAACTGGTGCGTGTGCCTTGTAGAGTCAGAGTAAGTCGTGAGTTGTACGTGTCCTTGTGCCCATGCATCGATCGATCCGCGGACGAGCGCAGCACCAGGCTCTACATCGCATCAGCGCGTGATGATGAGAGCGCGCGCGGTGCTGCAAGCGAGCAGCACGTCAACGTCAGCGGAAAGATGCGTGGATCGCGAGTTCATCATCACGCGCGCGCGCTCGCGTACGACCTCGCAGCTTGCTTCAGCTTATAGTGGCCGCCGCGCTGCTTCTGCCCAGCGCCGTAGTGTGTATACCCGAAGGACAAGCCTATACAGAGGCGTGGACATATAATGAGGGGTAAGGGCGGGTGACGTGCTGCAGCGTGCCCGTGGCCATGCATCCACGCTTGTAGAGATCTTCCTTTTAAAAAACCGGTCAGTTGGACCACGTCCATCGTGCATGCATGCTGCATGCGCGCATCTTGTTCATGCAGAGCCACAGCAAGGCGAAGGTCGATCGATCAATTCGCCACGAGAGCCCGCTGTGGACTGAGGCAGCAGTCGAACACAGTCATGACTTGCGGGCTGCCCGATCAGCTGCTTGCACTGCTGATGCATGCGTACCAACAGTCAAAGTCGTGAGTGCGAGTCACGAGCATGAGTTTCGAGTCTTGGGAGCTCTCTGATGCACGGCTGATGCATGCGATGGCGAGTGTTCGGGCCTGCCGCGCGTGCGCGTTCCCCTGCGATAGAGCATCCATCCAGGCAGCAGGAGGTCGGCATGACGCCTCCGTCCGGCACGAGCGAGCGAACCCTGACTGAGAATGAAAACAAGTCAACTGCCGTCACAGAAGAGTGTGAGTTATGAGCATCAGCAGCGCAAGATTCGCATCTCGTTAGCTGAGGAGCCCGAAGTTTTTCGTGATCTCGGCCGGCCAGCCGGGCTGGTGCCACTGAATCGAATGTCTACAGTAGTATTGAGTGACGGCGGGTGCTGTGCTGCATCTACAGATCACCGCAAACCCAAGCAAAGCCGGTTGTATGCGCCCGAAGCAGCGACCTGATTCGACCCTGAGCAGCAGCTTGGGTCGGGCACATCTCACGCACCCACCAGTCGTGAGTCACAGTACCTCAGACACAGACCGAAGACCTGCTGGCTGCTGCTGCTGGCTCTCCCCTTTCGTCCGCCACATCGAATGTCGCACGCTCGCTGCTTTAGCCTGTCGATTGCCCCGACACTTTGAGGTTCTCACAGCCCTCCCTCCCTCCTCCTCTGTTGGCACTTGCACGGATATCTCTGCGCTCACATCAGTATCACTAATGGTGTGACTTGCTTGCAAGCAATTCATTTGTCCACATCCTTACAGCCAGAGCATCCGACCAGCAGCTACCCCGACTTTCCTTCCCTGAAGCCCCCGCCCGCATCCTCCATCATCGATCGTAATTAAGCGCCATCACATCCCGCAAGCATCCAGTTCACGATTGCATCGCACCGCATTCTCCATAATCCCCCGTCTAAGCCGCTTCCGCTCCGCCTCTCCGGACAAGCGCTTGCGGTCCACACCAGCACCTATCATTCCTACAGTGCTTATTTCAAACAGACCTGCTTCAACCTTTCCGAGAACGTTGCTTCCTTCAACTTTTCGCTTCGTACTGGTTGGAAGTCATCGGCGGCCCGCCTCTGCCCTCCTCATTCGGACAAATCTCCAGATTGCCTCGCCAGTCTGCCGATCTACCGTACCCGGTGTCAAAGATTTACGGCACGCAGTCCATTGGTAGCAAAAGCACGGGTCTCAACAGCGCGCGCACAGAGCAAACCCCATTGCGAGCTTTGAACATCAGAAAGCGCGCCCCAAATTTCTGGCTAGGACGTAGCGCCTCCTCCTTCGAGCCCACTAGCCTGCTCGAGGCAAATCAGTCCGCCAGGCGCGCTCATCGGGTGAGAGCCAGGTCGACACCAAGGCGACGAGGAGCCTCGTAGATCGTCGTAGTCTTGGGCTATCTTGCTCTCTACACCTCCGATAGCGGCTTAGGATGGCGCAACCAGCTACAGCCGCCATCGTGGTGGCGATGATCTTCGTGGCTGCCTTTGTGCTCTTCTTCGGATACAAGGGCTACAAGAAATATCACTACCACAAACAGAGGAAAGCCATGGAGGCAGAACTTCCTCCGATACGCGAACCTCCTTCAAACTACTTCCTGGCTGCAGGCGCTACACCATCAGGAGGCTCGCCGCTCTCTCCTCCTTCGACCATCGGAACTCTGTATGGCGATACGTGGGGTAGAAACAGCTGGCGTGGAAGCACTTCCAAAGCAAGCCTGGGTGGTAGAGGATACAGCGACATGGGAGGAAGGAGGATGAGCTCCTCTGGATTGCTGGGCAGCCCAGGTGCCGAGGCTGCCTTTGGAGGGTCTCAGACTGGTGCTGCAGCCGATGGCTCCGCGCCAGCCTCGCCACTGAGTCTTGGCGTCGACGCCGTTCTCCCAGCTGCTCCTGGAGAAGCGTACGATCATTCGAGAGGGATCAGCAGCACTAGCACTAATGCCCTCAAGAGGAGCTACGCAGGGAGCGTCTACTCTGGAGCTGGCGGTGGACCAGGCTCGGACAGGGGCGCAACGGACATGCATCTGCCCCCACGCCGACAATCCTACCTGCCACACTTGCCGTCAAATCGGGAAAGCATCCAAATAGTGCCTCCTCAACCGCTGGGCTTCGGCTTGGGCGGCATGGCCCAAGCGACAGACGAAAAGACCTTGGCCTTCTCTACTGTCAGTGGTATCGGCAGCGATGGGGATGAATTCGGAAAAGGACTGGTCTGGGCTGAAGGGGAGGCGAGCGGCAACGGTGGAGATGGCAACGACCTGGCAACAGCCAGCGGGAGCGGCGCAAGGGTCGCCCACGGCGACCGAGCGAGATACTTGGCAGAGGGGCCCGTCAGGACTTGGTCAGGTAGCGGAGCCGGTGCAGCTGGACCCTCCAACTGGCAAAGTCCGAGCGCCCCCCCTTCGCGAAGCCTCACCCCTGGTGCTGCGCCTTCTTGGGAAGATAGGTCCTCGGGCCATCGTGGGCCTGGCAACATGAGCGCCTCGACATCTTCTAGCTCCAGACGCGCCTCCTCGTCCCAATCGCAGAGGAGGCTACCACAGCAAGCACATCCGCTTTCGGAATCTTCCTATTCCTCCGAGTACGCCTCTCCTGCCGACCCCCTCTCAACCCCGACGAACCATCAGAACGGCACATTTGCAAGCCTGCAGAGTCCTCTGCAACTAATGTCTGATGGCCCAAACGGCGCGCACGGACGTCATGCGTCTGATGCAGATACTCTCAACACGGGACCTAGCAGTGTCGAAGGTGTAGGCGCCAACGGATCCCCGATCATTGGGGCATTCAGAAGTGCGGGGACGGGCAACTACACTGCACGAGCGAATGAGAACATGCCCGAATTGGCGAGCGGAAGCGCGAGCGGGTCTGGCAGTCATAGCAGCCCGACAGATCCTTCGACGGACAGTTCAGGCCGACCTAGCGCTGCTGATGAGGAAAGCATGGACAGAGGGGAACGATTTGCGGTGGGCAAGGATGGAGTGTTGAGGTTGGGCGGCCCTGCTGTGCCTGAAAAGCAGCACGAGTCAGAGGCGCGTTCGAGCGGCAGTCGAAAATCTTGGGGCTTCACCAACCTATTGGGACGCGCTTGACCGTTCCGATTGGGAGTTCGCTCGCACGTCGCGTCGAGAAGGCCAGGCACCGTTCGCAAAGTCCAGTCCGATGTCTATCGCGTCGTGTAATGGCAGCCGCCCTGGTCTCCCCTTGCGCTCATCTTGCCGAGCATCTGCGGACTGAATCTCCTTCATCTTGTAGGCCAAATTACGCTTGCCCTTTGGCAACAAGCTTGTGCGTTGCCCACAGCACGGACCTTTTAGCACCACTCTCTCGATCAACCCCATCCAAAATAGTCCCCGACATTGCAAACCTGGGCCACTTTCGATCGGGAGCAAGCCTGCGCGTGACTGCTTTTCCCCTTGCGGGTCTCATTGCTCAGACTCTGCAATACCTCGGACCTAGCAAAAGTTGCCCTTACTATGCACCCATCTCATCCTGCCCACTAAAAACTGTAATCTTTCGCTTCTAAGCCAGGATTCCCACATTACCATTCATTGCTACCCTCACCTCACTCTTTCTGCATACTTAGAAGACCGCAATGTATTTGCAAAGCCCGCGTCTCTTCGTCGCGTCGCAAACTTCGCGCGTAGGTCAGGGCTAGAGATACGACATCAGGTTTCGATTTCTGTTTGGCACAAGTCGTGACTGTATTCATCTTACAAGTACAAAAAGCGACACAAAAGAGGCTCAAGATCACCAGAGCAGATGGAGCAAATAAGACTGCGCGTGCTGAGCATCGAGATCTCTGCGCCAGTGGTGGCGACTTGGCCTTGATGTAGAGACCGCGACTGTAAACATCGGCAAAGACGCCAGCCAGCCTTCTTCGTCATGCGGCAGCGCCGCCAAAGTGGAACGTCGGGCCTTCGTTTGCGCGAGCCCGAGCAGGGAGCGGTGCGATTGCGCGTGGCTCGGTGGAAGCTGCGTTGTAGCCCTCTGGAAGCTCCAAGCCGAATTCTTTGAGTCTTTGGAAGATGCTCGACTCCGTGGCGCCTGTATCTGCGCCTTCTTTTAATATGCGCAAAAAGGCAAGGTAATCCTTCAAGCCCTCCATGAGAGCATGCTGATCGGTTTCTGCCAAAAGACCGAGCTCCGAGGGGTCTAGCATCGTCATCGCGCGACTGACCATCGACCATACCAAGGATGCGGTGGTCACAAACTGATTAGGAGACACCAAATCCCCCCAGTGAGAAGCCCTGATCAACACAGTGGCATCTGCAGGCCAGAACAAGACGAAACGGTCACTGTTCCAAAGTGCTTGACAGTAGTCCGAACGCGATCGCAGACGCGATCGATTGGCGGTAGGTCGATTTAGCGAGCTTGCCGCATCTGCTCTCAGTGTGAATATGCGCGTCCATAGCAGGCTTCCGATGGAGCTGCCAGGCATTGCAAACCAGCGTCGCCGAAATTCATGATCAGTGAACCAGCGATTTGGTAAGACGCTTTGCACAAAGTGGATATCGCCAGCATCCATCGCTGAAATAGCTCGACTATCTTCTGAGATTGCTCCGACGGCTAGCGCATCTGGCGCAGTAGTTGAGATCTGTGGTACCCGGCTGGCAGAGCTGTTCCCGGTGCTGCCCTCGCCTCGAGAGCTACGATCGCGCAGCGCTGACACGCGAGCTACGGACGCTCGAACGGCCGCTGTGCGCGCTGCTAGACCTCTATCAGGATGGAGCGCATCGTCATGCCCCTGTGTCAAGGGTGTTGATACTTCGAATTCTGCGGGGCGGACCCTTGGGAAAGCAACCTGGTTGCGCGATTCTCGCGACGCGCGCATTCGCCTATATCGAGCAGCGACTTGCTGACTTGGCGTAGTTGGATTGATGGGCGCGGGCAGATCGTCTAGCTCGTCCGACTCTAAGCCGAAGAGCAGCTCGCTGATCGAATCTTCCTCTCGCTCCGCTGGAATTGCAGCACTCTCCGACGGGAGATCAGGCGCCGAATCTCGCGGTCTGTCGATGCGCCTGAGACGTGTTGGTCGTGCTGATGGGATCGGGTCGAAAGCTCTGCTAGGATCCACTTCGCGAGCACGAGCACCTTGCGCAGTAGCAAAGATGAAAGAATCCATCCAGCTGAGCGAAGTCGAGGAGTCGGCGTTGAGGTCTTCTACAAAATCCTCGAAGGTGTATTTGCGCGATTCGGGATGCGGTCGTCGCCGATTGTTGCGGGTGAGAATGTCTGCTACGGAAAAGGTCTCACCATGTCTGACTGCATATAGCTCTTCAGCGCGAGAGTCGATACTGCCAGCGTCCGAGCTCTCGCTGGTTCGGTAGAACATGCTCTTGATCTTCTCCAGGAGCAAGTCATCGTAGTGACCTTGCGTTCTGCATTTGAGCTGAAGGCGTGAGCAAGTCTGCGAGTGTGCTTCCTAGAACACTTTGCATTCTCGACTCACTTGCGACCCATAATGACAGGCGCCCCGCGCTGCTCACGAGGCAGCTGATATTACAAAGAGCGCTCGAGGGAGGAAGCCCATCCGCTTGGCGATAATGTACACGATGTCAGCGTCCCAAAAGACGAGCAAAGACGTGTATGCTGGGAAGCGTGAATGTTCCGGAATTTGGGTCACGCGAGCGAGCCTCGCTCCAAAAGCAGGGCGGAGAATTTGTTCAGAGCGCTGCGATTGCAGGCTGTTGAGGAAGGGAGGAAGGATGGTGGAGGCATGCAGTCAGCCTGCATGCGCGCAATCAGGCGCGACGCGACTTGACTCATGTCACGAGTCGCGCGACGCGCGGTCGGGGCGAACCTGATGCCACGTGGGCGTATTCGAGGTGCGGTGCCCCTGCCAAACAAAAGGACCCATTCAATTGCTGGTATCTCCTGCGCGCCAGTCAGCACCGCCACACACTCGGTGATCCTATGTCGTGTCCGCTTCTCTGTAGTTTGACGCTATCAGCGGCTATCCATCTTGTTTGACTGACTCGCGAGCCGAGCACAGGTCACCGAGCTACGCTCGCATCCAAAGATCAGGCGACGCCAAGCGCACAGTCTCAGGACCTTTTCCTACCACCTGCACCCGTCAAAGCTCCTTCCGACAAGTCGGCGACGTGGACGCGCGCTACCACCATCGCTGGCCCACCGAACCATCGTAAAGTCCCGCCTTCAGCTCCGAGCCCAACCAGAGCACGCTGGCCACTTTTGCATACTGTTCGCATCCGTATCTGCCACTGCATCTTCGTCAGGTCTCGGCCATCAGACAGCGCAACTTCACACGAACAGGTGTTGACAATAAGACTTCTCCGGTACGGCAACAGCATCATGCCTCCCACACGTCTGGTGGCGTTCCGGGCGCAGCGGGGGTCTAATGCGAACGGCACGGACGGATCGCGCACAATCACCATCACGCCCACTCCGAGCGGTGAAGCTGACGAGGGCGCTGGTTCAAGCTCAGGATCTGGAACAGAATCTCCGAGAGCGCCGATCCAGGGCACGCTGCGACTCAGGGGCACGGATGCGAGACCGGGGAGAAGGGTGGTGTGGGAACAAGGCACTGTAGATAATGAGGGCATGGGAAAGAAGAGCAGCAAAAGTGAGTTGGCATACATGCCACGCGCTGTCGCACCTTCGGAGCCCAGAGCTGGAGTACGGCGCTTTCGATCCAGCTTACCGACACCGATACTCTTCTCCTCTCGCAGTCTGCTGCATATATCACAAGCCGCGTGCTTTTGACGAGTCCTCATCATCTGGCTCGTCCTCCGACTCTGATGATGATGATAGCGAAGCTTCCTCCTCTTCAGGCTCCGACTCGGATGACTCGTCTCCCGCACGTCGGGATGGAGCTCAATTCTCGAGGCGATCTGCGCATCATCGTCGAGCGAGCGAGCAGGGATCCGACAGCAACGAGGACGACGGCAACAGCTCGTCATCTAGTCTCGCTAGGAAGGGCAAACAGAAAGCAAACTCCAGAACGCGTCATGATGTGCAACATGAATGCGAGCATGAGCATGGTCACTCTCACGGCGAGAGGGGATCTAACAGCGACAGGCGGGCAGAGCGCAAGAAGAAACAAACGAGGCGACCGGTCAAAACTTCGGGCAGGTCGAAGGGCAGTAGGACCATGACGGTTGAGCCGGGCACACAGATGGAAGACGATGCGCACCACCTCTCAGAGAATGAGGAAGGAGAAGGAAGACCTGCACGCAACGCTTACGAGCGCGGTGTAGAGTGAGGCGTTGATCCGGCGAACATCGTGATTGATCTCTGCTCCTTTGAGCAACTCAAATTTTCAGCTAAGATCCCTGCTCCTTTTGAGCAACTTAATTTTCAGCACTTCTGAGCTGCGACGGCACATGTCTGCTCGCCCGCAACATCATGGGGACGTATGCGGTAGTCCATTCGATCTACGTTGAGCGTCCACAAGGCCTCGCCTTTTTTTGACACACATCAATGTCAATCGAGGCAGCAATGGCAATCATTGTTCTTCGCGAGTGTGAAGGCGAAATGTAGACGAGACTAGGCGAGTTGGATTAAGACGCTTGTGACGATGGCGAGAAGATTCCAGGTCCGTTGACTCCACCTGTAGTCTTGAGTGACTGCTTGGCTACGAGCCCTTGTGACTTCACCGCTAATTGCATGCAAGCGCGATCGCCTTGTGATTCACGACGATTCACATTCGTGATTGGTGATTAAACATACCCACGATTTGTTCATCATCCGGTTTTGCTGCCGGCAGGCATCTCATCGCCTCACGTGACTCTTAGAGTCACCGTGTGAGTCGTGATTCGCGCTTCGACGTTTTCACTCACGAATTGACTGCAGGCTGACGCCGATGCTTTTGGTTGGTGGATCCGTGATTGCGCCTTCGCTGACGGTACAACAGCAGAAGCAGCATCATGGCTCCGGGGGAGGAGAGAACGAGAGAGAGACGGCGAATTTTCGTTTTGAATCGTGAATGCATGTTGTCATGCGTGCATGCATGCATGGTCCCGTCACCTTGCCGCTTTGCTCCTGGCGCACATAACGCTTCGCCGCAGAAAGTTGAACCGCGGCTCGCGCAAAGTTTCTTGCCAGTACATCCTGCATACGGCGACTCGCTACTGGCGCTTCATTGCTCGTCTCTTTCTGACTGAAGAGTTCCTGTGGGGTCGCGCAACACACACACACACACACACACACACACACACACACACACACCGCTGTGCGTCTGAAAGGGTCTTCCGAAGTTTTGACGCTTAGTTCTCGGTTGTGTGTGTTACGTTGATCAAGCACCCTGCTTGCTCTGGCGCGTGGAGCAGCAGCTGGGATCTGCGCGCGCGCCTGAACATCCATGCAAACATCGATCAAGGGAATCACGAACGCGCGGCGAGCGCGGGTGGTCTGCGCGCGCCTGCACCTCGATCTTGCTTGCTCCGGCGTCGACGAGGTCACCGAGGGTAAGATCCATCACTGTGACTGACTGCATGTTGATTGAATCACGTCGCGCGCGGTACTGTACGACAGCAGCTACAGTAGCCTTGCTGCAGACCAAGAAAAGTGCATGAGCCTCGGCTTCATTTGGCTACGACGCGGCTGGGTGACCCGAGACCTTGATCCTCCATTTTTTTTTGTCTTCGCAATCGCATCGCCTCGTCAGCACGTTCCCTCAACTCCCCCACATCCAAAGCACTTGGACACAAGGTCAAGTCACGACTCACGACGAGCTTCGCCACCAAAGAAATCGAGCGCATACACACAGCCTAGAATTAGACTTCAAAGTCACACCGATATCGACAACAAGCAAAACACGTCACACGAACCAGCCACCTAAGCACCCGCTACTGCTGCTGTACCGGTACGCCTTGCATTCGGCTGATTGCTCTTGCGGCATTTCGACCCAACTCGCACGAGCGGTCGAGGAGCCCAAGTCCCAACGGATCCTGCCGCCACTCTAGATAGCAGTCTCTTTGGCGGCGCAGCCCCCTGCGCACCTCAAACCCGCATTCGAGGGTCTACTACAATTAAGCTGAAAGCAGACTTCCACGGCGAAGCGCAACAGCAGCCAGCAACACCTTGCGCATGTCATCGGATCCGGCTCAAGCAGCGCAGCCAGGCTTGCGCTTCTACTTTCGAGTGCTGAGGGAATCTGGTCTTGCCTATCCTGGCAGCCTACTCCTATCGCTCCTACTGGCCAAGCCGGCCGTCCTCTCGCCAGATCTATACGCTCGAGGCTTGCTGCCTTGCGTCAGCTGGCTCATACTCAGACTTGCCGATAGTAAGAGCAGCTTGCAAAGCCTCGTACCCCCCGCTCCAGCTCGTGCCGTCGACATGATGATGTCGACGCCTCAGCAAGACGCACTGGCCTCATCAGCAGAGACTCATCAGTCGGACTCGCCGGAAAAAGCTCGCTTGCAAACCAGCACGCTTCCCCACAACAACCCGTTGCCGCCAGGGTACCATGTGAGTCTTCTCTCGCCACTCGAGATAGGGGTTCAACAGCTCTCTAGTCAGAAGCGCGAAGAGGCAGCGGAGGGCCTGAGGTCGGTAAATTAGGTTTGTGCCTGCGATGTCATCATGAGACGATGGGTCCGCAGCAACATTTCCGTGATGAGTTTGCATGGAAGGGCGACGAGCTAAGGCAATCTGCGTAGCGCAGAGCGCCAAAAAAAAAAAAAGACAACGGAAAAGTCTACACGCCAACATTTGCGTGCGTGGCTGCGCTGGAGCAAACAAGCGCGATGCTCGCTCGCTTATTCGTGCTATCTGGGCAAATTGCGCAAGCTGCTATGTACCGGTACACACCAGGTCTTGGCGAGCCGCGGTTCAACTAGGGCCAAAAGGGGGGCGCGTCATTTGGGTTGCCTCGGACCATCACCATGCAGTGTGTGCTGGGTGGTGATGTGGTGGCGGATGAAGCGGGGCGGCCGCTCACCGCTCGGGACCCCACCTATAGAGACAAACAAGGGGTTCATCCGCGCCACCGAGGGTAGCCGTGATTTCGCTAGGCGTGTAAAGAGTTGAGATGGAGTCATCAGCGGTATTGTATGCATGCTGGACCCGCTCGGTTCACCGGCCCGCCGGGCTAAGACGGCTTTGCTCGAGGGGTGGGGCTTGGCATTCGTGATTGATGACAAGATTCACACTTCTGGCGCGTAGATGCTACGCTACGTATACTCACGACTGTGTGGTGTACGTACGGTATGGGCCGCCGCGCGCGCGTCAAGCACACCTGCGCAGTCAGAATCACCCAGCTATACAGATCGCCCGCCACGCGTGGGAGCGGAAGCTGCATCGCATATGCATGTGCGCGCGCCCGCACGCACGCGTGTGGCGATGACAAGCGCACGTTCGCGCACGTTGCCCTGAAACGGAGGGCGCTCGCCGCGCTCGCCCAGCCAACGTGCCATCCTCATCGCTGCTGATGGAGGTTGCCATCTGCGCTTCATTCCTGCCCTTTTGATCACACGAGTCATCGTTCTCCTGTCCTATGTTAAAAGACTAAAGCAGATTTGCTCACACGACCCTTCCTTCTCCCTCATTCCTCACACCAAAATTTGTCGTGCTCCCCACAAATCGACGACGACGCATCTCATCGCGCCGACATCTGCACCTGCAACCGATCTCCGCGCCCACACCCACCTCCACATACCGCCGCGCTCCGCAACGATTTCCTTGTCGGAATCAAAACAAAATGGGTGCTTGGACAAAGTCGTTCAAGCTCAATGGCTTGCAACCGCCCATGCCGGAATGTTGGTGAGTGGTGAAATAAGAGTGACCAGGCATAATCCCTTTCCTAATTCTTACATCGCTGCATCGCCGACGCAGGGGACATCGAGGAGCTTCGGCCGCATATCCTGAGAACACCATCGCATCTTTCGACAGGGCTATTCGCGACGGATCGGAAGGATTAGAGAGCGGTTAGTGCTCGCTGCCAGAGCCATCTTTCTTGACTGCTAGTGCGATTGTCAGGCGGTCCCCCAAGTGGGCTGTGGAATCTTTATATGCGATGCGGGAGCAGTGTGTCAGGATCCTCCCCACACTTCACGATGACGTTTCTCGAGGTTTTTGGGCCATCCTTTTGGATTGCATTGCGCACGCTTCGTGTCGCACTCTCGGCACGCCCAGGGCGCTTATATGCTCGTGGGCTCTCGACCGGACTTGAGGCATGTGCAGCCCGCTGCCGGTCCACTCTCCGTCCGTGCTTTCGCCAAAAGCGAGGGTCCTAGACTCACAAACTCCCCTTCCGTTGCTACCACTTGCCGCACATGCTCTGCCTCGACACCTTGCGCCGACTCATTCGTCTCGCCAGACGTGCACGTCACGGCCGACGACGTCATCGTCATGTTTCACGATCCTTCATTGGAGCGAACGACCGACGGCAAAGGAAACATCAAGGAACAAGCGTGGAAAGGCCAAATTGAGAACGTCAGGACGACTGCGAAGCCTCAGCAGCAAATTCCCACTTTTGATCAAGTTTGCAGCCTCCTCATGAAGCCCGAGAACAAGCATGTCAAGCTGAATGTGAGTACTTGGCGATCGTGTCAGCAAGCACAGCGCAGCTGCTCTAACAAAGGTGCCCAACGACCGCGCAACATCTCAGATCGACATCAAACCGGACAATGATCCCGATCGTCTGTTCAGGCTCATGAAGAGAGTGGTGTCATCCTACCCGAATTACGAAGTCGAGCTCGGCCCAAGATTGATTTTGGGCCTTTGGCACCCCGGCTTCATCGCACCTGCCCTCGAGCACGTGCCATCTTTGCGACGCATCCACATCGGTGGCAGCCCCACCGTAGCCAGGACGTACTTTTGGAAGCACTGCGATGGTTTCAGCATGTGGTTCGCCAGTCTTGTTGGCGCCGAGGGACAGGCATTCTTGGCTCAGGCAAAGAAGGAGAACAAGGACGTGTTCGTGTGGACAGTGAACCGAAAGGACGAGATGATCGAAGCTACCAGATGGGGCGTCAAGGCCATCTTGACGGACAAGACCGACTTGTTCCAGACCGTCAGGGTGGAGATGCAAAGTGAGCCAGCTGCGTTGCTTTGGGAGATCGACTCGCGAAGATTGTTGGCTGATGATTGGACTGCTCTGAATCCCCCGCAGGAGACTTTGCTCTGACAAGAAGCGAAGAAGTTGGTTTCTTCTTCAGATGGGCATCGTGGCGGTACTGGATGCTACCTCAATTTGTCATCCAAAGTATGTGGATCGCCAACTTGCAGACACGAGCCGGCTCTACATTCGAGGGTGAGTAGAGTCTGTCGCCAATCGCGCATTTGTCTCCAGTGGCAAATCCCCTCTGATTCGCAGAAGCCTGTTCCCCCCCCCCCCCCCTTTGTTGACCTTCAGAGGCATGGCGTGCTTCACCTGCGAGGACGGGCGATGTGCAGGCAGCCATCGACGAAAAGCCGGTCCCTGCATCTACCGGCACCCTCAATCCCGCTGCCATGGATCTAGAGAAAGGCGCCGCGGGTGTCGACGCGCCTGCGCCTCAAGCCGTAGCTGCCACCGCCTAGACCGATTCAGCAACCCGCCAATATTCTGCCTCGCGTGGCGTGGCCAAGCGTTTCGCCATCGGAAAGTGAAGAGACGCAGGCCCGACCTTGGACCCTTCGCGCCACGGACTCTGTTCCACGCTTTCGACTATAGACTTGATCTTGATCACTCTCGCATCCCACAAAAATTGCATCTTTCCCGTGCACAGCCTCTCTTGGCCGCTAGGCTCGTCACGAATCCCAAAGCTAGTGCAGCATCTTCGTGGCTTGTTTCTGGTGCCCGCGCGCCCGCCTCCGCATCCTTCCGTCCTCGCAAAAGCCTCATGATCCCCGCGGCCGCTACTTTTGGTCGATACGATCAAATTATCGATTTCTCCTTTTGATATCATATTAGCTACATTCAAACCTTATACACCTTTCCCACTTTCCATCGCACGAATGCGAACATTGGCCTGCTCTCGATGCCGACACGCCGTGATCATCTTGAAGCCTTGAGCGGGGCGCAAGTGTCAAGCTTTGCCTTCGCGATTGTATGATGAAGGCGTCCGAACCGACTCCTGCTGGTCAGTCTGCTGGTCCTCCTCCTGTGACCACGAGTCGTGAATGGACCTTTGATTGGGCAGCGAGCAGGACGGTCCCCACAGTTGCTAGCATCTGATTTTTGGATTGGGGATGCTCACATCACGTGACTTGGATTAGTAAGTCCAAAAAGTCACGAGTTCCAAATTCTGATTCATACGGTACTTGTTATATAGTCGATCTGTGGATCGTATCTTGTATGCAGCTGTGAAGGATGTGCGTGTTTGATGTGAGCCGTGTGCGCCTTACCGGTGCGAGATGTGGAGCGAAGACCTCTCGTGCTGCTCTTCGCTGCAGCACTTCAACACCACCACCACCACCACAACTACCACCACCACCACCACCACTCCCGTCCTCTATTCCACATCGGACTCGCGTAAATTTCGCAGCGAAGATCAGCTTCGGAGGCTACGTAAACGTTCAGTATCGGATTCGAGGTGCTTCGAGAGCTGGAGAAGCTGCGACCACGTTGGAGGGTTCTTGATCGAATCGACGGCAGGAGGACGAGGTGCAGTGCGCCAGGGAATCTTGATTCAAGCTTTGCAAGTTTCTTCGCTTTTTCAGCTTCACTCCTGACCCGGGCCCTCGCAAACGCAGGGAGGCATTTTTCTCCTAGAGTACCTTGAGGCACAGAGAGAGAGGGGAAGAGCTGAGGATGCCGGTCACTGTCAAGATTTTGGATCTCGTCCATCGAGCTGCCGTCGTCGCTCTTGTTGGAACTGGGGTGCGTACATTATGGCGAGGCGCTCGCTGATTTCTGCACGCTCATAGGCAGAAGGATGTGGATGAAGCACGATGCTGGGCCCCTTGAAGGGGGGCGTGAGATTCTGGTGTGAGAGCTGATCATCATTCAATGCTTTGCTGTTGATTTGCCGCCATGCGCAGGTTTGGGGCTTGTGGCTCACAGCCGCAGTGTACAAGAGCAGGAGGGGAGATAGCGCAGTGAGTGGCTGCAACAACATTCTGATTTGCTCGGATCGGGCCCAAAAGACAAAAGAGAGGCTCAGTCAGACCGAATTGTGATATCAATCCTGTTTCTAGATTCGAGGTGTCTTGAGCCCGGTGAGTAATGCTGCGCTCCTAGCTCATCTGCCCACCCGAGCAATCCTGTATTTGCTGCGAGTGCCTTCTGCTGATACACTCGCACTACCTGTGTCGTCATCTCTCCCTCTGTGTGTGTGTGTGTCTTTCTCTCCCTCTCTTTCTGGGACTAGTCGGAACAACAAGCAGCCAAGCAAGCCGAGCTTCTTCAAGCAGCGCGAAGCAGGATGGCCTCGACGAGCACAAACAGCAACGAGGGTTCGGGCGAGTCGGAAGAGTCTCTTTCTTCAAGACAAGTCACTGCTGCGCCTCCTCCACGCACGCGCATGGCAGGTCCGCGAGGCATCTTGCAACAAGGCGCTCAAGCTCGTCGTCAGGCAGGCGAACACAATGATGGAATCGAAAAGACGGTTTGAGAGTCTTGACCTTTGCCTTTCTCGCCTCGCTCCTGAACCTCTACTCTCTCGATGGACATCATGCGCATTCGATCATGAAGCTTGCATTTGCGACTCGAACTCGTGCGCGAGAAGCCTGGAACCGGCAGCCTGGACCCGGTGGCAATGAGTTCGGAGCAAGACTCTGAAAGAACATTTTTGGTAATCGCGGCTGTCTCATAGGCCCCAATGCTATCGAGGGTTCGTTGCTAGGCTACAGAGAGTGCGTGGGCTATTGCATCTGCACTCGCATTTGCAGGCACGCTCTTCACAATCACAAAGTGGAATCAGACGTCGAGACGAGTGTCGGACTTGCGAGGTGTGTGTATGTACAGAGCGCGGATGAAGCGCTCGACGCTGAGATTGAATTCACCGTGTGCAGTATTGGTGCTGATTTGAGGTGGTTCTAGATGGGTATGCAGGCGGGGATATCATGTCTGGTCGCAATTGGTTGCTCGCCTCGATTTGCAGCGATGTGGCTTAAGCGCGGCGGCAGTCAGTATAGAATCACACCTCTGCTCCGACGTAGAACAGGCGATAATCCTGCGGATTTTCAAATTTGGACGTCAAAGAATGCTCGCTACCCCTGATTCGGGATCTGTACGACTTGCTCACCTCTCCTCCGCGCCAATCGAAGCCCCATACTCCTCCATCACCGGCTGCTTCGTTTGGTCGCCAGGGATTAGGGCCAACGGCTGCAGGCGCGTAACCCCCGGCTTGAGGCGCTACAAGAAGGGACCCACAGAGATACTGCCAAAAATTGCTCAGCAGTCAGCAAGAGTCTGTTGGGAGGACCTGAGAGGATCTGGACTCACCTCGTGTTCCACCTCAGCGCTGCTGCATCTTTCGCCCAACGTTGGTCTAAGTCGAGAGTCGAGCACAGGGCCAGGCACTTTCAAGTCGTCCAGACACGCGGGTGGCGGAGGGCTTAGGGAAAGCTCCGCATCTTTCGAGCACTGGAAAGGAAGTTCCACTTCTTTGCGCACTGTGACGCGCTTCATCTCTATACGCGACGGCAGAAAAGCGATGAGGGTGATGCTGACGTGCAGCGTGACCTGATGTAGCCCTTCGCCATTGCTTTCGCGGCTTGATGGTCTTGTAGCGCTCGAACTTCCCAGGATATGCGCTGCACCAGCCGTCCTTGCCCTTTCCAAACCAACAATCCGCGCCCAAGCTGTGACGGACTGCGGCGTGCTGGTCCATCTTAGCGACGCTATAGGACGGCAAGAAGCCAAATCCGCAGGAAGCGGAAGCGGAAGAATCTCCGTCGCAGCGCCCTTCGAGAAGAGAGCCAAGCTCGCTTGAATGACATGCTGTGTACCGCTCGGCGGACTGTTCACGCCCCTGCTAAGCACATTGGACATCTGACGTTTCGGGCGTCTCGGTTCTTTCATCCCTCTTTGGACGCCGTCGACAGCTGTGATCTCCCGAGAGAAGCCAGAGTCCCGCAGGGTGACCCCTTCATGTTGTGGCAGAGTGTTTGGCGTGGCGTAAGAAAAGTCGTCCTCCTCCTCGCTCTCATCGCTGTCGGATTCGGCAAGCACCGCTGCGAGCCGTTGGGCGATTTCATCCTGTTCACGAGCTTCAAATGAAAGTCCTTGCGGCGCAGGAGCATTCGGCAATCGCTTATCTCGGGATGCTCGGAAGTCTTTGGCTGTCGGAGATCGCTGCGTTCTCTCAGCACCAGCTTCAGTCGGGCGCCACTTCACCGCATGGGGCGTGGGGCTTGTCTGACCAGATGCGGAATGTTGCCGCGACCCCGCCCTTACCAAAGGCACCACATCCTTGTTGCCATTCTCTTCCTGTCGAATGGTAACGCACGCATGCACCGGCTCAAATCCAACCCAGGAGGTCTTCGCCTTTCTGAACGAGGCTAGGCCGTCCACGGACAGATGCTTGTTGTGCGCGTGGCCGCTTCCAGAATGACCTAAATTTGACGTCGAAGGTTTCTTTTCGAGCCCAGCGCCACTGGACAGGTCCATTTCGCGCACGTCTGAATCGCTGACTCGAATGACAACTGCACGTTTGCCGAAAGATACGAACAATGACAGGTCTGCGCCTTCCCAGCCTTTTGGGCCGGCTGCTCCACTGCCATGAAGAGGACGCAAGGTGGTCGAGACACTTCGCGTCTGATGTGCGCTACCATGGCGTCGTTGAGAATCGGGTACGAGAAAGTCTTCACTCGAGCCCACGGCTTCGGGCCCGGCTTGAGTGCTGCAGTATACAAAGGATGCAGCTTTTGGCGTAAAGGTTGGCGGACACCATAGCTCCCGCACGAAGCTCCACGACCGACTGCCCGATCCTCGTCGAGGCGGAGTGGCTTCGAATACAAGCAACGACTTGGCGGTTCCGACGGCGAGGTACCAAGTTCCCGCTGCCTTTGCGCCTTTGCTGGCTTCGATGACCGAGAAGAATAGCGCGCCTTTGGAATAGGCAGCCATGTCTCTCTCCTTGCCCTTGGATGCCGCAGTCAGCCCATCTACAGAGCGTCGCGGACCGAGGGTCTCGTCCGCAAATAGCGTTGCGTAAGAAGCCGCGACTGTTGTTTCGTCTGCCAACGTCCCGTGCGTGGTCGCATTGGGACCACTAGCTGGCATGCTGATAGGAATGGATCGCTTTGCTAGTTCCAGCGCTGTCCGGTAGCCCTCCGACACGATGGCGGCGTCACCTCTTCCAGCGGCGTTGCTAGAGCTCACAGCGCCTTGGGCAGACTCCAGGCGCATTGTGCTGTCAACAGACGCGAAGCTTTCTAACGAAAGACCAGAAGCTCGGCGGCTTCTAGAAGATGCCAATGGATTCATCTCTGCTGATCTCTGAGCTTCAAGACTAGAGTCAGCAACAGAAAATGGATCCACATCTCCGTCGCTATTACCTCGTCGTGCGGAACGAGCATTTCGCGACGAGGACGGCTCTCCCAAAGAAGCCCAGGCTTGCCGGATGCGAGACGACAGTCTGGATTTGCCGTGGCGTTCAGCGGCGCCCTTGTCGTCTGTGGTGCTCAAGTCCAACGGTTTTACACCCTGGACAGCAGCCCACATACCACAGCTGGCTTAAGTAAGCATCAGTGGCCACAGTGCAAAGCTTCAGACCATGATACTCACAGTAGCATCGAGAGCAAAGGAGACGACCCTTCGAAATTCATCCAAATTCCACATCTTCACGATGCCGTCCTTTGGCGGTGTTGGCCCCGAGCTACTTCCGCCACCTGCAGTCCCAAACCGCCCGGCTCGCATCTGAGCTTGAGTCTCGATGCTAGGCCCCGAGGAGAATGCGCTCGAATGCCCCAAAGAACTGGTGGATCGATTGTATGAGTGCGCACGATATTGGTGCGGCTTGCTTGGCGCAGCGCATAGAGCCAGAAGGATGTCTTGCTCAGTAGAATTACCGTTGTTATCTGATCGCGCAAAGAAAGCTGCATTGGATGATGTCTGAGCCGCCGAAGGGCCTTCTGGAGGTCGCGAGCTGAGGATGGCGAGTTGATGAACGCCCATACCATTCCAAACCTATCAATCTTGCAAGACTCAGCGGCGAGCCAGCAGATGCCGCTTCGCACCGTGCCGAACTCACCGGTAAGCATCTGACGTCACCATTCCAGCCGCTAGCCGCATCATCGTGGCCCAGTCGGCCCGATCGTCCCGAACGCTGCGAAGCGCTGCGTGTCTGAGCTACCCAAAGACCTTCATTTAAGCCGATCAGCAGCACCTTGCGACGAGGGTTGCGCGCCTGTCGATTGCCATCCAGCCGAAGATTGCTGGTCGCCTTTTGATTGTCTAAATCGAGATAAGCGGCACAGAGCGGCTGGGAAGGAAGGTGTGGAATGAAGCGCAAGCCATATTGGTGCATGTGCAAAGGCGGATGTACGGTAGGCTCCTCGGTATCCTAAAAGTCCGCGAGCTTGTAAGATGCAGGCCGGCAGTCTCTCGAGTGATAAAGGCTCAGATCCTGGGTACTTACATCTACGTCTTGTTCGGGTTCATCATCATCGATCGCGTTTGAATCATGCACCCCAGCGCCCCAGCTCTTTTTGCGATTGACGCTTGTGTCAGGATCACTCATTCCAGTCCTCTCGTAATGTCGATCCAGCGCTCTCTTCTCTAACCACCCTCTCCAGCGGGGGAACCTTCCGCCACCAGGAGCCGCTGGCCATGCACCAGGCCCTCGGCCTCTGGCATCCGATCTCACACCGCTCGTCTCACCAAAGAGTGGAGGCGGGGATCGCTGAAAAGCGTGCGTGTCGTATGCTGGTGGTTGCGTGTTTCCAGCCTGTGTCGGAGCTTCAAGGGTGGACGGCGAGAAGCGGGCACGTTGCTCGTCGGCAGAGGTTTCAGGTAAGTAATTTGGTCCTGTCAGCTCTTCCTGCTCGTCTAACTCTGACACGGTTCTCCTCGCTTGATCTGGACGCGCATATACGGCCGAGATGTCGTGAGGAGCCCGATTGGAGACTGTCACACTTCCATGACCGGAGTCTAGAGAGTGATCTAGCCAGTCTAGCGCTTGGCGCGCGTCCGCAAGGGGGCTATCCTGGACTGACCAGGTCGCACTCCGAGCTGAAGCGTGATCCATACCGCTCTGTGTTTCGCTAGGTTGCGCGGCGTCTTCTTGCGTGCTTGATGGTGGTGGAAGGGTGGCACTGGTCTTAGGTACGTGCGGAAGGGGTTTCAGCGAGGGACTGGGCCGCCTAGAGATATTAGCTCCAAAAGGCCAATTGCTGTTCGATCGTGACACAGCGTGAGTGACTGAGCCTCTCGATTCAGCTTGCATACGCGAATCCAAGCTCGATTTGTGCGAAGCTTTGCGTGCCACTGATATGGTGGACGCCGATGAGGATGAGGAAGACGATTGTAGGTCGGGATGCAGATCGCGGCTTGAAGAGAAGAGCTTGCCGCTGGGGATAGCAGGGAGCGCAAAGCGCGACTGCTCTCCAGTGGACGACGACATGGTGCGCTAGGTCCTCTATGCGAAGCAAAATGCAGAATCAACGATGAGATGTGCAAATGAGCGCGCGCAAGATGAGCGGGCCGCCTGGCGCGCTGACCACTCGCAGGTTCGTGTCCTCGAGTGCGGTGGCAGAAAAGGGTGGCTGGCTCAGCGATCCCTATTCTTTCTACTCAAGGACTCCCCATTTCGCACCACGACGGCCAATGGAGTGGCGAGCAATGGTACGATGAGGTGTCTGACAGCGAAGCATACGAGTTGCGGAGCTCCGTAGGTCGGCTGTACGTCTCCTGCGGCGGTCGAGGTGGTGATTGTTGCGGCAGCTGCAACAGCTGAGGCTATGCAACCAGCAGCAGCGTTCCTGGACTCACGCATACTTGCGGACCAAGGGGCACAGCCTTACGGCCAACTCAAAGTCACGAGTCTTTGAGTGCTCAGCATATTTTGGACACGTGATTGGACGCGAGTGCGCAGCTTGCCGTGCTCGGCAGACGGCAGGTGCAGTCACGAGTGTACCAGGCCAGCGCGACCTATGTGTACACGCTCTACAGGGGTTTTGTTATTCACCTTGATATGCTCCTTGAAGGCAGGATTTGCGATGTAGGTAAATCACGTACATACAGAAAGGTTCACACTGCTCCGACGTGGCTGCAAGGCCAATCTTGAAGCAAAACGGCATCGTCGCAGTACTCGTCATCCTCCCTGCCTGTTGTGGCGAGCGAGCCATTCAAATTCTTTCGAGAGATGGAGGATGGATGCTGTACTCAAGACGTTGATTCCTGCCCCTTTAGCGACCGCCGCCCCCAGATGCTACTTGTTCACCTTGTTGAATACCAGTCAAGAGTAGCATTTCGAGCCTTGCAACTTGATCATGAGCAGCCATACGCTCCGGGATTGACTGGGCGCAGAGTCACGAGCTGCAAATCACCAGCCAAGTCGATGGCCAAACCAAACGCACTCTTGACTGTGGTTCAAGACTCGCGGAGTGCAGTGCACGCGCCGATCACGTCGTCGGACGTACAGTGCCGCATACAACATCCAAACACTAAAGGTATCGGTCGGTGTTCGAGTGTCGCAACCCTGCATCGGGTGATGGTGTCAGCAGCTGATGTGTGCTGCATGGAGAGCGCACGAGCAGTCTTGTCAGCCTTTTCTGCTGCACGAGGTCGCGCATGCTGCTGCAGCCAGCACTTCAGCAGCAGCAGCAGCAGCATCATCATCATCAGCAGCAGCAGATGGCTACAAGCGCACGCTCACCATCACCAGCACCCTCGCAGCTTGCGCAAGTCACCTTCAAGATGAAATCACGAATGAGTCACGGAGTGCTGCACGCAAGATGGTGTGTGTGTGTGTGTTGCCCTGCCGGTCCCTGCCGTTTCGAGCTCACACGAATCTGACAGCGCATGCTGCGATGACCTGCTTTAGTAGGAGTGTGCGTGAAGCGTTGTTGGTGATCACCACGACTAATGAAATGCCGATACAGCAGCACCAGTCTTGAGTAGTACGCGTGCGTGCGCGCGCCCGGACGAGGCGTGGCGAGCTGTATATATATTATAGCTGCTGCTATTCATGCATGCTCAATCTTGCGATGCTGCGATGGCTGCCGCATGCATGCTCATCGAAAATCCATCCACAGCAGCCGGCCGCGCGCGTCTACCAAAGCGCTTTATAGTTTTGAGTGTGACTTTGTGCACGGCGCGCCGTACGACGCCTGGGCGCGAGGCGCGCCGCGCCAGATCATCTCCAACACCATCACATAATCGCAGCGTGCAGTTGCACGGCCACACCGTCCGTGCCGCATCACGCGCTCACCTATAGCTACTCGTGACTCCGTCGTGCAAATTCGCAACCGCCATCGCCCTGCCTCACACTCGAGGCAAGGCGCGTCCATCATCAGCGCCTTTCACCTGTTCCTCTGAGCCACTTTGCTCTGCTTCCCACGCGGACGCACTGGACCCTTGCGACAGCTCACGTCCTGGCCTCCATCTCTCACGGCAACATGTCGCGCGATCGACGGCCCGGCGAACCTTCATTCGCAGCACCCTTGACGCCGCCTCGGGGTGCGGGCACGCTACCCACCCCGCCAACATCTCACATCGAATTGTCCGGCGACAGACCGCCTCATGGCAGCGCTGCCCACTTTGCCAGTGGCAGCAACAACGATGCGCCGCTATCGTCTGACACAGAGCAGGCGACCGACGGAGAACCCGATGCGAGCCCATCGGCCATCGTCATGTCACGTCGACAGAACCGGCTAAGCCAGCGTGGATCGGCGGCCAACTTTGAACTTCAACAGATAGTCTCGCCACTACACGCCAGCCGCAGCTCGCCTGCGACTCGAACCTCGCTAGACAGACCCTTGTCCGACCAAGAAGTGACCATGTCCCGATCAGCATCCGTGCGCAAAGCGCGCCGAGTCGGTAGGAATGAGGGTCGCCGCGCAAAGAGCGAGTTCGACGTGGCGTCGGACTCTGACCACTCCAGCTTCTCACACCCTGCAAACGAAGACTTGCGCAGTCGCACGCCTAGTCCTATACTTGGAAGCTCACGAGGCCATTTGAGTGCTCAAGGCGCGTTTGGACCGAGCGCGGAGAATGTCGATGCGGTTCTGTTCGGCGAGAATGACGAGGAAGGGAGCCGACAAGAAGTCGAATCGTTGCTGGACGAGCTTCGTCAGATGAGTCTGGCCACAGGCGGAATCGGGAGAGAGTCCAACATTGTCAGCATCGTGAGTAGGAATCGCAATTGTCACGGCAACCAACATGCCGCGTGCTCATTCCCTGTCCGCGGTCGGCAGGGTTCTCAACTTGGCGAGAAGGCGCTCAGACTGCACGACACTGTGAGTGCAGCGCTATGTAACTTTTCACGACCACATTGCCGTACATCTTCTCACGCTTGTTCGCCCCTCCTGTTTTACGCCGCAGCTGCACCATGTGCGTCTTCGAGCCATCGCTGCGCTCACATCCCAGCGCACGAAAGCGCATGCATCTCTTGTTGCTATGCAGCTCTCATCCGCTCGTCAAGCTGCGGAGCTGGATGATGCCAGGACACAAGCTAGGATGCTCGGCAGCAAATTGGCGCGTGCAGAAGCTCGCGTTGAGGAATCGATTGAGGAGGAATTGCGCTGGACCCACTCAATGAGGCATCATGGCAGCGCACTGGCGCAGCAGCAGGCTGCAAGACAGGCCGCACGCACCAATGGTGCTCAAGCAGACGTCTCTCCCAATGCACCTGGCTTGGCGGCACCGATCGACCTCGAAAGTATCAAGCAATCCCCAAAAAGTCCTGCTGCTGCTCTAGCGAGCGCCACTGCCCCGCAAGCCGCTTCGTCTTCTTCTACGACACTCTCAGGACTTGGCATTAGTGCTGGTGGTGCACCTGCTGACTCTGCCGCAGCTACGCCTGCAATGTCCAGCACGACAGACGCTGAGGTGGATTCCCCGTTGACTGTCTTGACCCGCAATTGCAACAAGCTCAGCTCCGACAAACGCTATCTGAAGGCGAAGTGGCGCGAGGAAATCGCCCGGAACGAGCGACTCGAGCAGGAATTACGTGCTTTCCGTCCGCTCTTCTTGCAGAGCAATCGAGCGTCTGTCGGGACAGCCTCTCCACTCCCCGCGTCGAGCCACACACCAAGGCGCTCAAACTCAAGTCGTCGTCGCGGTACTGGGATGGGAGATGCCGAAGCGGAGCTGCTGCTTGCTACAGCACGACGCATGCGTGAGACTAGGCGAACGGAGACTCGTCGATCGCCGCAAAAGGCAGGCGCCATAAGAGAGCAGACGACGCTGGAAGACGGTCGTCCAACGACGCCGCCACGGACTTCGCAGCCTTCTCAACCCAGCACCCCGTTCACCCCGCGCACGCCACGCACCGTGCCTGTCTTGCGTACTCCAGGCAGAGATGAGGCTGGCTCATCAAATTGGGGTCAAAATTCCAGCAGACAAGACAGCGCTGCAGCTAGCAACGCGTCACCAATCAAAAATGCGGCGAATGTACCTGGTTCAGCGAGTAGCGCGCGTGGCATTGATGAGCTACTGCACGCTGCCCAGACTGTCATGACGCCAAGCGAACGACCAGCAGCGCACCAGACTCCACGCCGCGGACTCGCTTCGCTCAGTGCGAGCTATGGTGACAGAGGCTACTTCCTTGATGCGAAGTCTCCCAAGATGAATGTCTCTGCGCTGTTGAGCGAAAACGACGCCATCAACGAGAGTCCCAAGCGGCGCCGCATGTCCACATCCACGCACGATGCCTCTGACGTGAGATTCGCAGGTGGACAGGGCATAGAAATCGCGGAGTTGGCTTCCTCGCCTGAGGGTCGTCCTGCACACTCAGCACATCGTTCACAGCACGTCAAACTCGCCGAACCGCAGCACGAAGCTTCGACCGCGCAGTCATCTGGACTCTCAGCGCTTGACCTGCTTGCAGACCAAGCTGCTGCTTCTCAACAACCCAGTCAGAGCTCTGACCACTCGCGATCAGGGGGATTGAGCGACGCCCCAGCATCAAGCTCTGATGAAGGAATGATCGAAGAAGAAGGCGTGGAGCACGGCGATGAAAGATGGTTCTCTCAGTCACACCATGGTGCCTTTTATGGAGGTCCACCCGCTTCGCAACCTTCCGCGCGATACGCCTATGGACCAGAAGGTGGCAGACCTGGCTGGCCAGCCTCACCAGAGAATATTCGCATGGCGAATGTCCATGGATCCGCCCATCACGGCTTGCCCTACGTGCCGCGCGCTGTCTCGCCTACGCGCGCATCACCTTCCAAAGCAACCTTGGTTGCGCTACAGGCGAGTCCGCCGAAGAGCAAAGGTGGAAACACGAGCCCGGACAAGCGCCTGCCTTACATTCGATGGAGCGAGGAGGAGGATAGGCGGCTGAAGCGAGCGATCAGCGAGTACGGACAAAGGTGAGTGAATTGTCACGTATAATGACGTTGCGGCAAGCTAGGGCGTCGAATAAATCGAATCGAGCTTACATGTTCTCCCCCTCTTTATGCCATGCAGATGGGAACAGGTCGCACGCAGTGTTGGGACCCGATCGTACCATCAGTGCCGTCAGCGCGCGCTCTTGATGAGGCGCAAGACTGCTCAAGCAGGAGGCTCAGACGGCGGTCCTTCGCTAGCGCCCGCGTCTTCCATAGCCTCTGCCGGTCATCCTTCGCCTTGAGTTGTACGCCCGCCACGTTCTCAAACCCACCGCCTTTTCCTCCTCTCATGTCTGAGTGTTTCGCGAGACTCTCGGATTCATACCACACATCAGACCAAATGTCTTGTCGAAAGCCTCGAATTCCGAACACGTATAAGATGCAAACACAGTACACGAATGCTACACAGCAAGCTTGCCGCACTGAAGATATTCCGCCATACCGACCGACCACGTGTTCCCGAACTTGTACTGTACTACACAAACACACCTCTCAGGCTCCTCGAATGATCATCCACCAAACATTCCGCGCGAAATTCCCTTGGTGCTTTGTTTGAGCTCTGTTCGCTAGCAGTCAAGCCGCGCAATAACATTTTGATCGGAACCTGACACACTGGGCATCGCTGTCGATGGACTTTCACACATCGTTCGTGTGCGATTGGCCGCCTGCCGCGCTGTGCGGTCGTCGGCAAGCTGCTCTGCGTTGAAGAATCTCACGCTGAACAGTTTGACAGCAGAGCACTCAACCGCGCGTCTCATTTCCTCATCTTCGCATTTGCGTGCCGCATTTCAACTCGCCAAGAGAGAGAGGGAGGAATGCGAGGGTTATTACACAAACTTGCCAGAGACGAACTCTTTGCTTTCCCCATCTGGAAGATCGTTTCCGGGAATAAAGTGCCTTTCGACTCCTTCTTCTGAAATGTCCACCATGCGAATCGTACCGCCTGAAGAGCCGTCTCTGCGCATCGCAAGCGATAGCGCTGGAAGCAAGAGACGAGAACGGGTCGGAGTGCGCGTCGTGTCAGCAGGCTGGTCGTGCGTAGAGCGAGTGACGCTAATGATAGCGTCAGACTGCGTGCACCACTCACCCTTCCTGACAAAGTCTATCGTCTGCTCCTTGCCCCATCCCGGTCTCCAGGTCGAATCGCAAAAGCCATAAATGTATGTTGACCCGGAACCTGCAAAACCAAGCGAGATGCGGTGAGCATCATCGCAGTTCAGAGCGGCGAGGGCGAGCAGAATGAGGCCATGCAGCAAGACTCACCTCCGATGGCCCAAGGTTGTTGAAACTTGCCGCCCCCAAGAGGAATGTTGTAAACGCCACCGCCATTCCTCTTGTCCCAACCGGCAACGATGATTCCAGCGCTCAACCTGTCCTTGTTCTGATAGATGATTTCTTGGAAAAGCTGAGCTGCAGTCTCCACTTTCGGCTGCTCGTCGTGCTGAACTGCCACCATGCCCAAGTTGTAAGACACTATATCCGCTACAGCTTGAGTGTCAGCCGCCGAACCTGAACGGCAACAGTAGATCCTGTCCGTGATGTGCGTCAACTTGTCCGTCACTCGATTCGCCTTTTCGACGTTTTGTTGAAGCGCGCGGAGGTGGTGAGCAGCCAGCAATCTTGTGGGATTTTCAGTTGCGCTTAGCAGACTCACAATGTACGATCCCATGGTTGTTCGGCTGTCAGCACCCATGATGACGCCCTTGTCATACACGACGGCCATGATGGACGTCTAGCGAGCGCGAGTCACGAGTGAGGGAGGAGTGGCCGTCGCCAAGTCAGCATCACCGAAGGCTCGTGGAGAAAGAACGACCCGGAGCGGACAAAAGCTGCCGTTCACTCTCTATCTCGCGTGTATGCGTCTGATTTGTGCGCCCTCGTATCTGCCTGCCTGCAATAGGCTTATATCACTCACACCAAGATCCATCTCCCCCGACTTGAGCCTGTTCACATCCACAGCTTGCATCTTGGCACCACTGTTCTGTGCAGAAAGACTTAGCTCTCAGAATGCCGGAATGAAAAGAGTTTGCTCCTGATATCGTTCGGTCGCAGCGGACGTGATGAAGCAGATGCGCAACGTCGAGCCTCTTTGAGATGTGAGAGGTGAGTGTCCAAGATGCTGAGCGGGACAGCTCGAATTGGCTCGATATACAGCTTTGTCTCCAACTGCTGCTCTTCTGTGGCAGATGTACAGGCAAGGTTGATGCAGATTAGAATGAGGATGACTGACGACTAGACGTGTGTTGTGTGGATCAGCATGCGTATGGTCAAGGAGGATGACGATGCGAGCTGCTGCATGCATCACGAATCAACCACATCTCAACTCGAACGGCCGACGGACCACACAACAGGAATAAGCGCTGCACCGTGCGCCTTGCGTGCGTCGCCCAGGCCGCGCGTATACACTCAAGACTGACTCCAGACTCAACTGCTGCTATAGTCGACATGGTAGTCACGTGTTGAAGGCTTCCAGCGAACCGAAACGCCCGTGCGAGCCTATGGGGAAGGGGGCGGGCGGCGCGCCTCGGCCCGCCGTGGGCTGTGGTGAATGGTGAATTCAAGATTGTGAGTACGTGTAATGCGCCCAATCGAGTGCTATTGCGCAGCCATACATGAAGCTCGCCGTGTATACAGGCACAAGCTTCCCACTCATCTTCCACATGAATGCGTGATCTGCTCCGCTCAACATCGACACATTGATTGGCTCATCGCAAGCCTAGAACCACGGTTCGCCTCAAGTAATCGTCAAGTCCATAGGACCTCTTCGGCGACCGCCCCCGTCCAATCAGGGTTGAGCTCCAGCACTGGAAGGGACCCCATTCACTCGCACGAGCTCCAAGATGGCAGGATTTTCTAGAGGAGGAGGCGGAGCGGGCTACGATAGGACAGCATATGGTAGTTCTGGCAATCCCACGCCAGGCGGTGGGAGATCTGCGTACGGGGCTAGTGGAGGCGGAGGTGCAGGGTACGCATCTGGCGGAGGAGGAGCAGGATATGGAGGGGCAGGATACGGATCTGGGGGTGGAGCTGGAGCGGGCTACAGTTCTGGAGGAGCAAGCGACGCTTACGGCGGACGTTCAGCTCGTAAACCTGCTCCTTCGGGGTATCCTGACGAGAAGGCATCCTACAACCCTTCGCAGCATGCGGCTGGGGGCGGAGGCGGAGGCGCATCAGGCCACCTGGTGGTCAAGTGTCCAGAACCGCTCATCTTGTCCAACTGTCTGGCCGTGAATGCGCAAGAATGGGGATCGACGCAGTACGTCATCGTCGACGGTCGTTTCGTCTTTACAGCCGCGTGAGTGTGGAGGGTGTTGCGTCTCCGCAGATTCACGATGCCTTGCTGAACCACGCGGCTCCCTCGCAGTGCGGACAAGACTGGTCAGGTGCAGTCGGGCACGCTCGGCACAGCCCTGCTTCAACGGCAATGGGCAGGTCTCAGCGCTCAGGGCCACGTAGTCAGAGCAGAACCTTACGATCCATATTCCCAGGGACCAGCCGTTTATCTCGCCAGTCTAGACGTCGAGGTTGGATTTTTGCGCAAAGGCACCGAAATTGCAGAGGTATTTGATGCAGATGAGATGCAGCGCAACTGGGTACGGGTGAGTGATGAGACGTGATTGGAGAGGTAGCGTTCCCACAGATCAGTCTCAGCCTAGCCCCTGATTCCGCCTCACGCCACGCTTCTGCGCAGGCCTTTGAGCACCACATCTTCTCCATCGGTCAACTGCTCGTCTTCGAGTTCCATGGCCAGAACCTCAAAGCCACAGTCACTGGAGTGGAAGTGGTCGAGACGCAACCTAAGAGGCAAGGCGCAGGCGCTCCACCGCCACCTCCCTCGCAGCATCGATCCGACAAGGGAATCCTCATGCGTGAGACCTCCGTCAACTTTATCAAGGCTGGGGATTCTGGTGTCAAGATCAAAGCTAGTGGCAAGCGGTGAGGCTAGCTGGACCTGCAAGTCAAGTGCGCAAAAGAGCTAATCCCTCGACTCTTGCGCGTCGTACAGAGCACCGCCCAACGCTATCCTGCAGCCAAACTTCAAATTTGAAGACATGGGCATCGGAGGGTTGGATTCGGAATTCAGCGCCATTTTCCGCAGAGCTTTCGCATCTCGCATCTTCCCACCTGCACTGGTGGACAAACTCGGCATACAACATGTCAAGGGTATCCTCCTCTACGGACCGCCAGGAACGGGAAAGACGCTGATGGCTAGACAGATTGGCAAGATGCTCAATGCCAACGAGCCAAAGATTGTCAATGGACCGGAGATTCTGAACAAGTATGTCGGTGCTAGTGAAGAGAACATTAGAAAGCTCTTTGCTGATGCTGAAAAGGAAGTAAGTGCGAAATTGAAGGCTTGAAATTCGGAGGGTTGTACTCAGATGACTGCACTGACACGCCCGGCTCCACTCTCACAGTACAAAGCCAAAGGTGACGAATCCGGTTTGCATATCATCATCTTCGATGAGCTGGACGCTATTTGCAAGCAGCGTGGCTCTTCTGGAGGGGGAACCGGAGTCGGTGACTCTGTCGTCAACCAGCTGCTTTCCAAGGTGCGTGTACAGATCGACGACGCAAGCGTGAATGTATTGCGCGAGGCTAAGGCGCGCGCTCCTGGTTGCTCTTAGATGGACGGTGTGGACCAACTCAACAACATCTTGTTGATCGGAATGACCAATCGCTTGGACATGATTGATGACGCGCTGTTGCGTCCAGGTCGTCTGGAGGTGCACATGGAGATCAACCTTCCGGACGAGTACGGTCGTCGACAGATCATTTCGATTCAAACGAGCAAAATGCGAACGAATGGGGTGATGGATGATGACGTGGACCTAGCGGAGCTGGCCGCCTTGACCAAGAACTTTTCGGGCGCAGAGATTGCCGGTCTAGTCAAGAGCGCCACCAGCTTTGCGTTCAATAGACATGTCAAGGTGGGAACGATGGCGGGCATATCGGACGATGTGGAGGGCATGAGGGTCAACAGGGACGACTTTCTGCACGCTTTGGACGAAGTCACTCCTGCTTTCGGTGTGGCCGAAGAGGAATTGCAACAAGTCGTTTCGAACGGCATCATGCATTACGCACCTCATATTGACGTGAGTATTGGGGACTTGGCCAAAACGAGCATTGTGTATCTGAACACATCTGAGTTTCGCGTGCAGGTCATCCTTCGCGACGGCCAGCTGCGTGTCGAACAAGTCCGTACTAGTTCCAGGACGCCATTGGTCACTGCTCTTCTGCACGGTGAGCATAACATTGGAGTACTGCTGCTGTAAATACGTGTGCTGGCGGCTGACCCCTAAATTTGGCTTTGGTGTATCTTCAGGTCCTCCTGGATCTGGAAAGACCGCGTTGGCAGCAACCATGGCCATGGCCTCTTCCTTTCCCTTTATCAAGCTTGTCTCACCCGAGAATATGGTTGGAATGGCAGAATCGCAAAAGATTGCATACCTCAACAAGGTCTTCAACGACTCGTACAAGTCTCCCCTCAGCATCATCGTGGTGGATAGCATCGAAAAGATTGTCGAGTGGGTGCCCATCGGACCTAGATTCTCCAACCCGGTGCTGCAGGCTTTGAGCGTCCTGCTGGGTAAACGACCGCCGAAGGTGAGCACGCAGTCGCTGCGTGACGCGTGACGCTCGCTGCGCTGCCGTCTTGCTGACACACATCTCAATCCGCAGGACCGACGTCTTTTGATTCTTGCGACCACGTCAAACAGGCCCATGCTGGTCGATATGGACCTTGCAGAAGCTTTCCTCGCCGACATTCGTGTTCCTGCAATTACGAGTTTGCGAAGCGTGGATCACGTCGTCAGGGAGACTGGATTGTTCAGGGATCAATCGGAGCAGGACAGACTCATGGGTCTTTTGAGATCCGCTGGTCTGGAGGATTCAAACAGGCTCAATATTGGTATCAAGAAGGTGTGTAGATTTGGACGTCGCCTGGGGGGGGGCACAAATGATTGTCCCTTTCACGGTGATCATATACGGCTGACATCGTTGATCGCCGGCTTGGCCCTTTCCTATTAGCTTCTGTCGGAAATTGAAATGGCGCGCCTGGACGAAGATCCGGCAGACAAGCTCACCGCTGCTCTCAATAGCCTATAGACGGTACCGCACCTCGGCAGCGGGTGGCCTGCCCCCCACGCCTACTTCCCAACCTAGGCTGGCACCTCGTGCTTGCCCAAATTTAATGATCATCTACTTTCCTGCCAAACCGAATCTTGCGCGACGCGCATGGGCACTGCTACGCAAGTCACAATACGTAGCTAGCTACGAATTCTTTGGAGAGGGAAAAAAAAAAACAGCCACAGTGTTAAGGCGCGTGACTCGGCGACGATGTGTGAATACAAGTGCGGTCGGTCACCAGTAATGCGTCGACAAGAGATGGGTGGTGGTGATGATGACGAGCGTGAAGTTTACAGGTAGATTGAGTGATCGCAGTGTTAAGGCGCGCGATCCGGCGGCTGTGACGCAATGCTGTTAGATACTCGATACAATTGTCGGAACGTGGGAGCAGGAAGAGAGAGAGAGAGAGAGAGAGAGAGAGAGAGAGAGAGAGAGAGGCGTGCACAGCAGACGCGGAATGGATGCATGGTCCAGCGCAGGCAGCTCACACCAAGTTGCTAGGATAGAGGTGCGTGTCGATAGGCAAGAAGGATTCTGAAATGGTTCTTGCGCTAACAAACCTCAAAAAGACCTGCATGGATCCGGCCTTGTCGTTGGTTCCGCTGGCTCTGGCACCACCAAAGGGCTGCTGACCGACGACTGCACCGGTGCACTTGCCGTTGATGTAGAACATGCCGCTCGAGTTTCTCAGCAGATTCGTCGCTTTCACCACTGCTGATCGATCCTGCGCAAAGATGCTTCCGGTGAGCGCATACTCGGTAGTCGTGTCGATGAGGTGGCACGTCTCTTCAAACTCGTTGTCCGGGTATGCATAAATCTGTCAAGAAGTGAGGACCGCGAAAATTAAGCTGTCCACGCATCGTACAAATCAAGAGGGTGCCCGCTCACTCACAGTAACGACTGGACCAAAAATCTCGTTGATCATCGTAACGCTGCGCGGGTCGGTGGTCTCAATGACAGTGGGCTTGACGTAGAAGCCTTTTGAATCATCGCCGGTCCCTCCAGCAATGATTTTCCCTCCATCCTTCTTGGCAGCTTCAATCAGGCTGATGATCTTGTCAAAGCTGTGCTTGGCAATGACTGGGCCCATGAAATGCTTGAAGTCCTCGACTGGACCCTGCGAGATGCTTTGCAAACTCGCCAAAAGCTTTTCCTTGAATCCTCCAGGCTTGGACCACAGACTTTGAGGGACGTAGAGCCTGCTGAGCGCGCTGCACTTCTGTCCTTGATACTCGAACGCGCCTCGAACGGCTTGGTGCACAGCTGTGTCGACATCGGCGCTCGGATGAACGAGGTGAAAGTTCTTTCCTCCTGTCTCTCCGACGATGCGCGGGTACCCAGTATACTTGTCCATGTTGGACGCAATCTGCTTCCACAAGTGTCGGAAGACGTGAGTGGAGCCGGTAAAGTGCAGGCCTGCGAAAAACTTGTGCTCGATTGCTGCAGTGGCAATCTCCTCTGCGGGTCCGGGCACAAATTGGATGACGCCGGGTGGCATGCCAGCCTCTTCAAAGATCTTGTAGATCAGATAGTTGCTGTAAATGGCCATGGGGCTCGGCTGAGAACATTATGTAGCACAGATGAATGACTGTGAGAACCTGGTACCAGCGGCTTGGATCGCAAACCCCTGCAGCATGACGACTCCTCACCTTCCAAACGGCAACGTTGCCCACTAGTGTTGGTACGCCTGTGTGGCGGCACCCGGCAAAGTTCTTAGCCCACATGTAGGGCATCGACGACGTGGGGCGACTAGACTCACCGACAAGGTTGGCTGCGATGGCAGTGAAGTTGAAAGGAGAGATGGCAAAGATGAAGCCTTCGAGAGCTCTGTACTCCATTCGGTTGTACATTCCCTTTGCGTGTTCGGACGGTTGCACTTTGTAGAGCTCATCGACGAACTGTTGGAAGTGCACGCTCGATCTCATTTAGCTGGATGTATGCGCTCATCGATGCTTGGGAGTGTGATACGCACCTTGACGCCGAATCGCAAGAAGTCACAGGTTTCTGCTGCCGCATCCTGAAGGTCGAGAGCGAGATGAGAGGGTGAGCGCTCCGTATCAGACGCCCTTCGAAGCATCATACCCATCCACCCACAATCTCTGCTTGCCACACGTTCTTTCCCTGGCCGAGCACTGCAAGCAAGCACGGCGCGTCGCAGCGTCAGTGCCATGGACTCGATTGACTCTCTTCGTACGCACACCCTACTCACTCGTGGCAGCCATGAGAGGAAAGCGGTACTTGCCAGCGATGAGGTCCGCCGCTTTCAGGAAGATGGCGGCCCTATCCGCAAAAGGCATGGCTTCCCAATCCTTCTTGGCAGCCAAAGCGCCATCGATGGCCTTGCGGGTCAAGTTCGCATCAGCTTCCTGATAGCGACACAGTGCCTGAGAATGATTGCTCGGGTTCAATTGTTGTGCCGTCTTGCCAGACTGGACGGCCTGACCGTTGATGATCAGTGGAACGTCAAAGGGAGCAGAAGCGAGCATCGAGTCCACAGCCGCTTGCAGACCAGCTCGGTCAGACGATTTCGGCTCATAGTTGCGCTGCACACGCAAACGTTTGGGGAGGGGCAAGCGGACCATCACGTCAGAACGCTCGATCAGCGGGTCGATTCAATTACATCACTGAACGACGACGAGCGTGACTCACCATGGGCTCATTGAGAGTCCTGGGCAAGCCAAAGTGGCCAAGTTGCGGGGCAGGCATCGCCATGGTTGTGTAGGAAGGTGGAGAGCGCAGATTCAGCAAATGGCTTGTAGGGATTCCAGCGGTCGAAGGATCTTCCACACGAGCGCGGTGTCACTGGTCGAGGTGGGAGGGGTGGGAGAGAGGTAAGAGCGGAGTCAAGTCTGTGAGTACACAGGATAGGTTTCTAATTCCCGTCCATCGACTGTTGCATGGGCCAGCAACTAGAGTCACGATTCCTTTGAGGCAAATTACTGCGATAGGGATGCGCCCGCCCCACCGGCAGGGCGAGGCGAACAAAGCTCATTCGAGCACAACCTCATCAGGGCTTTTCCGCCTCTTTCCAACAGCGGCAGCTGCTGCCTGCTGGTTGAAGAGGTGTTGGACCCTCGACACGCGCCTGCAGCAGCAACAGCAAGCGCTGATGCATATCAGACTGGTGGCGCTGCGCGTGTAGAGAGATAAGCCGCGGCGCTTGCATATGCAAGCGAGCGAAGACGGCCCGAAGTTAAAGCATCAGCATACAGACGGTCAAGCGCTGCCGGCACCGCTTGGCCTCCATGCAGTCACACACGAGTGCGCGCGAAGCTCATTCTATCAGTGTGAGTATCAGGCCCACAAGAAGTCTAGCAAGCAGGCGGATCGCATTCAGTCTCGTAACGATCTTGTGCGAATATGTACAACGGAGCACTTGGTGAGAGCGGGCAAGAAGTCTAATGCAGTCTTGGGTCCATGGTGCCGCTCTGAGCACAGCTTGACGCGTGTCCACCAACCGGACTTAGTGGTCAATGATGGACAGGTTGCCGCTGATCAGCTTGTTTTCCAGCACACTTCCATCCGGAATGGTGATGTGGCTGCCTTCGGTGGCGATGATGATGACGGTCCCAGCAAGGATGACTTTGCGTCCGAAAACCACATCTCCCGAGACAGTAAGGTGATCCAGGTCCGCAATGTTCGGGATCGTCTTGAACCTCTTCTGGAAGTTGGCCACCTTTTTGAAGGTGTCTCCCAGTTTGATGACGGGAGTTTGGGTGAACTGCCTTGAAGCGCTCATCAGCAACTTGCCGTGCTCCAATGTGTACAGGTCTGAAGTGATTAGCAAGAGATCTCCGGTGCTCTTGACTGGCAGGAAGCGAGATCTGGGCACGTTCACGCCTTTTGCACCTCGGAAATGCTTGATAGCTGCGCCGACTGCTGTCTCCAGCTGAATCACAGCCTCGCCATTGTCCAGCGATTTGTTGTTGACAATGATCTCGAGGTCAAGCTCATCATTTTCAAGCACGCGCTTGATAGCCCTCAGGTTGAGCCACAGGTTGTTGGTGTTGAACTGCAAGCAAGCATCGGGGGTAGACGGGGAAATCGCGTGAGCATTTTGCGCACTTCGAGGCGCTTTCCTGTCACAGGAAGTGGACTAACGATCTTGAATTTCTTGACACTCTTGAACTCTTCAGTGTGCTCGCTTGGAACCTGGGCAATCTCTAGCAATCTGATGGTTCCGTTGTAGTCGATCAGAGTACCACCCTTGACATCAGCCTTTGTCTTGTCTGTGACCTCAGAAATGAATTCAGCCTGCGTGTCGATCATGTGCTGGTAGATGTTCAGGTCCACCACAGCGCCCAAGTTGTCAACGTTTGACACGAAGACTGGGAAAAGAAGGTGGGTGTTTCCAAACTTTAGCAGGCGCAAGCGAAATGGCGATAATCGGAGCCCTACGTACTGTGCTCTTTGCCTGCAGCAATCAAGCGGTCCAGCAAGCCAGAATTGTGCATAGCGTCGAACAAGTCTCCGTGTCCGGGTGGGTACCACAAGCTCTTGTCGGAGGTGGCGCTGCGAGGGCAAGGGAGGAGACTTTCCTTGTTCACACGAGGGTAGCGTGATTGGTTGAAGGTGAGGATCTCGACGTTGTGGTTTGCGTACTTCTGAATGACTCGAGCTATAGAAGTTTTGGGCACGAGTCAGTCAGAGTGAGCAGTGTGCTTTCCCCACTCCCTTGGGCCTCACCTGTGTCATCATCAGTGTTGAAGGAATTCATGAGGATGAGAGGGACATTGACGTTGTGGCTGGAGTTCAAGTGCTATTAGATGAGAGGAATTGCATACCATCAGCGACTCGACCTGCACAATAGAAGGGCGCCAAAAGCGCTCACCTCGATCTGCCTAACTGAAAGGTCCAGGAAAGTCATGCCCTCGCGGACCTCAATGACACTCTTCGGTCCAGTGCAGCCCATGGTCGTTCCGAGACCTCCATTGAGCTTCAGCACTGCAAGCTTGTTGAGAATGGAAGGATCCGCGCCATCCTTCAGCTGAGCGTATGGGGTGATTTGCTCGGGAGCAGGAGCTTGGACCTTGTTCCAGTCGCTGACAGAATGAACTGGCATGTCAGTATAGGCGCACATCACCTGGCCACAGTCTTCCTTGCGCTCACAGCTTCTCGCCCTTTGCCCGCTCGGTAAGATAGCGATTGAACAGTGTGAAGAAAGAGCTCATCTCCGCATCAAAAGCCTGTGATGATCGTGAGAGGATTTGTGTGAGTCAACACCTCCAATCAGACGAAAAGCACAGCCACGTCCTTCCGTACTGCTGCTTCGCTCCGATTCTCGAGAGGAGGCCAGCCCCACAGACTCAGAAGATTCACGTCTGGCCGATCATAGGCGCACGCCGTTATGACTGTCCGTGGCCGCCTATCCGCGCTGGAAGCCCGGCTCAAGGCCATCGGGATGCTCACCTTGCGTGCAACAGGGTCTTCAATGCCTGCAACGAGCTTGTTAACCTCATTGCGCATCGCCTTTGCAGCTACACCAGTGGTAGCCGATTTGAAGTCCTGTGAGGAGAGAAAGGTGTAGAGATGCCAGCAAGTCAGTGATTGCGTCGAATTCGCACGAAGATGTGAGATTCAACCACGTTGCTTGGCGTAAATGCACAGCACAGTGCGGCTCGCTGTGGCTTCCGCCTCACATCTCGCAGCGCTTCTCTCGACAGCGCAAGCCCGCTGCTGTCTACTTTGGGAAGTAAGTAGCGCTTTCGACTCACGATGTGAGAGGCTCCGCGAGTGCGGGCGGCCTTAATGGGCGCACCTGTCTGAGGAGTGGACAAGGTCGACATGATGAAAGAAGCACTGGACTAGATTAAGCGTGAGGCGTGCGGACGATGCGGAGTGAGGGGATGAGGCTGGGCGGATCTGATGTGGATTGAGAGCAAAGGGATTTCATTTGAGCCACGTTTTTAGAAGATGGCCAGGCCTACGTAGCAATCACCAACTCACGACCGACTTGAATGAATTTGGCCAGTGAGAGGCGGAGGTGAGTTGGCTCAAAGGGCACGGACGGCACTCGACTGCTGTGACTAGCACCAAATCTCTCCCCGTCTGCATGCATGCACGGGACCACGATGGCAGCGCTCGCCGCTCACAGCAGTCTGGTGGTATAGTTAGCAGCGCGTTCGATTTCAGCTACGGTGCGAGTCTCTCCATGGCTCCTTCCTGGCTGCGCGCTGTAGCAGCAGGCAGTCGTGAGTGCACAGATCCACGGCGCACGGTGTCATCTGCAGACCCGCGCCGAACACAATTTGCCCGGTGGTGTACGCTGGGCACAAGCTGCAGCGCTGCAGGCTAGCTATACGCGTAGCTGCTGCTGCTTCTCCCTAGCTCAGCGCGCGCGCGACCCCTTTTCTGATCATCAGGCCTGCGAAGACCGGACTTCCACCGACACAGAGCTCGCTAAGCAAGCATACCTTTGAAATTCAGTTCACTCGGTTCTGTGGAAGGGAAGCTGTCAGGCAAACTGCTGCGGGGTCTCGCTCGCAATTTAGAGCTCATTGGAAATGCGTGTCGCAAGCTCTGCATCGAGAGTCTATATTCGTGATTCAAGAGTATATTCAGATTGCCTGTTGTAGACCTGCAGCGATGTTCCGTTCACCAGGCATCGATTGCATGCAGAGACTTGCTGCTGCTTGTCCTTATTGAGGAGAGCGCACGGACTATGCATATCAATTCGTGATTTGATATACACATCTCACACCGCGCACCGCGCACCGCACACGTCCGTACGGTCAAAGTCTCGGCAAAGCCCCACGTGTGTCTGCGCCTGCGCTGCTGCTACAAAATAGACCGAGCAGCCGTCTCGCTGCAGCTGCAGCATGCTATGGCCGCACCTCATAGTCCGGTCAATTCACGATTCGCGTCTGCTGGCCAAATTCGCGCATCCGTGGTTGTGATTCGCAACTCCGATTGGCCCGAGTCAGGCGCTGTGTCCCACCCAAGCGGATGAAAGCACCACCTCTCCCTATACTGCCCCACCGGCAAACTGGTGCTAGCGGTCCAACAGGGTAAGACCACCAGCATAGAGTCGTGAGTGGGGAGAGGTGAAGGGAGCTGTATAATAGCCTTGCCCAGGCTCAAAATGTGATTCGTGTTTGTGATTCGATTCTCGATAGCTTGCTGGCAAGTCTTGATGAGGATTCGCGCGCGCTGCGTTCCAAGGTGCGGCGTCTACCAACCCAAGTCGCCGATTCTTCGGATCGAGCCGATCACGTGAAGCCTACTCGCCCGGAATTTTGAATGGATTCATTTTGGTTTCTGTTTAAAGGTTCACCATGTTCAAACTTCAAAGCGGATCACAACAATCCTGGTTGGATGAACTTTTTGCCTGCAAAGGCGAGATTTGTACGATCTGACGTTCCCAAGTCAAGAATGATGAACGTGGCCAGACGTGCAGCCTGCATCACTCCACACCACTTTTGGGGAGACGGCAAGCAAGACGTGTGCTTAAAGGAGAACGGTACCTTTGACAGGGATCGCTTGATCCCCACCTACCCAGACGTCTATTCCAGCAGACCCACCCAGCCTGCTGCTGCTCGCGTTGCTCGAAATGTACACGCGCCCATCACGGCGCCTTTTGCGACCTTGAGCAGCAACGTAGCTCGATTCGGCCAGCCCTTCGCTGATGAGCCATTGCGCCGCGCCCGCATTGAAGCTGTACAAAGAGGTGTGGAATAGGGGACATGAGTCAAGTATGAGCTGTTGCGATGGTGGTGTCTCACGGCTCACCTGCCAGTTGTTGGGTCTTCAAACCACTGTTCGCCAGGGTGCGATGCCCAGACGCGCATCTCAAAGCTCGGTTTGGTGCCGACTTCAGAAGACATAGCGGCTTCGTGGGGTGCCTCTTCGTACACCACCTTTCCAGCCTTGCCAGCTTTCGCATACACCGTGTCAGCCGCTTCTTTGTAAGGACCGATCACGCCGACATTTGCAATGGGCTTGCCGTTGAAGTTGATGTTTAGCACCGCCTTCGCATCTTTGAGTATCAAACCGCACCATCCTGGTCCGTTGTCTATCCATCGTGCAAGCAACACGTCCGAAGGATTGATATCAAGACCTGAACACTTGAACGCAAGCTCTTCACTACTCATTGGTCCTTCTCTGATGAAAGGCGGAGCGAGGAAGCTCAGTCTACCGCTCTCGGCACTGTAATCATCAGTGCCGGACGAGGACTTGACCGGGGATCGCTTGATCTTGACGAGCCCGACATCGCACTCTTGAATGACTTCGTCTGGCGCGCTTCCAGCGCGAGGCACACCTCCGCTGGCTAACCATGCGCGGCATGAACCCACTACGCACAACAGCCACGACGAGCGACTGACAGAATCAGAAGAGCCATGCAAAGGCGGCCAGGAGATATGCTGCTGGACTCACGGGTGGGATGCCCGGCGAAAGGAAGCTGGCGTTGAGGAGTGAATATCTTGAGCTTGTAGTCCGCACTCGCTGGGTCAGTAGGCGGCAAGATGAAAGTCTGCGCATGATCGCAGCGCATGGTCAGAGCTCTTGAACTGAAATTTGGGCAAGCATCACCAAAGAACTTACGGTCTCGCTCAAGTTGGTCCAGCGAGCATACTGTTGCATCGTTTCCACATCCAGCCCTGATCCATCCAGCACCACTGCTACCGGATTGCCGAGAGTGGCACGTGCAGTGAAGACGTCGACGACCATGTAAGGTCTCGAGCGAACATCTGTACTTTGACCCGACATCCTCTTCTTCATCTCCTTACAGGCGATTCCGGCTGCCTCGAAAGAAGTGTGCGAATAGCCCGGCTTCGAATATAGGTGCGCCCAAATCGAGAGAGAGAAGACGGATGGCGAGTGCTGTTTGAAGGAGTCAAGAGTGGAAAATATGATCGTCAAGCCTCACCGCATCAGCAAAGTTCGCACAGCCATCCGAGTCACGATGAAGACCAATTGAATCGTGAACTCATCAATCACAAATGTAAGAAAGTGAATAATGAGTAGTCAGTGTGAGTGTGAGTGAATGAGTCATCACCTCGCGCACTTCGCATCGAGTCATATGTGCTGCAGGTACAGCATGCATGCGCATGCCAAGCCAGCAAGTTGCCGCTGCTTGGGCATTTAAACGCGTGCATTCAAGATTTTCATTCACATTCACATTCAAATTCAGCACTCATCCACATTCGCAGGTGCGGTGTGACTCGTGACTTCTCCTCGATCATCTTTCAGCAGTCAAGCGCCATGACTCCTGCTGGCCAAATGATTGTGGCAGCAACCTTCTCATTCACGGATTGGTAGCATGGACAAACGCCCAAGAGACAGAAAGCCACCCGTGTGACGTAGGACCTAAGTTCATCCTCGTCGTGCCATCTCATCGAGTGACACGGCTGCGAAGTAGGTGCGCTAGCTGTGATAGCTTCGAAACCGCACGCAGCCCCAAGAAGATCTGCAGCGGCGAGAGAGATCCAGTGGTGTATGGCTTGCATCCACATGTCCGGAACGCCGAATTGACTCGGAATGTCAAGATGCTATAAGAGTCATGAATGCATTCCTGCCGCTGCCATCATCGACGCACTTCCCTTTACCAATTCGCGCCAAACGTGCGCCACAAAGTTCCATCACCTGAAGGCATTGTCACTCATTACGTTGGCAAAGCAGCCTGAAGCGGGACGATCATGACGACAAGCAGCGAGGGCGTGGCATCGCTGACCTCGCAGATGCCAACCACTCTACTCTCCACTATACAAGCCTTGAAGAAACGCGAGACGCTGGAAGCTGCTCTCAGCATTTACGTCCAAGAACTTGCAGCTCGCTCATACACTGATCTGGACGCCTGCATCAAGGAAGCTCACGCGCGCCTTGAGCAGGCAGTCAAACCCCTCTTGCTGGATGCAGGCGCTGGCAAGAAAGGCGCTGCGACCGTCTTGAAAGCCTGGTTGGACCACGGCCGGAGGATGGCAGAGCATGCGAGCCCGCAAGAAACGCATCAGGCCGCGGTCAGGTCGAGTGAAGCTAGCTCGAGCTCTACTGCGATCCCAAAAGCTGCGAAGGAGACGCATCCGCCTCGCGCCACGCCTGCAGAGAGAAGGAGAGCGCGGGAAGAGGCGAGGCTCGCAAAGAGGGGTCTCGATGCGAATTCGATCGACCAGCCTGACAGCCAAGTCGACAATGACAGCGATCCTGCCGAGTCTCTAGCGGCCAAGGTGGGCGCCATCTCTCTCGAAGGCGTAGCTGGCGGATCAGATGTGCCAGGAACAGATGGAGGTCCAGTCATCACGGCCACCAGTCAAGAGTCGCGATTTCACACGGAATCAATTGTGACGGCATCGAAAGAGGTGCGCATGTGTACGGCCTGACGCAAGGCAGCCAAAATTTATCACAGTCTCACGCTGCTTTCCATCCACAGATCGACTTGAAAGACGTCTGCCTGTACGTTGAGCAGCGTCAATTACTTGTCGATGCGCATCTGCGCATCAAAGCGGGGGTCCATTACGGTCTGATTGGTCTGAATGGACAAGGCAAAAGCAGTCAGTTCTTCCATCACAAAGAGAGCAAGCTGCGAGCATTTGCTGATCACAGTTGATGCATCATTCATCTCAAAAACATCGACAGCTCTGTTTAAAGCACTGGCGGACAATCTCATTCCTGGGCTGCCTTCGAATGTTCGGATCTTGCTAGTCTCACAACTCGAATCTGAGAATGTTGTGCTCAAGGCGCGACAAGCGAAGATCGAAGCTGAGGACTCAGCATTGCCATCAGTGCTAGAAGTCGTCCTTCGTAGCGATGCTCGCCGGCTTCAATTTGAAAGCGAATCGGAAGGTGGGTTCAGCCAGGCGTTGTGCTAGGGTGCGATGCGCTGTGCGCGCGAACTAGCCGCCTGCTTACGCTTCCTCGCGACCTTGCGATTGCAGACATCACGGCTGTGCTGGACAAGGGCGACTTGGATGGCATCAAGCGGGTACTCTCTGCCATCGAATTTAGCAGGGCCTGCGCTGCTCTCGAGGAAGCTCAAAGAATTGCGATCAAGCGCAGCGGGGCGAGAGGAGCAGACGCTAGAAAGGCTCTCATCGCAGCGGAGCGCCTTCACGAGGAGCGCAAGCTCGCGAACGAAAACCACGCAAACCTGTAGGTCAACTCATCCCACGCTTTACATTGCTTTCTGTGCTCATCGTTGCCTTCGACCACAGTGCAACATCAGCTCGTGATTGGCTGGCCGATGCAACAGTCCTCCAAGATGAGCTTCATCAAGCCTTGGAAGAGATGGAAGCATCTACAGCCCTATCTCGCGCCATGTCCATTTTGCACGGTCTTGGTTTCTCGGATAGTCAGATTTCCGGACCTTTCACTGCTCTGTCTGGAGGCTGGAGGTCCAGAGTCTCTTTGGCGTCAGCTTTGCTCAAGTCTACCGACGTGCTACTGTTAGATGAACCGGTAAACTTTTTGGATCTCCCGAGTCTTCTCTGGCTAGAAGGCTTCATCGCGCAATGCAGCTCGGCTGTCATTACTGTTGCTCACGATCGAGAGGTGAGCTGCGCAAAATTTTCTCTCTCTTCTACGCTGGCCTGTGCAGTTGAATTGATCCAGACGAACGTTGTATTCGGTAGTTCTTGGACGCTGTATCCGATGAGCTCATTGTGCTACGCAAGGAGAGACTGACATACTTCGATGGCAATCTCACTGAGTACGAAAGGTGAGGATCGCACCGGGCGCGACTTACTCCCATTCGGTCTGCTGATGAATGAGGACGCCGTCCGTGCAGAGAAACGAGAAGAGCTTTCAAGTTGGCTTCGAAGCAGCAAGACGTGCTTGACAAAAAGCGGCAAGTGGTGGAGAAGAGCATCTCGGAGGCAACCCGCATCGCCCGCAAGACAGGAGACGAGAAGAAGCAGAAGAGCGCAGCCATCAGGCAGCGCAAGCTTGATGAGAGGTGGGGCCTGGAAGTGAATGCGAAGGGACACCGATTCAAGGTACGGTTCACTTGTGCTCTCGCACATTCTATACGACAATGTAGGGCTGCGCTGACTTGCTCTTCCCACTCCCCTTCCCATCGCTACAGCTCAATAGAGATTTTGGAGGCTATCATCTTACTGCACGCGGCGGACCAGAAATAGACACGCCAGACAAGGAGGTCATGTGGAAGTTTGAGGATCCCGAGCCCCTCCGATTCCCTGGGTCGCTCGCTCATTTGGATCACGCGGATTGTAGGCATGCCAAAAGAAGCGTGCTGCGCGACGTCAATCTGACGATAGAGCCCGGCGATCGGGTGGCGTTGGTTGGACCTAACGGCCACGGCAAGGTGCGTAGGGAAGAGCTCCCGATGGGCGCCCGGAGGGAATGCGCGCTCAGTAAAGCCTATCGATGCTTCTCACCTCAGACGACCCTTGTGAACGTACTGCTGGGCCGTCTTGCCCCTGCCGCTGGCACATCTACGCATCATTCCAGGCTTCGATGGGGCCTGTACGCGCAACACACGGTCGCGTCTCTCTCCACCGAGAGCCGCACAGCCTTGCAGTACCTGCTCGACCTTGCAGCTTCTCGTGCGTCCTCGGTCTCTGGGTCTGGCGCTACTCTGAGCGAGGGTCAAGCAAGAGGTTTGTTGGGAAGGATGGGTCTGCCGGGTCGATTTGCAGATACGATGCCCGTCAAGGCCTTATCGGGAGGTCAAAAAGTCAGGTGCGGCCTATTAGCTACCATGTGGGATGCTCCTGACCTTGTGGTCTTGGACGAAGTGACGAGTGAGTCAAAGCTGTGCGGGGACCCTGTGGGAGAGATGGAGGTGCATGCAAAATCTGCAATCCTTGCTGACGGCCTTCTTGGACCCTTCTGTGCAGCTCATTTGGATAGCGATTCTATCGACGCACTGATCAAGGCCTTGAAGCGCTACACTGGTGCCATTCTGCTCGTCTCGCACGACCGCATGGCCGTCAAGCGGATAGTGGAAGGTGCACCATCTCCCATTTCCTCTACCTCTGCCGACGAAGATGAAGTTTCCAGCAGCGAAGATGAAGACGAAGAAGAGCATGGCGTGATTGGGCGAGGGTCCACTCATCGCGGACGAGTCTATCTCGTCGAGAATGGCTCTTGCGATCTTCTCGAAGGCGGTATGGATGAGTACGTACGCAGAGTGGAGAGACGAGCTCGATGAGCCTGGAGTGTCATGCGTGTCCCTTGTATCCGTCTAGTGCTTGTAGCATTTACCCCCACTACATATTTGCAATGCTCACGACTGCTGCTGAGGGCTTGCACGTGGTGCTGTGAAGTAATGCTAGTGATCGACGTTGGAAGCCAACGGCATGCATGGATTTGTCAATGCTACAGAAAAGGAGGAGAGCGTAGAGCGGGCTACGCGGACAGAGTGGCGGAAGGCTCGCTCATCTCTGCTCAGAACAAGTCCTCGAGCGTCAATTGCTTGGCAATGTCCGTGTTGGCAACCATTTCCTGAAACTCTGCAAAGTCAAGCTTGCCATCTCTGTGACGCGGAGAAAAGAGGAGGGGGGCATTAGCGTCGAAGAGTAGAGGAGGAGGGTTGGACCCACAGCCGACTCTCGACTTATTCGAGCGTCTTGAGCAGCAGGTGCTCACCCATCCTTGTCGGCTTCCATGATGGTCTTGTCTACAATTTGCTGCAATTGCTGATCTTTGAGATTATTGCCCACCATCATTTTGAGCACAAGAAACAACTCCCCGTTGGAAATCAGCCCATCCCGATCCATATCGTACACCTTGAACGCGACTGTCGAGTGGAGTGTGCAGACGGTAGAAACGCATGTCAAGGGTCTTGCAAACAACAGAGCAGCCGAGCAAAGAAGGCACGAGCAACACGCCCGATAGGCGTCTTTCCTACCCGACTCACACTTGAGCTTCTCCTCCCGACTACCTTGGTTACTAAATGCGCTCAGACCTGCGACGAACTCTTGGAAGTCCACTGTTCCTCCACCGCTGTGGTTCAAAAATCGCGAAATGTCAGTCAAGACTGCCTATACTGCTCTCTCTGACCAATAGTGATGACGTTGGGGGAGCATTGAGCTGCGCTAGCTGCATGCGAGATAGGATGTCGCTCCTGGACGCAGGCTCGTAAGGTCCAAGCCTTTGTGCCTGCATAGGAGAAACCTAGACAGCGCGGCTTTTTGTGGAGCACTCTCAATCTCGAAAGGGACTTGCGATGCGCTACCAGCCGGCCAGCATCTCCTCGGCGCAGCATGGCTTCAACTCCTCGCTCCGCCGCTGCAGCCCCATCATTGCGCACGCTTCTCTCACTCACTCTTCATCAAAGATGGCAATCATCCTCAGCGCCAAAGGATTGTTCGCAATAGCCGGAATTTGCAAAAACTCGTCCTTGTCGATGCTTCCACTGCCATCCCTATCCAACTTCATGAACCTCTTTTTCAACCTCTGAATTTCCGGTCCAGAGACTTTAAGAAGTCGGGGCAGAGTCAGGAGTAAAGATCGAGCGATCAAGGAAAGGTCAGGATGGAGGAGGCGCAGGGGAGGGCAAGGGATGCTCAGAGCGATGCACATGAACGTGGTTTCCGCTCCAAAAGACTCACAGTTCGAGTTCTGCTCGATATCAGCCAAGAGCTGAGATCCTTTTTGTCCCATCTTGAGTCGCTACGCTTCAAAATGTCGACGCCGCCGAGTGGAAGTGGAATGGCAAAAGATGGCAGCTACAAACTCTGAGGAGCAACCTCTCGAGCTGCGGGGCGTTCAGAACTTGCTTTGCAGATGATCGGCAGCAAAATGGGCGAGAGTGTCGAGAGTGTGAGGCGGTGCGAGAAGCAATGCGATCAGTGTGCTCGGGCAGATTGCGCTTTGGCCGCCGTATGAGTGAGGTTCGAGAGGCGACTGAGCAGCAGACCAGAGTGCTGACCGGACTCGGAAGAGCTTGTCTTGCCGAAAAGAGAGAGGAGCGGAGAGAGGATGCTGGTGCGGTGAAAGTCAGACCGATGTACTGCAGTGTTCAGTGCTCAGTGCTCTGGCTTCGACGAATGTCAAAGGAACGAAGATTGGGTGGTGGAGAAGGAGTGAACAGGTTACGCAGTCCGTGCAGCTGTACCCATCTTTGCTTGGGTGCTGGTTGGCGCCGTCGCGGCGCTCTGCTGATGCACGCCCGAGCCGCGGAGCCTTTGTTTTTGCTGTCTGTGCGCTGCACGCGCATAAGCGCAATCCGCGCTTGAACTCGTGACACTGATGCACGGCACACGACCTGGTCTGCAGCTGCTCCTTGGCCCAAGCATTCAGACCATCAGCAGCGCGTACTGGTGCACACTTGGCCAGTCAGCATCCTGAACATCATGAGATCCCTCAATCGAAATCACTCGCACACTGCAGGTCACATTTGCAAGCAGGTAGAATGGATTGAGGGCTCGACGAGACTCGCTTAATCTCCACGATAATTAGCCATGGGGTCCTCATAGTCGTTTCTGCTCTTCATCCTGTACGCCTCCAGCTGTTCCTCTGTCACATCGCCATTCGCATCCGCTCCCTTTTTCAAAGAAGCAAACCTGTCCGTCTTTCGATTGATCGCCTGGGCCTCTTTGAGCCAATCGGGCATGCCGTCATCGCTTGTCTCCTCACTTGCATGTTTGTCGGATTTGAGCGCAGCTTGTAGCTTGTCGGAGTCCAGACGAGAGGAGACATCTCCTTCGCCCATACCTTTGGTGCTTTGATAGCCCTTTGTATGCGACTTGTGCGCAGGAGATCGTGATCGCCTGTCCGACTTGGTCTTCGACGATCTGCGCCTTTTGGATCTCTTGCCTCCTCTGTCCGAGTCGCTCTCAGAGCCAGAGCTTGACCAGTCACTGCTATCCGAGCTGGAAAACGATCTGGTTCTTCTTCGCTTGCCGTCGGATACTTTCTGCTCGGCTGTGTTGTCCGCTGTTGCTGCATCTGAATTTCCGGCAGCTTTCGGCTTTAGCAGATTGTCGCTGGCCTGAGCTGCTTCTATGCCAGCCTTTCCTGTGCAGTACGAGTTACGTATGGTAGAGTGGCAGCAGTCGTATCCGTACTTGCCGCTGTCTTCGTCGAAGTAAGTACCCCATGGCTGGGTATGATTACCGTCATAGACTGCGAGAGGTTGGCAAGCAGTTGTCAGTCATGCGAATCGCCTGTTTCGCTCCTTGACTTCACTCTTTAAACGCCGCTAGTCAGCTTAAAACTCACGTTTTCGAGGCCCATCACCGGATCCGCTCGGTGCAGCAGTGATTCTATTTTGAGGCAAGACGGGTTGTCCAGTCGAGCTGTACTCCACGTAGTCCTCCGTCTGACCTCCCAGCAGCTCCTTCGGTAGACTAGCGAAATGCTCAGCACCGCCGTACCTCTCCAGAATGCTACCTTTGATAGTGTCTCTGAGTTTCTCTCTTTTCTGTTGGTACTCCTTGTGCTGCAGCTCGTTGACGGTCGGATTTGCTTGGAAATGCACGTCGTGACCTCTAGCCTCGGATTGCCAAGCGAACAATTGCAGCTCTTGCATCTTCGCAGCGTCGCCTTTACCTCGAGTAAAGTTGTCGCCAGCGAATTGCGCCTGAGGTCACGAGAAGTCAGATGGTCATCGATTCGATTAGCACTCGGAAGGCGAAGTTTCATTTCGCACCTGCTTGAGCGAACTCACATCTTCGGGTCTGATGCTCTGATCGGGAGCTTCGCGCATAGAACGAGTCTTTGGATCGTAGTAGGCAGAGTCGACGTCGAGATTGTAAAGATATTTTGCTCTGTCCTCTCGAATTCTCAAATTGCGCATAGATTGTCTCGTATCGGTGTTGACCTTTTGACCGGGCATGTCAGCCTTCTCTGCGTACTTGTCCTCGTCATCCTGATCCTCATCTTCCGAGCTGAAATCTCCATCCGCTTTGGGTCCCGACTTCTTCTCCTGCTTGGCGAGCTTTCTAGCTGCGCTCAAATCCGAGCTCTTTTGTTGGTCGATCTGCTCTTCTCGAAGTCTTCGCCTCTCCGCCTCGACAGCTTCGTACTCCTGCATGGCCATATTGTGCTCGGACGGGTCATAGCCATTCCACCGATCCCTCTTTGCATCGTAATCCTGCTCCTTCAAGTCGTTCAGGACTTCATCCTGAGCGATATTCTTGCCTGTCCACTTTGCCCCCTTCTTGCGTGGTCTTTCCAAGCAGTCCCTGGTCTTGTGAGACATGGCGCCACAGTTCTCGCAAGCTCCTTTGCGAAATTTGGTAGCTGCCGGTCCTGCCTTTGCACCTCGCTCATACCAATCTCCAATCTTGGCATACTCTTTTTCCGACTGAGGCTTTTTGTGGTGTTTCAAACCGCCGCGACCTCCGGATGCATCCAAATACCATGGCGCTTTGGCCTAATTGCGAGAGCGGGAAAGAGTCAGCACCGCCTCAGACTCGACATCGAGATCCTTGCATGCAGCTCACCATGTACGAGGGAACATGAGGATTGACGACTCGACCATCCTCGTCGATTTCGGGGGCTGCCGTTCCTGCTTTACGAGCAGCCTCGAGATCCTTCTGCCTTCTAAACTCCTCGCGCGACAGCTTGCCAGACATCGTGATGGTGTGACTGTCAGACAGCTGGTATGTGGGGAGGGCGTGCGTTTGAGTCGTGAACAACTGGCTGGAGCCGCGGCGAACAGACCTCTGAAAGGTGGACGGGCCCGGGTTGCGCGTAGATGAGAGGGTGGATTGTGTCGCTGGCGATGGTTCGAGTCAGAGCGTAATGCTGACCACTACGTGCAAGTGGACAATTCTGATGAGTCCGTACAGAGATGATGTGAGGACGTCCACCATTGAAGTCCGAAATCACAACCAGGGATCATGAGAGGAGCAGGTGGCAAGGCATACATATGTTCACAGGGACGAGGTGTATTGCAGACATTTGCTCGCAGGTGTCACGGCAAAAATTAGAGTATATATATCTGTGACATGTTTCTTACAGTATCTACGGCCATACCACGGGAAAAGCACAGGATCCCGTCCAATCTCCTAAGTCGAGTGCGGCGAGCGAAGCGAGCCGCACGGGACGTCTGGCGCACTTGTGCGCCCGGCCAGCAGCGAGCAAAGCAAGCACTTGTGCGCCCGGCCAGCAGCGAGCAAAGCAAGCTGCACGGGACGTCTGCTTGGTGCGGGGAGCAATGCAAGCTGCACAGGGTGGTGGGTGTGAGGACCGTAGGGTCTGCAGGCAAACTTGTGCGCCCAGTCTTGGCGCAAGCAAGCTGCACAAGACTCACAACTGTGTGTCTAAACCTGTGAAGGTACATCTTGAACACACATGCACATCATATACATCTCACATCCTCTCATAGATATCTACGGCCACACCACAGGAAAAGTGCCTGGTCCCGTCTGATCCCAGAAGCGGAAACCCTGTAGGGTCTAGTCAGTATTGCGGTGGGGGACCACGCGAGAATCCTAGATGCCGTAGGTTTTTGACATTTTTTATAGTCTGCGAGCGTTTCGAACCCAGTCCCCCGCGTGTTGAACGCTGCAACCCAGGCGACGAACCACTGGGTTACGTGTCAGGCGTGGGCTCCCACGCCAAACGTCGAACAGGTGGAGTCTTGAGTCCAAAGTCCAAATTTGAAGGCCGCGCCGGCGCCGGCGCCGCATTCGCCTCTTTGGCTGCGAAGAAGCAAGAAGGTCCAATGGCAGGAGGCACGCCAATCGTAAATCTCGAAGCACACCTCTCCTCTCACCGTCATTTGTGCTTCCTCTAGACACTCACCAACGCGCATCACCATCCTGCTGGAAAGGAGCAGCGATACCGGTCATCGCCCGCTCAGATATATCGAAACGCAGCCTGGCTTAAAGCAAAACCGCACCCACACCCACCGCTGCCCATCATGACGACTGTTCAGAAGATCAAAGAGATTGAGGATGAGATGGCCAAGTGAGTGGTGTGTTGATGTGCAGAATGCCAGGCAAAGTCACCTCATCGCTCCTTCATCCTGTCGACGATTCAGGACGCAAAAGAACAAGGCCACCTCTTACCATCTGGGTCAATTGCGCGCCAAGCTGGCCAAGCTGAAGAGGGAACTTATCACTCCTTCTGGAGGAGGTGGCGGCGCAGGATTGGGTTTCGATGTTGCCAGAACCGGGCTGGCCAGTGTCGGGTTTGTGGGATTCCCAAGTGTGGGGAAGAGTACGCTGTGAGTCGTTGAGCAAAGTTTCCTACAGCGACGATGCTGAAGCTTGACACCCGTGCTGCTCGCGCTGCTTGACCGGCAGCATGTCAGGCTTGACGGGCACCACATCCGAAGCGGCCGCATACGAGTTCACTACGCTGACTACGGTTCCTGGTACCATGAATGTACATGGAGCGAAGATTCAAATCTTGGACTTGCCGGGTATCATCGAGGGTGCCAAGGATGGCAAAGGCAGAGGCAGACAAGTCATTGCAGTCGCTCGGACATGCAACCTCATCTTCATCGTTCTCGACGTCTGCAAGCCTCTGGTGAGCATCATTGCTCTGTCACAGCTGTCAAACCTCCCCTCGCAAACGCTCACATCTCGACCTTTTCCCTCGACAACTCTCGTAGAAAGACAAGTCGATCTTGGAGAACGAGCTGGAGGGTTTCGGCATTCGATTGAACAAGAAGCCGCCCAATATTGTGGTCAAGAAGAAGGACAAGGGTGGAATCAGCGTGACGAACACAGTGCCACTTACTCAGATCGATAGCGACACCATTCGAGCTGTGCTCAGCGAGTACCGCATCAGCAACGCGGATGTAGCTTTTAGGGAGGATGCAAATGTGGAGCAATTCATTGAGTGAGTCCCGCGTGATGACGCCACCGAAGTCCAGAGGATTTGCTCATTCTTTGAACGCCTCGTCCCACGTCACAGTGTCTTGGAAGGCAATCGAATCTACATTGTGAGTCCTGGGCTGATGCTGTGCTTCTTTAGCGTCACGCAAGCTGACCCGCTCGACTTGTCGCAACGCGCAGCCTTGCATCTACGTCCTGAACAAGATTGATCAAATCACAATCGAGGAGCTAGACCTCTTGTATCGCATTCCCAATTCCGTTCCCATCTCTTCGCGCATGTGGCTAAACGTGGACGACGAGCTGGTGGAGCGAATGTGGATGGAGCTAAAGTTGGTCAGAGTGTACACCAAGCCGAGAAAACAAGCGCCAGATTACTCTCAGCCAGTCGTGCTGCGTCAGGGCAAATGCACAATCGAAGACTTTGCCAATGCCATCCACAAAGAGTGAGTTCATCGACGTATCGCATACACAAGTGTCGGGAATCGTTGCGGGCTTGGCTCACGCTAACTTGCCTGCCGCCACACACAGCATCGTCTCACAATTCCGCATCGCGATGGTCTATGGCTCTAGCGCCAAGCATCCTCGAGGTCAGAGGGTGGGTCTCGAGCACGTGCTGCAGGATGAAGGTGAGTGCAGCGCTCTGCGCCCGACGTGTGTGCACGAGCGAGCTGACACACGCTTCGTCATGCGCTCGCACCGTGATCGTGCCGCGTGCTTCAGACGTCGTCACCTTGTTCAAGCGCTGAACATGGTCCAAAGACTCTCTTGTACCATCCTTTGAGATCGAATGCGTCATCTTTGGTGTTGCCCCAATGTACGCTCGTTCGACTCCTCGAACCCGTGCCTTCACCATCTCGAGATTGTCACGAGAGCTGGCAAGGGTGCATCAAGCTGAACTTTGACCGCTCGCAGCGCGAGTCCACGACTCATCTGACGCCGTCCGATCGCTCTAGGTGCGACCAGTGTCGCCGATCAATGTTTCAATTTGCATCCCACCGCCGAACAGAGCTCCAGTCCATGCGATGCTCATCAACAAGACTCGATCGTCAATTCTAAATGCTGTTGTGCTATTGCATCTCGTCACCAGATGAGTGTCAAAGTCGAAGTGTCTGCATCGAGCATACATCAGAAGATGCAGTCGACTCGGTCTCGAGTCGTGCAAAGCGAACGAACGCCGCCCCTTGGCCGCCGACCATGAGCCTGGGCAGATCAGCGTTGGGAGCCAGTCAAGATGGGGTTCGTCTTTTCGTGAATTTGCGGCTGACCCTCGGGCGACCCGGGAATGTTCTTTGACAATTTCTGCGAGTGGAAGAGTCTTGAGGATCAGGATGAAGTCCAGCAGTGTGCGTGATGCGTCATAGCAGCGACTGAGCCCGTAAAGCTCGTTTCGGGCGCTCGTAGCAGGTCTTGATGAGGGCGCGCGCTCCTCAAGCTCGCCTGACTGAACCACTCACCAGCTTGTCGAAAGCACATTTATTCAATGGTCGTTCTGCTTTGCGGCATCTGTACAGTTCCTGCAGGTCCCGAAACGCCGGACGAGCATTCGTGAGGGTGATTTAGTGAGCGCCTGGAGGAGATCTCGAAAGACGATGTGGCTGCGCAACTGCACTCACATGGTTCTCGTTCTCCAGACATTGCCAATGAGCATCCCACTCCTTGCCGCACGCCTGTCCCATCTTGGCCAACCTGTCAAGCGCAGCAGCACGTCACATGCGATCAGCTCCTCGTAAAAGTTTACAGGATAGCATTTGCCAAAGGCTGCGGCTCGAGAGTGAGAGAGCACGCTCCACTTCGCGTATACGGCTCGCAATTGCTGAGCGGGACCCTTTGCGAGCCCGTGAAGCAGACGTCTCCATGGCCGTTGGGCGTCGGTGTCAAGCCACCCCAGACTACTTGATGCCCATGCCACACCTCCACCGTGCGGCTACTGCCGCATGCCCTTCCCTTGCAGACCTTTTCGCAGCACTCACAAGTCCTGGGTGCACCTAGTGACTCTCCTGCCCTCCTTCAAACAATGTTTGGGATCCCTATCCTCATTCTTGCAGAGGATGAAATCCTCGTTCACATTCTTGCAATGTTGACCGAGGAAGAAGGCGATGCTCTTCAGAGGTGCTGAAGTCGTTCCCACCTCTTCCACCTTTGGTTCGGAAGATGGTGCCGGCGCTGGTTCCCTATAGGGAGTGGAAAGGAAGATGGCCTCTCTGTGCGTGGCCATTGCGAAGCAGCGTCTCGATGGGATCTGCAAGCGATTAGGAGGACGAGCTACTGGTTGCTGAATGGACCAATGCCTCTGTGCGCTTCAAGAGGAGGTCGGCTCTAGGCTGTTGAGTGTGTGAATGAGCCCTACCGGTACCTACGTCAGGAAGATCTAGCCGTGCCGGTGACAGTGGAGTGGAGTAATGCCTTCTCTGTGGTAGGATGAGCGGCGCGCCCTGTGCGTACTCACATCTCATGACTGTGTGCGCGTGTGCGTGTGCGTGTGCGTGTGCGTGCAGTCACGGGTCACGAGTACGGATCTACGTGGTACAGTCACAGTATAGTCAATGAGCCAGGGCTTGAGTCACTCAGACTCTGGCGCGTGCACCACAAAGCCACGTGGTGCCATGCATGAGCCCGAGGTGCTCGTTTGGAGTTCCAATCAAGTCACGCGGGGCTTTTGGGCTCCGCGCCAAGAAAGAGCGGGGGGGCCGTGATGAGGCAAGGTGTGGAAAAAAAAAGTTAGAACCGCTGGGATGCCTAGCTGATGCTGCATCCCTGCTTGGGGGCCCTGCTGCTGTACCGCGCGGTGCTGTCGTGCGACTGGTGTGCACTTTGGACTCGAGCGGGGCCAGACCGAGCCATGCTGCAAAGGAGGCCGATTTGCTTTGCTTCTAAATGAGTCCCGCGAGTGCAGACATCGCATCGATTCCCCTCCTTCGCCCTTTGCCCCCTTCTTCCACATCGGCGAGTGAAGCATCAAATCAGCTGCAACAAGGATCAATCAAGCGAAGGGAAACGAAGCGGAAGCGACAATGGTGCGAAGACGCAGCTGTTTTGTGTGCGGCCAGCTGGGCCACTTGGCCGAGGCTTGTGGCTCCACCGAGAGACTTTGCGTGAGTTCATTTGGGGCTTCATACGTCGCAGGGCCGGCTCGATGAAGATGGCAGTAAACGGACGCTTGCCAGCCAGGCCGCCTGCAAGCTTGACAGAGATGTGATGGGGCACTTGCAGAGCAGAGCTGCCATTGCGAGGGACGCCAAAGAGGAGAGATCCCACCGCGTACTGCGAGAACGCGCAGCGAGCAACCCACGCTCACACTCGACCCACTTGCTCACCCACACTCTCTGCTGCAGTTCAACTGCTCCAAGCCCGGCCACGAGTCTTCGGCCTGCCCCGAGGAGCGTACCGTGGCCACGAAGCAGTGCTACGCCTGTGGCGAGTCGGGCCACATCAAGTCTGCCTGCCCCAACCCGACGAGCGCATCCGCGGCCGTCGCGACCGCGACGGGAGCTGCGCCTGGAGTGGTCAAGTCCGAGTCTCTCGCCAAACGTGTGGGCGGAGTCAACGGTCAGAACAAGAAGGCTGCGGCAGCCTGCTACACTTGCGGTGGACCTCACTTGGCTCGCCAATGCCCTCAAGGTTTCTCTGCCAAACCAGCTGCTGCCAATGCTGATCGTCCTTGCTACAATTGTGGCGTGGCCGGTCACAGAGCTAAAGATTGCACGTCGGAAGCTACGGAGGCTGGCGCGGCTGCTGCTAGCAAGGCTCCTCCTCGTAGACAGCGTGGAGCACCGGGCACTTGCTATGGATGCGGTCAACCTGGTCACGTCAGGCGGTGAGCGTCCTTCAATCTCTAACAGCGCGTCTCTGACGAGCGACGAGCTGACATCGCTTTGTTGCATTCTGACTCTTAGCGAGTGCCCAGCACACGCTGATCCTCCCGCCGCTCCTACTAGCGCGGCCGTGATGGCTATCTAAGTGCGGATGCATGTTACAAGCGCTGCCGAGGTTCGAAGGGATCTTCCAAGTCAATCACGAAAATAGGGAGGAGGACAGCTGCATGATTCAGGGCTCAGATCGTGGTGCATGCCCACGTCTCTAAATTTTGGAAGGAGGCGGCTTCTTGGTGCAATATGATTGGTGTACGTACGCTCAGACGAGAATGCTGGAGTTGGATGACTTGTGCCACATTTGAGGTTCACGTGCGAGATCGCCTCCGTTTCGAGCTTTCGGCAAGTAGAATCCGGTTTCCGTGCGCTCAATTCCCACGTCCAAGGCTCCTCTGAGACGGCTTTAGCACTCTGCAAGCTCCGAATGACGCTGAACCGTGATCATCTCGGTAGTAAAATGTCTGGATGACTCGCTTTCGCTTCGTAAAGGCGATGCAGAACACGGCAGGCGCAGCGTGAACGAGATGATATTGCATCAGGAATCGGCATGTGCACCACAACTACATGTAGGTCTGCGGCTAGTATTCCGCCGTCGTGGAAAGTTCGGGCTCTCGGAGAACAACAGCAAGTCTTGAAGACATCGGCCTGCCATGCAAGCATACTCACTTGCCACCTTGCACAGCCTTCTTGGCCTTCTTTGCTAGCCTCTTGGCCCGTTTGCTCAAAGGATTGAAAACGTCATCAGCAGCGGTGGTAATCGGTGCAGCTCGCTTTTTGCTCTGTTCTCCAAGCGCCGCCTTTGGCACGTTTTTTCCGACCGCCTTGCTCACAGCGCCCTTGGAAGTTTGGGCAGCGCGGGAGTCCACAACGCGAGCCGTCTTGGCGTTCGGCTTACTCTGGACAACTGTGCTTCGCTTCTTGAGGATGGACCGGGGAGCCTCTTTGGCGTGCGTAAATTGCTTCACCTCATCAGATCGCGCATCCGCGTCATCCTCATCAATGTCCGCTTCCTCGTCTTGGTCCTCTGCTTCCTCATCGTCCTCGTCGTCCTCATCGTCCTCGTCGTCCTCATCGTCCTCGTCGTCCCACTCTTCTCCCTCCGCACTATCCTCCTCGTCCTCTCCCGCGTCACTCTCTTCTTCGTCCTCCTCAAGCGGTGCAGCAGCGAGAGCGACCAGTCCATCAAGCATAGAGTCGCTCGCGTCGTCCTTCAACCGAAGCTCTCGCGCCCTGCCATTGAGCCCCTTCCTCCACTCCTTCAAACGCAAGGCAGTCTCTCCCAACAGCTCGACCAGCTTGATGCTTCCGGCTTCGATGGCCTTAGAAAGCACTGGGTCGGAGGTGATGGAGCGTGGAGGCGTCCTGTAGTAGGCTATAGAGCCGTCGGACCAATCTCTCAATACGTTGCGAGCTGCAGCGACCGTATCGGGTACGCTTCCCTATGGGCCAAGAGAAAATCAAGCGCATTGAGACGCGTCAGACGTGTGTCAGGCTTCCAAGTCGGTCGGAGCAGCCCCGATACAGCCGAAAGATCGACTCACCTTCTTGTTACGGCCTTGAGACTTTGCAACTTCAAGCAGAAACTCATCGGCATCCCTTTGAGCCTTTTCGCTCAGCGCCTTGCTGCCACCAGGTGTATTCGTAGAGCCAGACATGAATGATCCAAATGCAGGAATGTTATACGCGAGCATGAGGTCCGTCAAGGAGTGGGTGTGCCGAAGGAGTGCATAGACTGCGGACGCGGCGGCCAGAATTTGTGCGTGTCAGCGTGCAGGTGAGGACATCCGCATCCGAAGCTCCGGTTCATACTTACTCAAAGGCAAAGGTTCCTTAATCTTCTGTAATTGACCTACATTCCTGAGCAATATCCTTCTCGCAGCCTTCTCATCTCTGATTCTATCCAATTCCGTTTCCTCGTCCGCCTCCATGACCTGGCTCTCCTCCCTTTCCTCCTCCGCCTCCAGAGCTTCCTCTTCCGCATTTGAAAGGTTGGCCAGTTTGGAATTGGCACTGACGATGGCTGGAGTGTCGTACAAGGCAAAGCTCTGCTTTGTTGAAGACGGCAGTGCAAGATCCAGGGCTACGGCGAGGTGCTGCGCCAGAGAGCTTCGGCCAGACTGCGGAAGGTCGCCGAATGGCAAGGATGGTCGTCAGCATCATCTGCGAGCCTTGTCATGGAATGGCGGCGCAGTGCTCACATTTTCCAGACCAGCAACGACAACTGCGTCTCTAAGCTCGCCCTCATCTTCTGTGCTTTCTGTCGCAACTCGATCCAAAAGAGAAGCAATGTGTTCCGCTAGGGGTGCAATACCTGCCGGAGACTGCTTGGCTGGCGATGCGGTCGCAAAGACGGCGTAATTAGTCTGATGAGAGAGCGCGACTTGCCAGGCAGCGGCATTCTCGATCGGGACCAGGTCTGGTTAGAGGGAATACAGTGAGCCATCGTTCCGCCTTCGGCGCACAATCATGAATCTGGCTCCACTGACCTGTCTTGGTCAGGACGAGCACTTTGGGAACGTCTTCGAAAGCTTCCAAGGTGGGCACACGCCAAGCTGCGGGCTCTCGAGCGTCCAAAGTAATGAGGAGCGCGCGCACTCTGGGCGAAGCATCCTGGATTGTAGCTTGCTTCAGGTCCGAGAGCGTACCTCTGAACAGCAGAGGGGTGGCCACCTCCTGCTCGGCTGGCGAGTCACCGCTGACACCCGTCTCGGCAATAGCCTTTGCTCTCAAAATGGATTCCGCTAGCTCTGCATCTGCCAAGGATTGCGCGCCGCCGACTTTGATACGAGTAACGCCCGCTTCAGCTTCGGCCTCATCGTCGGACAATTCTTGCTCTGCCTTTCTCTTCTCTCCCCGCCTCAATGCTCGTCTGGCTTCCACAGCATCAGCTTGCTCTTGACGTTCCTAATGCAAAAGTGCCGAGTAAGTACGCAGCTTTGCATACCGCGATGAAGCGCCGAGGCCTCGCGCACTCACCCTATCCTTCCTATCTTCCAGCTCTTTCAATAGTTGCTCCTTGTAGGGATAACTGTTGGGAATGCCAGGGTCCGCCTTTTTCTTGCTTCTCCACGTGGGATCCTTCTTGGCTGCTCTGCGCGCCTTGCGATGATGTTCGCTCACCTTCTTCTTAATTTTCTCCCTTTGCTTGGTGCTCACACGTTTGGACAGACGCTTCTTCACGCGCACCATGCTGCTCTACGTCTGAATGGTATATGCCGGTTGAGGGAACCAAAGGTCTGCGAGGCAAAGCGATGTTTGAACAATCGAGTCGAAGATGAGCTATGCTCGGCTACCCCTTCGGCAATGTATGGTGCGGCAGCAAGACGGATAAGCAGATGGTAATAAAGCCTGTGGATGTAGATGGTCAAGCACTGGATGCCCTTAGAGGTCAAGATCGTCCATCCAACAAGCCATTCACGATTGTTGCGGTCACGAGTGCTTCATCGATGCATCGCATGCATATGCCCCTCCCGAACATTTTTTTGTGTCCGTGGTCCGTGGAGAAGGTTAGAAGAAAAAAAAATCCAGGGTCACGTGAAAGATCTTTCCGGCTCAGCGCGTAGCACGCGCTCGCTCCCACGCATCCATGCACGGATCCACGTCAAAGCGCGTCGATCACGGAGGCGGCTGGCTCATCTCGACGCAGGCCGACATCAATTGAGCTGTGCACGACCACTTCAGTGCCGAGGAATTACAAGACAGATATCATTCATTGCAGACATCATCCATTCGTCTTTCACAAGTCAAAAGTGAGTGTGACAATCACTGCTAAACCATGCAGCACATCTCGTCTGGTGCTTCTGTTATGTGCGCACGCACGTGCAGCATGCGCCCATGTAAACACTACCACGTTTGTTTGCATGCATCCCTTCTGCTTCACGAAATTCATACTTTTCGCTGCCTTCGTGGTAGTTTCCTCCTCTCCCTTACTCACCACGGCGCCGCCGCCGCCGCATGCATCCCCGAGCGAAGAACGTGGCGTGTGGACTCTCATTGTATGCTAATTGACATTTCGGATTGGTGATACACGGATGTGGCCTCGAGTGGATAGCTACAATGACGCTGAAAGCAAGCTGGGGAATGAAAGTCTCCTGATGTGTGTTGAAAGTGAAGGACCACGTTACGTGAACTCGGCTGCTGATCGATATGTAGGCCTCTGGTTGATTTGTAAACTTGGTGGAATGCGCGTCACACTGAGCCGACCGGTAGAAAGTCGTGGAAAAGCGCCGACACAATGGGGGAAAAGACTTCTCTTGCTCGTACCGCCGATCGAGGGCTGATCTGACAAAGGGCAGCAGCGTTCGCGTGTTTTTCTTGCTGCAGGCTTGAGGTGCGAGTCTAACGCAAGTTTGTCAGTCTTGTGCCCAAAGAGTGCGAAGAAAAAAGATTTGGCAGTCGATGACAGCGGACTTTGCAATGAGCAGAGCATCACCGTGCGACAGATGCTTCACTTCGGTAGATTGATCCATAGCCCACCCAGCATTGCGAATGGGCGACGACTCGGAGGCTCCTCGCTCAGAAGGTGCTTTGGGCCTGACGTAGGCGGTCAAGCGGCTGTGAGAGGCAGGTATAATGTAGTATTCGGTCAGAGCTCAATCACGGATGGGCTTGCCGCCGCGTCACACGTTCTGCACATGAGGAGCTACTCACTTCCATGTGCTCTTCGTGCAGATAGGTATCGAAGACGGAAGCAACGTCCTTGAAACACTGATCTTCAACGTCCTGAAGGGGCAGCTCTGGCACCCTTCCAGAATCCAAATGATGGCTGTCAAAGTGTCGTTCCAAGGAACCGCGCAACAGGCTCTGAGCCTTGGCAACTATCCGCCGCACATCATCAATGGCGGACATCCATGCTGGTGGCAATTTGCACTCTGAGCGTAGCTTCTGCGTGATCTACAATGGCATTGCAATAAGAGACCATTATTTGACACTACCTGCAGTCAACTCACTTCTTCCCACATACTACGTAACGTCCAGAAGTCCGACTTTGCCCGGTTGTCAGAGAGGGTTCTCAGCAGTTCTGCTCGGATTTGGGAGCCACCCCTGCAACTGATCTGCGCAGTCGAAGAGCAGTCAAGGAGTCAATTTGAATCAAGACAAGGCGCGGCTTGAACGTAGCCCCACCGCCTCACCGTGTACAAGTAGAGATAGATCATCGATTCCAAGTCATCGATGTATCTATGCGACTTGATGAATGCTTTCTTTCGATTGATAGCCATGTTCTGCGAGGCTTCCTCGATGTCCCTTCTTAGACGGACGATCTCGTTCTTTTTGCTTGACTCGAGCGACTCGAGGGTTTTCAAGTCTGCTGTATACTTGTGACGCGCTTTTTCCTCGAGCAGGAACAATGCAGCGTGACGTCCGCAATTTGAGGTGGAATGAGCAAGGAAAAGCTGGTTGGCTGAGCGCGTATCGTCCGCTGCCCAGCCTAAACAGTCCGTCTCCTCGCAGGTTGGCATCAGCTCTTCGCGCGCAACACCCACACGCACATTCCCATGATCCGCAAGCACAAGGCGAGCACGTTGCGAGCCTTGGCGGCGGGTCATGAGAAGATTACCAGGGTTCAGGTCCCGATAATGCAGACCAAGTTCAGCATACGCTGCAAGCTGTCGAGCAAATTGACCAAAAATTTGGGCCAGGTCTGCTTCAGCATCGTTATAGCCGAAGGCGACACCTTGATGTTGGGCGAAAGCAAGAATGTCTAACTTCAGAGCCGGGCTCCCAGAAGCAGGCCAGGTCTCCCAATCCATAGGCAGCAAGGCGATGGGAGTTGGTGCTTCAATGTCCTGCCAGGACGCATGATTCTTCGATCTCAGGAGCTGTTCGCCCCTTTGGATCCGGAGCAGCATGTTCAATTCGTGTCCAATGAGGCGCGGTGGGCGCCACGAGGCTTTGACGAAGAGCAATTTGCCCTCGAAAAAGAGTGCCCGATGCTCGGCTTCCGTCAATTGCGCATTTTCTAGGTCCACCGACGTCGGACAATGTAGAAAGACAGCCGTTCTAGATCCCACGAGCGAAGGTCTGACCATCGCCCTGTCGTAGATGTTCATCTTGTTGCCTGACGCCGAAAACAGCTGGAAAGGGCGTGATCCTTGGATTGGCCGAAGGAAGCGACTATCGTGATCCGGCCTCCACCTCTGAAGCAATTGATCGTCTTTAATGCAGAAGAGCAAGACCATGCAAAAGTCGAGCAAGTCCTCTTCTTCATGAATGCGAAGGGCACGTGTGACAGTGTATGCATTCGCGGTGAAGCACCACAATCTGACGACGTCCTTGCACCATGTCACGATAAACACCGCTTTGCTGATAGGATGGTCGCAAAGAAGCATGCGCTGGAAAGGGCGGGGCCAGCTATCAGAAATCAGGCTCAGGCCAAGCATCGAAATATGACATACCGCATAGGTCAGGACTTGCGCCATCAAATCGCGAGAGCCATCCGACGTCGCTGTGAGCTTGAGCTCTATGACCGTCGAGATCTCGCTCCACTGCTTACGGGCGGGATGCGCTGTGACACCGCTGCGGCACTCCGAGTGCTTCAGATCACATGGCCGAACATCACCCAGGGTAATGTCGGGTCTGATAGCATTCTCGGGCTTGTCGCCAAGGACGACAACCTCTGAGCTCAGACGCTAGGAGGTCAGCGGAGAGGGGCAGAATTACAGACGACAGCGGTCAGAATCCCGATTGGCGCAAATAGCCGTGACCTAACTGCGCCATCGTAGCTGCAAGCGGCGCAGACTCGACCAGCGTAACTCACCACCGATGTGCTGCTCTGAGCGACTGCATACCGTCGCGCTTGTGCAGAAATTTGCGAGTGTGACCTTGAAGCATCAAAGATGTGCCCTAGGCGGTTCACAAAACGCTCGATCGGGCGCTCCATCTGTGACTCCAATGTAGTGGCTGTGATCGATTGCCTCAATTCGGAGAGCGCGTTGCGAAAAGCAGGATTCTTGAGGAGTTTTGTCACCCCTGCAGGAGCATTGAGCTCCTTAAGCTTGAGGTACTTCCCATAATGCTTGTGCTGCATGTCTCGAACGAGTTGATCTGCAATGACTGCGGTCGAAGAATCTTGACTAGACTCGTATGCAGCGAGACGGTTTCTCATCGGCGTTTGAAGTTGATCGAGCCTGCCGTGACGAGCCACGCGCCTGGGTGTCGAAGACGCGCCGGTCTGGGAAGCTGCAGAGTCTGAGCCATCCACACTATTATAGGCAGCATGGGATCCGAGCGACCTGCACACCCACTCCCATATGCCAGGGGCTTCGGGGTTGCTCTTCAGTCGCTCTGCGCATACCTCAGCATCATAGCCTGCTGTCGCTCTGGTGACTTCAACAAGGCACAGGTCGAACAGGATGCTTTCGTTGTGAGCGCCAGTTGGAGGACGCGACCCTCCGGTGGCATCGTCGAGGGTCAGGCGATCCAGTCCTAAGACCTCTCGATCCGCCATTACGTCGGGGCAGCAGTGCAGTACGATTCTCGCAGAGATAGGAGAGACTTGATGTGCGCACGTTGTTCGGCAAGATGGAACACCTGTCGTCGCGGAATTCCTGGAGAGGAGGCTTTAGGGCGTTTGGCTAGCTTGGATCTGCTCATAAAGCGGCTGCAGCAAGGTCGGAGGCCATGGACAGGCAGCTTGAATTTCAGAAGATTGAGGAAGTCAGAGTGATCATGGTGAAGTGAGTCAATGAGTGAGTGATCATGGTGAAATGAGTCCAGGCGGGGGTGGGAGTCAGAAGTGATCATGGTGAACTGAGTCAATGAGTCAGTCCACTTGAGATTGTGATTCGTTTGTTTATTCCTAGTTGTGATTGTAACTTTTTGTTTCAAGGTGGTCGTTACTACTATTCGCGCTGAGCATCAGGCGCCACGCGCATGACTCAAGACTCACGGACTCATCAACACTCACACTGTTGTGACTCTTGACTCAAACTCAAGACTTCAAGACTTTGGACTGACGCGTCTGACTTTGTGTCACGTGAGCTTTCAATGATCAAAGTGATGCAGCGAGAACCTGTGAGCTGACGTTCGCGGAGCCTCGGTGATCCGCCATGACCACCAAGATTTTTGATTCGATTCGTGTGATTGTTCTGGTCGCTACCTATCGTGAACATCGCCAACGCTGATCGCATGCAAATTGCAGAGAGGGACGGTGGCGGCAGCAAGCTGAGTCACGATTCACGCGATTGTGCGGACGAGAAATGAAGGCGGCGGTGCGTGGCGAATCATACATTATTATTAAGGTTAGGAGGAGTTACGAGTCACAACAACAGTGTGATGAGTCAAGAACTTATAGCTGAACTGAGTCACGAATCGCCAGCAGCGGCATGCAGACCCCACATCAGTGTGAGTCAAGGAGTCTTGAGTGTCTAATTGAGTCGGCGGTCTGTATAAGATAGAGGGGTGCTTGCATGTACGCCGTCCATGCCTTGAGCGTGGCGTGGCGTGCGCGCGGTTGTCCTGCTTCATATATATATATATAGGCAATACAGTGCCTGACGCTGCTGTGGCGCGCGATCGAGAGGACAGCCAGGTGAAGTAAGATGAACATGGCGCAAGAGCTATATATAGCGGGCGTTGCTTGGAGCCAGCATATGAGGTGGCCATTGAGTGAGTGTACCGCGCTACTACTGTGGCGATGTACCCCGATAGGTACCCAGCATTGTGATTCACATTCGTGATTCGTGATTGCTACTAAGCAGCTCGACCAGACGCAGCACAGCAGCTTTGAGCAGCAGCAGCAGCAGCATCAACAGCAGGCACGCGCAACTCAACCGAGCTCAGCCAGCAGCAGCGCGCGGCTGCTGCTGCTGGATGCACCTCACCCGCGCGCGCGGGGGTCAAATATACTTGCGACGTACGATACGATCGAGTGACGGGGAGATGCATGTGTGCGCAGGGACGCAACTTAATGGCCGTGGCGTGTGCCGGTGCCCTGGCTGCCTGCGCATGCCCGGCTCCAAACAGCCACGCTGCACGCTATCCCTGCTTCGTCGCTCACGTCGACTACAGCAACGTGAATCGTGAATGACGACGTCAGACTCGTGACTCACGACTGGACCATCTGCTAAGAGAAAACAACGCGACGTTGTTCACAACTCGTGACTACCAAATCACACTCTATTTAGGTCGATCGCAAGCGCTTCAGCACCACCCGACGACAGTCGTGCCCTTGATTCGCAGATTTTGAAAGCTCTGGCCACGTCTACACTTGCAGCCAGGAAAGCACGCCAGAGCACGGGCAGCAGCAGCAGCAGCAGCAGCAGCAGCAGCACTGGAATCAACGGCCTGCATTTTCATCTTGCGCCTTTTTTCACGTGGCCCATTGTCCCAATCCTTCCTGACTATTCGGTTGCTTTCACCCCAGACCCTGCGATTTCCCCAAGCTATTTGCGATCATTCAACGAGCATCGTCAGCGCGGCACTCGCCTCTCTGAAGTAGGCTTCGGGCGCAACTCTGCACTCAACGTAGCCCCATCCTGCTAGCTCTCTTCTCGCTTTTCGTATTCGAGCAACATGCCTCGTGAGTTGCAGTGTCTAATCAGGATCTGCTTCACGAGCACAAGAGCACAGAACACCTGGAAGTGCTGACTCCTCTTCGTTTCTGCTCGGTCTCCATCTCGCTCAACTCGCGCAGCTCGCAATGCCGACGATGTGTGAGTTTGGTACACCGTCATCGGCCTTCGATTTTGTTGCTCACAATTACCGCACGCTCATCGCAGCTCTGCGGGCGATGCCTCATCCCAAGCCACGACCGTAGCCACTGGTCGCGACACACATGGGGTGCGTACAGCGAAGCACTATGATCTCGGCCGCATTCGGCCCTCTAGCGCATGCTCGAATCATCCTCGGAGACTGACAATCGGTCTCTCCCATTGATTCGTGCAGGTTTTGAATTGTCATCCTTCCACCTCCTCAAAGGCTCAAACTCCCAATCCTTTCACGATTGGCATCGCAGAGGATAGAAATAAGAGGTGGAGGAGAACTATGGAGGACAGTCACGCCTTCGTTTACGGCTTTGGTGGGGTGCAGGGTCAGGGCTTTTTTGGTATTTTCGATGGGCATGCTGGCAAGCACGCTGCTGATTGGTGTGGAAAGCACTTCCACGAAGTGAGTGTCAAGAGAGACACGAAATGAGATGGAGCGATGGCACTCAGACGCAAAATCCTTGTCGCTTATTGTCAAAATTATTTGCCCCCTCATTCCCACAAGACTCTTTTGGATACGCTGGTTGACTACTCCGATCGGCCAGTGCCAGATCTTTTCAACTACACCTTCCACAGCGTGGACCAAAAGCTCGGAGAGCTCGCCCAATCCGAGGGAACTTCGAGCGGCTGCACAGCAGTCACCGTCTTTCTGAGGTTAGAAGATGAAGAGGGCAAACCATTGCACTATCCCGAGAGCGGAGGTGTGTTGCCCCACAGTAAGAAAGGCAGTAGTGCTGGGAGCGTTGCTGAAGGTAGCAAAAGCGGCAGTGTTAGTCCGAGCAGCGCGAACAAAAAGGAAGAGGAGAGTAAGGGTGGTCTGCTGGGCTGGGCAAGAAGAATCAGACAATCGAGCTCTGGTGCTGCTCAGGCTGCTGAACGTGATGGTGCTGCTTCGGCCAACGAAACGTCTGTGGCGGCCTCGGGCAAGTCCTCGAGCGACGTTGCGGGCTCTGACGCTAAGCAGGACGGATTGAAGGCGGAATCGCAACCTAGACGAGTTCTGTATACCGCAAATGTAGGAGATGCAAGAGCAGTGTTATGGTGAGTGCGCAGAGCACGCATCTGTGGTGGTCTGCCACCTAGAGTCAGGTTGCGTTCCATCGGTATAACGAGGCGCTGAACTTCGCATGCTCCGCTGGAACCATCTCCTTCAGTCGTTCCGGAAAGGCACTGCGCTTGACCTACGATCACAAAGGCTCTGATGCGCAGGAGGCCAAGCGAATCACCGATGCGGGTGGTTTCGTAATGAATAACCGAGTCAATGGTAAGGCCAACGCTTCAGGTCACCTTTTGAGCACTTAGCTTACCCTCGACTTGGTTCACGCAGGTGTGTTGGCTGTGACGCGGTCGCTCGGCGATCAAGCCATGAAAGAATTCGTGGTCGGTTCGCCATATACGACCGAAACCTGTCTGAGTGACGAGGACAAGTTTTTAATTGTAGCTTGCGATGGAGTGAGTGGCCCAATGTGTAGGTCCCTTCAATTGGAAAACTGCCTTTGCTCACACAACAACCCTTGCCTCAGCTCTGGGATGTCATCGACGATCAAGATGCGGTGGATTTGGTAGCTGACATTCAAGATCCTCAAGAAGCCGCGGAGAAGCTCTTGGCTCACGCGCTTGGAAGCTTTTCTACAGACAACACGAGCGTAATGGTGGTCCGATTCGCTTCCGGCTCGGCATCTCTGCCCTCAGCTTGTGCCGCCGCTGTGGCTGCTGATCAGTCCGTATCTGGCAGCACCTCCGGGTCGACTTTGCAGGGAGAGGACGAGCGCACAGATTCGGTTCCAGTCGCTGATGGTGTCGGTGCAGCTGCACACGACACCCAGGAGGCTGCAAACATCAGTTCAGGGCCGGATTTGGGCGTCGAGCCAGCTTCGAGCGTCGATTCTGCTGCTAGTGCGGCCGCTGCGCCTGCGGCATGATCCAGGTTCTGGTGGCTACTTGACGAGCTTCGCAATACAATGTTCCCATGCGCATACGCGTCTATATGCTTCAGGACCCCACGAAATGGACAATCGCAAGTGTGAACCTCGCTCTGTGTTGTTGACTCGTTGGCCGCTAAGAGATGGCTAAAGAGTCCGTAGTGTCCAAGGGACGAGTGATGGTGCACCGCCGACTCTGGACGTTGACTTGGCACGGACTGCTGGTGGCAATGCGATTCATGACTCACACGGGTGTGCCTCTCTCAAACGTCCCCCAAAGTCACGCGAGAGCGATCGAACCAACCGCAAATGTTAGGTTCCTGCACAACCTCATCGTCATTTTGCAAAGAGCGTGCATGCGGATTGAAGCTGATGAAAGTGCGTGATGAAATCGTCTTGTTGAGAAGCTCAATCTGGGAAATACATGGACACCACACGGCGCCGCACATTGTGATAGGTGGAAGGGTTGCTTAGTGACTTGTGACATACCTGATGAGGGAGAGGAGGCGGAGAAGGGCGGGAGGACTGGAGTCTTGTACGCGTATCGCTCAGGGGAGTTTAATAGTTCGGGCCGGGATCTTCAGAAGCTTTCAAAATGCACAGCCTCGATCTTCTGAGTCGAGCTGGATCATGGAGGCCGCGAGCTCATGGCGCGCAGACGATCGATGGCTTGTTGCAGCTCCGCGGAGCGCTGTGGCTGACCGTTTCGTGCCCTGCTTGCGGCGCTCGACTCAGCAGGTTCGTTCGCAGGCCTCATCTCGATCGGTGGTGTCTCCAGCGCAGCAAGGTGCTGCTGCTGTCGCGGAGTCCTGTTGGTTCCATACTCAGCTGTCGAATGGCCCGGTGAAGGCTGCGCAGCGTCCACACGCGGGTTCCACGGCGACCACTCCGTCTGCGTCGAACTGCTAGCGCCCGCGGCAGGCTGCCCAGCAGTCGAAGCTTGGCCTCTCTCCTGATTGTAAACGTGGTCCGAGAAGTAGAAGCTTCCAGGGACCGATGATGTGTGCGCATGATTGGCATAGCTAGGTTGATGGTTGCGATAGTCGAAATGATGCCTTTCTCCACGCGTCGTAGCAGTGTCTGCATTCACGGGATCGCGAGCTGGTCGGCCCAAGCGTGCACCCCATTCTTGTGCTATCGCCCTTGGTAAAGGCGGTCCGAGCTCAAAGCGCGAGCCCTGCGACGAAGCTCCTTGTTCGTGCAAAGAGCCCTGTGGCCAAGGCGCGCGGAAATTCGCTGCATGGTCCACAGCAAAACCTGCTGCTTCGTAAGAGCGTAAGAGGGGGTGTTGAGCAGCCGACAGGCTCGCAAGTGCCCTCTGCACTTCAGGGGTGAGTTCGCCAAAATCATGTCTCTCTGGCTTCTCAAGATAGACGCCAGACAGGTACCGGCGCAGCTCGTTGACTCCGCGCCCGCTATAGACGCAAAATGCGCTGCGTTGGTGGTCATTGAAATCCTGTGGGAGGGTCGAACAGCAGCATTAGGGAGCTGTCATCGGGACGTATCATGCGCGTCAAAGTTGCTATGCTCACCTTCGGCGGTGACCTGCAATAAGCTTGCAGCTCGGGCTTCCGGAAGGCAGGAACTCCTGTCAGGCTGAGATGCGTCAGGCCGCCAAGCCTCTGGAGAAGGTAGAAGATGGCAGGTACACTGATATTCTCGCAGTAGCTGAGGTGCACCCTTTCGAGGCTGGTGTACCTGTCAACAAGCTGGTAGATAGCCTGATCTGTAAGGTTCGTAACCTGTCGAGGCAGGAATGAAGAGAATCCAGCACCATCAGCTCCCAGTCGGCTTCAGAAACCCTACATCACACGTACCCTAACGAGACCGATGCGGCGCAGCTTGGGAAGACTGCTGGCCATCTCGATGATGGACTCATCAGTGAGCTGCGGGCAACAAGCAAGATCGATGTAGCGCAAGCGTGTACATGTCTTTGCGAGATGAATCACCGCTCGGTCCGTAATGCTGTAGGAGGTAGTCATTCCAGGTGTCAGCGCATAGCCGGGCGCCCGACTCAGTGAGCGACCACCCGGACGCGGCACCCAGACTCACTTGCTGACATGACCCAGGTGCAGAAGATGAAGGTTGCGGCCAAGTTGCGAAATGCTATAGATGCAAGTATCCGTCAAACGCGTGCATTTTGCAAGGATTAGATTGCGGATCCTCGGCGCATGCGTGATGATGCCTTCCACCGCGGCGTCAGAGATGGCATTGCAATTGGTCAGGTCCAGAATGCGAAGCTGTTCGAAGATCCTGGGAGGAGCCAAAGACGTGAGTGGGGCTTGATGGTCAGGCATGGTCGCTGTCCGCGGCAGACCGATAGAGTCGTGACCGTTTGGCGGCGCAGTGCTTCCATCGCTGCCATTCTGGCCGGTGCTACGAATCCCTGTGGGAGAAGCGCCTCGAGAAGCCGGTGCCGACTCGATGCCACCCACGCCGTGACTCCGATGGTGTCGCGCAGCTGCAGCTTGAGCTTTGCTGAGGTGTGATGCAGGCGCTGGGAAAGCAAGGTCCGTCAAGTTGATGCACTGAGCCATGCGAAGCTCGCGCAGGTGGAAGGCTCGACTCCAAATCTGACGGGCAGATAGGTCACTGAGCTTGGAGCATCCCACCAAGTCCACCTCTAGCAACACACTGCAATTCTGCGCTAGAGCAATCAGCGCCTCATCGCCGACGCCTACGCATTCGCACAATTTGACTCTTCGGAGCAGCGGCGCAGCTCTCGCGAGATTTGCGACAGCTTCAGATGACAATTGCTGGCAGCCGCTCAGATTGATCCCTTGTAGGCGCGGGCAAGTAGCCGCGAGAATTTTGAGAGCCCCATCTTCGAGCCCAGTGACCCCGGTCAAATCGATGGCGACTATGTTCTTCGTATGTGTCAACACCTCCTCGAGGACCTTGTTGGACAAGTGCTTGCAATCGCTAAGCGTAAGGCGTTCCACTCGTGTGCAAGCCGCTATGCTACGAAAGGTATCGTCTGTCAGATGCCCCGCAATGGCGACGAAGTTGATGCGGCGCACAAAGGAGGCATACTCGAAGGTAGCAGTTGGGGAGGCCAGAACCTTTGCAAACTTTTGGAAGCCTTCAAGATTCTTAAAGGCAGGCCGATGCCACAAGAGCTCCACTCCACATAGCGTCCAAGTCTTGCAGACAGCCAGACAACTGCGGAGGTCCATTGGTCGAGCAGCTACGAAGCGAAAGACGTGAAGGAGAATCTCGTGCGGCAAGAATGAAGCGGTGGGAGCGGGTTGAGCGGGTGCTGCTGCCGGAGGCGCTACAAGCCAAGAGTCCTGAGAGACAGTCGGACTCTGTGGTGCCAAAGAGCGAGGTCTCGGTAGCTCTGCCTGTGCAAGGTTGGGCGTCCTGGCTGGTACGATGGACATGTCAGAATCGTCGTCTTCCATCTCCATGGATGTGCTCGCCATTGAATTGTCTGGCCCTGTGCTGCCCATTCGGGCACCTGCGTCTCCTCGAGCTTGCATTGCGTGAGGCGCAGTGAGCGCAAACGGAGCGCCAGTTGACCCACGTATCGTGTTGCGCCTGGATGTGGCCGCTGCGGCGGCTGCTGCTGCTGCAAAACGAGATGCGATGCCGGCATATCCATCGTCATCATCATCATCATCCAAGTCGCCCTCGTCGTCGTCATCGTCAGCGCTTTGTGATGTGGTCGAGGGAGAGGCAGGTGGCCTGGGCCGAAGTTGGCTGGTCCCGCTCCCTGAGCTCTCACCTGCCTGATGGCCGATATCCTGCATAGTGCTGGGTACGATACTGCTGCTGCTGCTGCTACTGGCACGGCTAATTCTGCTGCTGCTGCCTTCTGTGGCCGTGTCGGTCACCATGCGATGGGTGTCGGGCGCTGGAGAGATGCTTGGCGACGGATTGATAGAGTCATTGGGAGTTGAGTGCGCAGTGGAGCGCGATGAGCCAGGGCCGTGCATCGCGTAGAAAGCTGAACCGCGAAGTACGTGGGCTTTGTCGGACTTCAACTTGAATGGGGTTCGTACATGCACCACGAAACGAGAGTGATTGGTCGCGGCGATGCTGAACAAAACCAAGATGCGTGGGAGGCCCAGAAGCGCTGAGAGTCCGCCCTTGCCGTCTCGTGTGATAGCAAGGCAGCTTGCCACGCCTTTCTGCTCGAAATGATGTTGTAGACACTTAGATTGCGTGTACGATGCCAAGTCGTCGCCTTGCTCAGCCCGTCTCGCGGCGTTGATCATGCGACCTGACCGTGTCCAGCTCCAATCTTGGTTTGAGACCGAGCCGGCTTTGCCTGCGCTGCACAACACTTACGAGTCACGAGTGCGGGCGCCGTGCTCACCGCCGCATCCACACACATGCATAGCGCGTTGGCCCTTGCTCAATCCGTTGGCGCGTCAGCGCGTTCTGCGTGGCGCTTTGCGGCTCAACCAACACGTGGCGGCTAACCTCATCCGCACCTGCAATCACCTCGTCCCACAGGTGCACATTTAAGTCGTCGCCGACGCTGCTTGATAGATGCAATTTGACCACCAAAATGCTGTTCTGAAGAGCTCACTCATCATCATATTGAGTCGATATCTCTTTTACATACATAGACGCGCGTGACCTATACGCTGTAAAGTACATTCTTACATGTGGTGCCAACAGGGAGAGATGCGACCAGAGGTGACGAGGATGACCCGTGTCAAAGGACGGAGAAGAAGAGGAGGAACGGAGGCATAGAAGACGACGGCGGCGTACGCTAGTCGTGTCGGCAATTTAGCCTCAAATCTATCCGAGACGGGTTCGAAGGGGCGGTAATCGAAGGGGCTCTGTGGTGCTTGAAGCTGCGCCAAGGGACCCCACGGAATGTGGAGCCTCCATTGACGCTCCTGGTGTCAGACCAGAGGTCGACCGGTCACTGGAGCAAGGCATCTGCGCCAAGCTAGGCAGTGGACACTCGAGGTGCATTGTTCTGCGCTGATCGCTGTGCTTCCTCGCCGAGTCGTTTAGGCCAGGAAGCGACGCTGGCATCGTCGGCGGGGACGACAGGCGGCTCGAGCGAGACAGACTTGGAAGCATGGGCGCAGCAGCTGCGTTGACAAGCGCGCCCTGATTGGAGATGCTCTTGAGCAACAACGGCGCCGTAGAAGCTGTCGAAGTGAAGGCCCGATCTCGGCTGCGATCATACGGCTGCGATGCACTAGCATCCAAACTGGTGTTGGAAGAGATAGAAGACTGTTTACGATGATGATGACCAAATTGCGAATTGGTCGGGCTATCAGAGGTAGGCTCGCGAGATCTTGAGGGAGGCAAGAGGTTCAAGCTCGATTCTCTCCACTGAGAGCCTGCAACAGCGTCGGCAGACCTTTGACCCATACGTACCGCCTCGCCCTCACTGGACCACGCGGTCTTCACGGGCGAAAGTGCGCTTCGCGGAGATGCTGCAGAAGCATATGCGACAGGGGCAGGCGGCGCACCGTACGGATGGTGCGCTGCAGGAAGGGCGGTACCGGGAGAATGGGTCCAATTTGCACCAATGTTGCCGTCTGGATGGCGATGGTGCGAGACAGCCGGGTAGAACGCTGGGCTAGGGGAACTCGACGGTGCGAAAAGGTTCCCAGCTACTGGTGGAAGATGAGGCAGCTGCGGCATCGATAGGCGATGAGGTTGTCTGGTCGCGTGCCTAGAGTCCTGATAGTACTCGGCAGGCGGGCTGTAGGCGCTTCCATTGAACAGAGCGGAGCCGCTCCGGCTTTGCTGCATTGCGTGCCCTGTGGGAGGCAGCTCGGAGGGCTCGCCTTGGTCAACGTCCATCATGGTCAGGCTGCTGTCCTGATCAGACCGCACTGAGTCTCGACGGGTTCGCGGCATGCCGACAGTCCTCTGCACAGCTTCCTCGCGCCGGCCGTCGCGTCCAACGTATTCTTGCACGATGGCAATGGCAGTCCCCTCTTGAAGAGCCTTTCGACCAAGCTGAACACTTGCTTCTGTTTCCGGATCCAAGTCCAGAGCCCTGAGATCGCTATCACCTGCGTCGCCCTCGATGCTGCTAGCGACAGCAGCAGCGCTTCGACCTTTAGGGTGAAGCACATGCGTTCTGTAGTGCTGTAAGCTGTTGTCCTGCCTCGAAAAGCTAGCGTTACAGCCGGGGAACGTGCACCTGTATGGCTTGCGACCAGAGTGGATGCGGTGATGCCGAGCGGCGTGGCCGCTGGTAGAGAATGTCTTGTCGCATTCCGGAAATGCGCAGGGATATCTTTTCTTGCCGCCAATTGTCACTGGCGAGGAGGACAGCACCTTGGGCGCCCCGCTGCGAGTCCCGCTGGACTCTGACGGTGCAGTTCGATGAGACGTTGCGCCTGGACCAGCAGTGGTCCGGTCGACGGCGGTCGATGAGAGGCCACTTCTTCTACCGACAGCTGTAGCTGCTTGGTGCGGTGAGGTCGGGTGAAAGCTCTTCCCATCGTGACCGCGCAATGGGACCGAGCGTGACGCTTCTCGCATCGCCCCCAACGTGTTCGCAGGTTCGTCACTTGGAACTCCGTCCATCCCAAATGCGCTGCCTGGAGCACCGCGACCGTTGTGCGTACCGTGGGTGGGGCGCTGCGGCCGTGCACTGTTCCGTGACATTGGCACGGGAGAGCTCACGAAACCTGGCTCCTGTAGCACCTTGCGCCCCCTCAAATCACCCGAAGGCTCCCGCGATTGGCTGGAGTCATCAGATTTTTCCTCTGCGCTGTTCAAGCTTCCGTTCTGTAGAAGCGAGGAGCTCGTGCTATTCGGCGGACTGATGTCGCCTGCCAAGGGTCCAGGATTCGACTTCGGAGGAAGGGAAGCGTGCTTGCTCAGGTGCTTGGGTCCTCGTCTATCCTGGTTGTGTATGCCTAGCGACGTGACGGATGTAGAATGGGAGCGACTGGTCCCCACGTCGGAACCGTCGCCGGCGAGGCGAGTCTTGAAGAACGAAGATGATGAGTCTTCGCTGGGGCTGAGTGAGGACGAGCTCGATCTGACTCCGGAATGAGGACCGCCAGCGCGCAGACGATCCCCATCCTGAGGTCGCATCGCTGCATCAGCCAAATCTACCAGGCCGGTGGCAGCAGCAGTGGTCCGTCTCCAAGCCAAGGTAGCCTCTCGAGCAGCCTTCGGACCTCGCGTCGCCGAGCTTGCTCCAGAAGCATCAGACCCACCTTTGGTGACATCAACGGCTTGCGCAGCTTCGAGGCGACCCCGTTGCAGCCCCTTCGAGTCTCTTGGCGCTGCTCCGCCATTGAGAATTGAATCGCTGCGTCCGGGCAGCGAAAAGGACGCCATGGTGGAAAGTGTGCCAACGAGGGCGGGCTCCCCGCTGAACGCGCGGAGTGATCGTAGGAGTCGTACTCGTGACGACCCGCGTTCAGTGTAAGCGAGGATATTGGCGACGCGCAGCGCCCAAGGTTGCTGGTGGTGAAGCCTTTACAGTGTATCAGAGGTGCTGTCAGCACCTCCAAAGCGCGGTGACCGTAGTGAACACGGAGTCGCGTTAGCTGTTGGAAAGTGCAACGATCGTCAGACTTGCTAAAGCCCAGAACTTCGCGATCTGAGTGCTTCTGCAGGGTTTCCGATCGATGGTCAAGAAAAGCTGCGAGGGTATGCACGACAACTCTATCGTCGAACGGGCGCGCCGCGCGATCTTCGAGGCGGTGCGCCGGACCCTTCGCGACGTGCTACTGTGTTAAGCGTGGACTGATTGCCCGCGTTCTTGATCGTCGACGGGTTTGGTGTTGTGTTCGGAGTGAACTTGGCGAGTATAGCGCTCTGGTGGTGAGTGAGACAAGGCTTCAGACAGTGGTCGAGCAGGTGCCGCGAGACCCAAGGCGAATGGGCGTTGACAGCTTAAAGCAGGAGAGCACCAATTCGGAAGCTCGTTTTGCTGTGATCCTCGCTGCTGCGCTGTGAACCCCTCGGGTGTCAATTAAAGAATGGTCGCAGAGCGCCGGTATGCGACTTTGAATGTATAGGGTCTTTAGATGAAAAGGCGGGGCTGTAAAGAACAGGGCGCAGAGATGTACTCAACGACTCGAGACGTACTAAAATCTAGACAGCAAGATTTCAGTCTCAGACGCGGAGTCTAGACCTTTGTGCGGAGCAATTAAGCTGGCGCGGCGGGCGCCTGGACGCGACCTGTATCGCACGCTGCGGCTGAGACGCAGGTGAAACTGAGATGCAGCGGGAGCCCACTCAGGCACCTGGCCTGGAGATCGTGAGTTAATGAGCCCGCGCGCGCGCGGCGAGGATGCACCTGATGCAGGGTTCTGCACGCGGTGAGCACGCTAGAGGCGTGGCGGGCGATCGATGCTAAGCTGTCAAGGCGGCGTGCCAATTCGGCCGCACCAGATTCCACTCGACACTGTAGAAGCCTGATAGACGGGACAGTGCGAGAATGAGGGCCGCCTCTGCTGGGTGTCAAAAACACAAGGACTGGATAGAGGGGGCTTGCTGATCAGGTGGTGATCCTTGCGAGCCAGAAAGTGGTTGGCTGCTGGTTAGCATTTGCGTGCAAGCAGAATTCATCGCGCCACAATGGCCATCCACCTGTAAGGAGTTGCCAATCGTGAATGTCTAGACTCACACAAGTCTGCGTAGCTCCGCACCCAGAGCATTCGATGTCCTGGCGACCTGAGCTTGAAGTCGAAAGCTAGCCTTGCCACGATGGATGACACCGCCTTCTTTTCCTCTTGTGTAGCAGTGCTGCAGAGTCGTGCGGCCTTGCTGGTCAATGGTCAATTGTGAATGTGGAAGGTTGTAAGGACGAGACGGACATGCGCTTGCGTCGTGTATACACAGCTCGTGTTGTGAGTCTCGTACCTGTACTGGTAGCAATGTGTGACGAATTGGATTTGGGATGGTGTGTGGAAGGAGGACTTATTGGAACTAGGCTTCGCTGGATCTGAACGTTGAGCCAGACTAGGAGAGCACAGGACCCTCGGGCCTCGTGGACATCGATCGAAGGCCGACAGCTTGCACCCTTACGATGGCCCCGGACGGGCTTGAAACGCGTGAGAATCGAGAATCGACAGCAAGTGGCGGGCGAGCGAGAAGACGTAACTCGTACCTGTTGGCCGTCAGGCAGCAGCATCGATCGAGAGCTGATGTCAAAGTGATGGTCGCACCTTTTGCTGCTCGTGTGCCTCTGATCTGAACCACTCCGCGGCTCAAGTGGATGACTGCATGGTAAGGAGCAGGCTCGCTCGCAGACTCGCGCCTATAGCTACACAGCAACTACTTGGTGACGGGCCACAGCAGGTGTCAGATCCGGACGCCGCAAGCCCTGTTGATCGCGGCTAAGAGGCGACGCTGATCGGGACAGACTTGAGGCGCGATTTCCAAGGAACCACTTGCGCAGTCCCACGACGACAGGATTCAGGCGGAGACCCATAGACGCTGATCAAAATTTCGGTACAAGTCCACTATCAATCGGTCTCGTTGTCCGCCGCTGGAGTACCCGCAACGTCAGGGATTTGAGTTCTCTGGGGTCGCCGCGACGTCGAATCGCGAATCACGAGTCTGAATCTTGAATGTACGATGCGTGCAGACTCGACAGGAATCGAGTATTCAAGATTGCGACTCCGCGCACATATGTACCACTCTCGCTCCGGCTCCGGTGCAAGCCCTGTTAGAATCGTGAATCATCAGGCGAATTGTGAATCGGAATTCTGTGTGTGGCTAGCAGTCACGGTGTCGTCATTTCCCTGCAGCCAGCGGTGGAGGCGAGATATCTGTCAGACTCACAGCACCTCGAGACTTGTAGAAGAGAGGACTGGGCGACCGCGTCACTCGTGACTCACGACTCTCGACTCAAAGTTGTGTGACTTTGACGCATGGCGTATGTGTACGCAACCTGACAATCGATTGATTCAATCTCGAATTCAGAACTGAATTAAGAGGAGGGGTGCGAGCTGCAGAGCTGCTGTTACATAGCTTTTGCCTGCTTGCTCGATGACGAGGCAACGCAGCGCCGCGTGATCGTCGCGTCAACGACCTTGGAGATCGAGCAACAGGAAGGTCGCCACCCCGTGTCTCATCTGCTTAATTGCTCGTCATGGCCGCCCGCGGCCGCAGCTCATGCATCCGTCCGCCATCGCGCTGCGCTGTAGCTCTTCAATCCTGATGCGGGCCGTCATTGAGCGCGCGCGTCGTCATGCCGCTCGAGTCAGGCACGGACTCTTGACTCTACATTCGTGATTTTTCGTGTGGACAATCCGCTAGTGCCGTCCTGTGTCGGTATCGCACCGTCCATGCACTTGTGACTACCCTTGTATATGTGAATCTGATTCGAAGCACGTTCGAGATCTTTTTCCACGGACGCTCAAGCTGGCTCGAAGAAGGAGATAAAACGCACAACAAGCGTCTTAGGAACCATCAAGCGGCGAGTCATTCACGAGCCGAACAGACTTTGTATTCACGATTTATGTACGCGATTGCGGAAGATCCTCTTTGTTTCCTGATCAAGGAAGTTCGTAGGTGTAGTCAAAGTAAGTCACGAGTGTCGGCGGCTGTGCTGCGGATCGACGCGGCTTTCCTGTTTCCACATTTTGTGATTCATGATCCAGATTCGGGGTCACTTTGCCATCTGTCAAGTCAGAAGTGACATCTGCATGGTGTTCAAGATTGTCCGAGTCGACACTCGTCATTCTCGTGACTTCCCTTCGCGGTGCCCTATGCGCAGCTGTACCAATCTTGAAAGCGACGTCCCTACGTGGCGCGCAAGCTTGCCCCTGACCTACAGTTTTGGAATCACGAATCACGAATTATTGAATCTGATTGGTGTTTGTGGATCCAGGAATTGAATCGAGGATCGATCGTGTGGAACAGCTATCAAGAATCGTGAATTAACCGGCGCTTGACCGGCGCGTGATGGCTTGGCGCGCGCGATCTTGGTGCAAATGCACGCAGCGATCGGCGGAGGATGGCAGATGCGAAGAGGTGCATCGCGAGGAAAGCGCGGAAACTAAAGCTGTGGGGTTGGCGCGCACAGAAACAAGCTAGATTGATCGAGAACACGAGCGCCGCCGCGCATCGAGCGTCTTGATTCACAACTCATGACTCCATCAGCAGTACACCGCACGCCGCACGTCCAGCTCTCCACGTTCAGGCACAATGGCTTACCAATGAAACCCTGGCTGTCCATTCAAGATTCTCATCAACATTTATGAGCCTTCCGGATATGGGGACCATGTTGATGACATGCAGCAACGACGATGAGCTGGACCGCGGTCCAGTCCGTGACGATTCTTATTGTGGTTCTTGGTATGGATCAAACTCCAACGATCTTTCTGCGAGATGGGGTGCGGTCGAAGCTAGCCCTCACCACCTTCTCGCTTGGCTGCCAGCTCCGACTTCGGACCGTTCTTAGGCACTCGCAAATGTCGTTTCGGCGCTGCACCCTTATATGAAGGGGAGAAGAGCCGATGGCAGCTTCGGTGATATGAAGGTCGTTTCAAAGTTGCAAGTCGAATGCCTTCATGTGCCGAGACAATCCGGGGTGGCGCCTCGGCCTCGATCCCACAGAATACGAGACACGTAGGCGCCAGCTGCTAAGGACATCGATGTGCAGGCACAGCACATCAAGCAGAATTGATTTGAGTGACAGATTGGTGACATTGCGTGCATCTTTACAACAGGGACTGAAGCGAATTTACGATGCAGGGCTGGTAGGCGAGGGATCATGCAAAGAGCTATTTCCAGTAATCCGGCTGACATAGAGAAGACGGTGGCGGTCCCGCTCATCAAAAGGGCGACAGGGTTTGTCCGGCCTTCGCCAAAGCAAGTGTCTGTGCCAGACTACAGACTGTGGGCTAGATGGTCGTCTTTCGGCTAGTTGCAACCACCTTGAGCTCGCCCGACTTGGCATCGATGCTCTTGCTGAAACCGTAAGCGCTGCCAGCACCAAGAGACTCTGGATCGTGGCACTCTACAGTGAGCGATCTGATCTGAGTGGTGAAAGTTCCGTGCGAGTCTGCCTTGGAGTAGTCGGCCCTACCACCGGCCCACTCCACGGTGCCCTTGGCCATGTCACTGGCGTCCCAGACCGACACTTGAGCTCTCATCGGTGTGGCAGGATACTTGTAGTAGCCATCTTTCTTGCTCTTAAAGGAGGATCGCTTCAGTGTACGAACTTCGACGCCATCGATAGAGTAGATGATACGCGTAGGCGACCAGTCCAAAGTGTATGCATGCCAGTCGGCCGTGTCAAATTCTGGTCCTTGAGTGATCGTTGCGCTGTTGCTGTCACCTCCACTAAAAGCCTGCTCAATATCGAAGTGCTGACGAATCAGCTTCTGCACCTGAGTTTGCGGACTCGTCGGATTGGACTTACCTTGCCTTGGGCGAACATGTTGAGCTGCACTTGACGAGACTGACCACCGGTGATCTCAAAGTCGATCTCATCCGCTGTTGGACTCATGAGGATGAAGGCGCCGACAATGCCTTTGTTATTGGCATGTCTCAGAGTAGCAGTGACTCTTCCATACTGAATGTACTCGGTAGTGCTGAGAGTTGTACCTGCTTTGGCCTTGCCCTTCTGTGCCACCGTAGCGTAAAGCCCGCTCTTGCTGGTCCGCACGGCTCCGCTGTCGATGGTCAAAGGAGCTTTGCTCGAGTCGCCGTTGTATGAAGCGAGCTCGACGGTAGGGTTGGCTTTATTGGTGAACGTGATGGAGAGCGGCTTGCATCGAGGCAAGGCCCTGCACGAGGAAGGAGAGAAGGATGACCTCGGATCGCATCCTGCCAGACAGAATTCTGCGCTAGTGCCGCAGTAACCAGAAGATGAGCAGCATGGAGTTGAAGATGGGCACTTGGAACTTGCGTCGCAAGAACCATCAGAGTGCGCGGCCTCGGTGCCGCCGAGCAGCGCGAGCAGCGTGACAGCAACGAAGCAAGAGAAAGCTGCACTTCGAGCAAGCATGATGAAGACAAACGAAGCCGGAGCAGTCGTGTCGGACTAATTTCCTGGAAATGGTATCCGAGCTTGGCGGAAGCTGCTTTGGAAAGCAGAGTGAAGAGGAAGCAAACGACAATCGAAGAACGGGCCAGAAGAAGCGAAGTGAAAGGGAAAGTGGGGAAGTGAAGGGTGAAGCTGTATCTGCAAAGGGAGGAATGAGGGTCTATGGAGAGGGAGGGAGGGGTTGGAGAGGATGATGGTTGAAGTTCAGGCCCCAATTCCCATCGTGAAGTCAGGCAACATCAATCGCAAGATCCACGCCGAGCTCTAACCCATGTGAGCTCCCGCATTCGCAGATTCACAAGTGTAGCACGGGCAGCAAACGGCATGCATGTTCAATCATGGATGTGGCTTGCCGTTGGTTTACGTGAAGCCGCTCACCGTCTGGTTGCTTGATAGGGGGGGGG